TGTGGGTTAGTCTATAGCAGTTACAATGAGGCGCTGCGCAGTTCAGTCAATGACATAGCCATCTACATGTGTCCAGCTGCATGTCTTTGTGTTTACGCCAATCATGCAAGGGATGTGACTGCTCTGGTCAAGTCTTCGGATTATCGGAGCGAGGGTCAGCCCAAAATGGGGCGAGGGTCAGCCTGTAGCCGAGTGAGGGTCAGTCCATAGCAGGGCAGGGTCACTCTATAGTAAGGCGAGGGTCAGCCCGGAGTGGCGCGAGGGTCAGTGCCCTGGGTCAGCACCCTCAGTGCTGTGGGTCAGCGCCCTGGGTCAGCACCCTCAGCGCTGTGGGTCAGCACCCTGGGTCAGCGCCGCGGGTCAGCGCCCTCTGTGCTGTGGGTCAGAGGCGTGGGAAAGCGCCAGCTCTGACCCTAGGACGGGCCTCGACTGACCCTAATATCCACTCATAACCCTAATAGTGCGAAAGTGCAAGTTGCACTTTTGTCAGTCTCGAATGTGCAAAAGTGCAAGTTGCACTTTTGTCAGTCTCAAAACTGCGAAAATGCAACTTGCACTTTTGTCAGTCTCAATTTTTTGAGGGCTTTTGGTGTATCCCTAACCAAGGCTCACCCTAAGGGGCCACCTTTTGGGCAGTAAGATCAAACTGTAACGGTGCTGGCAGGGATCAGAAGAGAGAGCGAGCAGAGCGAGCGAGCAAGTAACGAGAACAACGATACTGGCATTGATTCAATGAAGAAGAAAACATAACTACGATACATGTTTCAACTAATCGTCGGATGCGTGAGAATATAATCAAGCCACTATACAGTACTTCAGCTCGGGTGCGTCAAAACCCTCGTCGAGGGAAAGCTACCGGCCGTTACATATGAGCAATGTAACTAAACGACAACGTGACAGCTCGAGCCGTTACAAAACGCCAGCTCTGACCCTAGGACGGGCATCGACTGACCCTAATATCCACTCATAACCCGACAGCGTGTACATCACCTAAGCAGGGGATGGGACCTGAAATCTATTGCAGAATGACTGTTGGCGTGTGGCCGGGATACATCCTCCAAGAGGGTACTGTACCTACACAACCGTAGGTTCAAGGGATTATCGCGTGACATGAAATCAAGATAAGTTCCGATGAGGCTGAAGTTCAAATGTCCGGCGAACGCGTGATTTTGAACTAGGGTCACAGTTTGGTGACATCATCAAGGTGTTATTGTTGAGGACAACGAAGGTGAAGAGGGTGTTTTATTGGAAGGAGAAGCAGGCAAAGCGGACACACCTTTTACAACGACTGTAAATTGCTTGTCCGTTGGGCTTATATACAGGCGTCTCAAGCCCTTGCCAGACCGGTATGACCGACTCACTGAAGCCTGCCAGTGAAGAGCTCGACATCCCATCTCCAGTCGACTGTGGTTGTTCCAGCAAGGCTCTCAAATCTGAAACTCAGTGCTACATCAGAATATAATTTAAGAGGCTTAGTATTTGTCGTCACGCAGGGAGGTTCATTATCTTTTGTGATGGGTGACGAACCAGGTCTTAAGTTCATTTTATAGGTCAAGCGTGAGGCGTGATGAACCTACGGTCGTGTAGGTACAGTATTGCAGAACCACTGACAACCTGTTCGTCACCCTGGCTGGGGACGGGACATATCATCTATTGCACAATCAGTGGCTACGGGTTATCACTGCGGCATTACGCCGTGGTCACTGATTCTGCAATTGTGGGGGTACGCTGATTGGGGCCGCATACTGCAGTAATATGACTGCCATGCCTCGAACGTGTAGCAACAATGCAAACCGAATAGACATGATGCTCAAGCACACAAGGAAGTAAGGGTATAAGTACATATACAAATATCGTGTTGGAAATACAACGTCTGGTGCCTCAAGTCCGTGGTCAGCGCCGCGCACTGAGGGTGAATTAAGATATAAAACTGTCGTCCGCATTGTTCGAGACGAATCAGGAGTCTCAAGCGGCTTACCAAGCGCATGCTAGAATCAGCGACCTGAATGCCGGCACGCTCAGTCGTGTATGTGAGATATCCGTGCTCGAGCTGGAGCCCCGAGAGGGAGTGAACCCAGCAGAATAGCGAAATCCGTAGCTGCAGGCGACGTATCGGGCGATTCCAGAGGGAGAAACAGGTGGACGATTGGAGGTGCAAGCCATGTATGATACCCGTTGGATCGTCGATGGCATAGGAGGTGCACGGTACGGTATGGTGGGGCTCCCGGCAAACAAGCTGCGCGCGACCAAGTAAGGCCGCAAGGGACCACACGGGAGGAGGGAAGAGCCGATGACGGCGACTGGATCAGCATATGACGCAGTCCGAGTCCGTCGACTTGGAAAGGCGAGCCTCCAGACGCGCATGGAGCGTCCCGTCCGCAGCGAGATACGGCGAGTCCCTACAGTCACAAATCTCGTCAACAAAAACCGCAAACGCCAAGCACCAAATAAGGAACACGCACTCATACATCAACCCACCACTCTCCCCGATCGCAAACGGCTGAATCACCGCATTCATGCACGCCCCCTCATCGTACCAATAATCCATGGCCGGTGCCCTCCAGCTCCCCGCTGTGCCCGAGAGGAGCGCGCTCGCGGTCGTGTCGAGCGCGGTGCCGAGGATAGACGAGGAGCGGTACGCGAGGCGGTAGTCCCCGCTCGTGTTCATGCGAACTTCGACCGGCTTGAGCGCCTTTGATTTCTGCTTGCCTTTTCCGCCGCCGAGGCTGCCCGGGACGCTGAGAGTGGGCATCTGGAGGGAGAGGCCGGAGCTGGGGCGTGATGTCGGCGCGGGAGAATCGGATTCTGAGGGCGGGGTTTTCCTATCGCTCGATGGGGGATTGGGCGACGTCGGGGTGGAGGGTTTGGAGGATGGCTTGCGGAAGGGCTCGATGACGAGTCTGGAGTCGACGGGTGTCGCGGGGCTGTGCTCGAGGAGGGAGAGCGCGACCTGCCAGGGGCCTGTCGTCTGCGAGGTGGCGAGATGGGGCGTCGGTGGTGTGGCGAAGAACATGAGAGACCATATGCGCCCTGAAGGATGTCAATGTCTTTCAAAAGCAAAAACAGCTGGTTTACGCACCTCGTGCTATGAACTCGACACCCGCTCGTCCACCAATGCGCATTCGCTTGTGCCAGAGTTTGATGGAAAAGGTTGCGACGAATGCGCTTTCGCCCTCGACTTCCTCGATATTGATCTGGTCGGGCGCAAGTGGGCCCAGGATGAGTGAGTCGGCACCTGTATAGAGCCCTATCAGTCGAACGAAGGGGAGAAACGTGCGCAAGTACCCACCTGAGTGTGACCCAAACGTCGTCCACGGAATCAACCCGTGGAACGGTCCCGCCCTCAACCTGAGCGCTTGGAACAGCGCCTGATTCGAGACTGCCAGGCATGCGAGCCTGATATCCGCAACGCACGCTGGCGTCAGCGATGGGGTGTGCAGCAGCAGAGCCGCCAGAAGCTCCCGCTCACGTCCGTTCACGATCGCCCAGTACATGGGGGTGTGGCCCTCGATAGATGGCTCTTGAAGCACGCTGGAGAGGTCGAGCTTGTTGGACGCACATGCGTCTGCACAGCTCGCGAGGATGGCAGTTGCGGGAGGGGGCTCGGATGTATGTGCGTGCGAGTCGACGACAAGGTCGCGGACGAGGGAGAGGGTGGTCTGACGGACGTGCTTTGTCGTGCGGGAGGTGGTGAACGGGAAGGCGGAGAGCCAGGATGTAGATGGCTTTGATTTCACTTTGGGAGGGACGGCAAATCTTGAAGGACCTCCTGCCGCCGACGAGGACGACGAGGATTGAGGCTGATGTTTCTCATCCCGAGGCTCGTTTGGGCGAGAACCTGCAACGACGTCATATGCAGGGGGAGCATCTTCTGCGTCTGGGGTCAGGAACTCGTCTTTGACAACCATGGTAGATCTGGTTCCGCGAATGGAGAGGGTGAGTCAAGGAGAGTCGGGATTGGAAGATATCTTGCTGGCAGCCCTGTGAAGGAGATAAAGGCCAGCGTAACGCCTGCGGAATGTGGAAATAAAAATGGGACATGCTGTAGAGTCACTGCGCACGTCTGCGCACGTCACCCTCTTCCGCTTCGGCAGTGCTCGGTCACAATACCCGCCAACCTCCTTGTCTCTACCTTTTGTTCGTCAAAATCCTCACGAATCCGTCTTCGTCTTGCGCTCTTGAGCTTTTGGATCCTAGTTTGATAACTCGCTGTTGATGACTAGGGCCCAATCAGCTCATTTCCTCGTACCTTAACTTCCACGTCTCAGCCATACAACTCTGCCACGAGCGCCTACATGTCGAAGCCAATAGCACCGCCTAACGAGTTCGTGAAAGCGTAGTGGGAAGAACCAAACCAGCCAATGCGTAACTCACGAAGTACAGCGCCGCACAACGCGCGTCCGCCGCCGTCTACGGCGCGATCACCAGGACCCACTTTAACCCACATCACAATCGGCCCAGAAATCTAAGCTATCACTAGCAGTAAAGTCGTACAGGGACAGATCTACGGTTCTCCCTAGCCAGCCCTTGGCCCCAGCTTGCGATCTTCTTCCTGCGCAACGTTATGTCCCATGGGTGCCAAGCAATGCCAGAACATCCAGATGCTCATGCCGTGCGTGCGCCCGTAGAGACCTTGTATGTACAACATACGTAAAACATAGGACGCGACGCAGCGCGCAAGTGCGGTTCATTTTAACCATCCCTCACCCTCTGCCACCGATGGTTATCATGAACGTTCAGTCTACTCGTGTCTCGGACGAGTTCTTGGTCGCCGTCTTCCTCCGACTTGACCTACTGTCACTGACGAGATGCAAGCAGGTGAGGGACACGTTTGGTTCAACGGCCGCCCTCGCCTGTGTATTCAACTCGACTGACCTCGTCACTTCGCAGGTCTGCAAACACTTCCAGCGCGTAATAGAAGAAAACGACGCAGTCCGGTACGACTTCGAGCTTCAGGCAGCCTGCCTCAGAGATGCCCCTTCTGGCGGCAACGTAACAGTCGGTACAGCTTCCCGTCTCGCTATGCTGCAGGCGCACCGCCGAGCGTGGGACGCGCTCTCTTGGTCGACCCCTGCACCCGAGCATCTCTTCACCTCCCCAGATACCGAGAAGTGGCTGCTGGTCGGCGACGTCCTCTGCATCGCGGGCCCAAAGCTCATCCAGTGCATTCGGTTGCCGTCATCCATCCGAAACATCGAGCTACAAGAATGGAAAGTGGAACATACGCTCGAAAAGTACGAGTTTACCGTGGACCCGGCGCAGGACTTACTTGTGTTGGTGGAGGACGACCTCGAGAGGTGAGTATCCCGTCTGTCCTCTACGCTCGCATCCACAGCTAGGCTGATGGATCGAAGTTCGAGGTTTAGTATTCACTTGCTGACCCTTTCGATGGGTGTACCTCACCCCGACACCGCTGCGCACAACGCTGCCGTATTCTACGGCCACTATGAGGAGACGGACGATGCACTCGACCGAGGTGTGCGCGTGAAGCTCTCGGGGAAACATTTAGGTCTATTTCTACCGGCGTACGTTGCCGATTGTGACTGGGATGAGGAGCTTGTCATATGGGACTGGAAGTCAGGCAAGGCACAAGTTGTAAGCCGTCTAAAACTGCTATCTTGTTTTATTGCCTCTCTGAATAACCCGACCTTGCATTTTTGTTGCTTAGGTGTTCAATGGTAGCTTCGCGCGATGTTTCGCGTTCCTCCCTGACGATCTGATCCTCCTCGGGCACATGGGCACTGGCGACCTCCAGCTCTGCGTATACGACCTTGGCGCGCCCGTCGCTACAAATGCCACGGAGCCCAAGGTTATCGGGCTGAGTGACGATGTGTCCTTCGTGTGCACCTTCGAATACGGCGGGATCAATGGCGACATTGAGAGCATGGAAATACGCTCACAGACGACTGCACCCAGTACGGGCACGAGGATGGGCACGGGTATGGTACACGCATCGCCCTTTGTTCCGGCCCCAGCGGAAGGTCTCTTCTCCATCCTTATTTCCATGGATGGAGACTGTATGCCCGGTGTCACGTTGCTCTCGCTTTCCGCCATCACCCGCGGCATCGCCTCCGCCCGCGCCTGCGCCGCGCCCGGCGCGACGGTGAGCTACAAGTGGGAGGAATGGGGGAAAGACGTGTGCCATAGCCTCTACCTCGGCGGGTGGGGCAACAGTTGGAGCCAGGTATCCATGCGCGGGTTTCGGTGTGCATCCATGCTGAAGGTGGAGAGGGACCCGTACAAGTCCACCGGAGAGTACGAGCAGCAGCTGGTCCTCAGAGACTTTCATAGGTGTACCGCGCGTCGTTACTGGTCCTGGGCCCAGCAAAGTCTACCTGAGCAAGGACATGGTGGAGCATGGAAATCCAGAAAGGCGCACGATACCCAGCTGGATCTCGGAGCGAGAGAGGTTGAGATAAAGTTGCCTAAGGGTCCTGGAGGGAAGGCTTGGGACGAGGTGTTACTCGGCGAAGACGCGGTTGTGTTCAAACAGGTATTTCTTTATCAGTTTATCCTGGTAAGCCGTTATCTGACGTTCCGATCACAGAATAAGCGTGACGGAGGGAGGTGTAACTTTGCCATTATGGCGCTTGAGGACAAACTGTGACGCAAGGCGTCTTTCGACGGATACTCTTGGCCTCACTAGAAAATAGCGCTAGTGAGGAATAAGTTGGGCTCTATGGTAATGAAAGTTACATGTTACTATATACCCTGTTCCTAATAAGCAATGAATCGTGAGTCCCGCTATGTGACGAAGAGACGCTACCAACAATTACAGCTGAGACTGACTTCTCTGCTTGTCCTTGAGCGTCAATGTGTTGACGAAGCTGTGCATATTCGGCCTTATCCTGGATGCGGCGGGAAGTTTCATGCATGGCCTGAAGCTCCCGTCATAGGTGCGAGGGAGGTCCTTATCGGCAAGGATCCTAGTAAAGATTCACAAAACCGGCAGAGTAGCAAGAATATGGAAGCTCACGCCGGAGGTGCTATACAGAGATTATAAACATTTGGCAGCGGCCGATGCCCTTGATTCCTAAACAAGGTTGTATATTCGCAACTCGAGTGACAATCTATCAGGCGTTGTATCCGAGGCGCTCCGACAGCCGTTAACACCTAACCGTACTTTCCCGTTACTTTCGGATATGGACGAACCAAAAATGAAGGGCAACGCGAGAGCACCGAAAACGTGAAAAGAGTATTGAGAACATTAATATCTATGTGCATGCGTATAAAAGTGTACAAATGCGAGCGTATGCAGGGAAAACAACAGGACATGAACCATAATTTACAACCACAGAAAACACGAGAAAGAACTAAGTGGAAACATGAGAGACCTCGCCACGTCTACTGTGACCGTTCATCAAACGACTAAGCTGTGTCAACAGCAACTACCCTCTGCATCTCGCGAACGACACCTTGTGCCTTGTCCCTCTCCGCCTTCACAATCTGAAGCTCGACCCTCAACCTCTCCGTATCGTCCCACTCTGACTTGTTTCTGCCCTTGAAGCCGTCGCCTTCGCCACTTGAGACCCTGGCCAGAGCCCGCTCGAGCTGCTCGATGCGTACGTGGGCCTCGACGAGCAGATTCGCGGACCCAGCGACAGCTGGAGATGAAGAGGTGGCCGAGGGCGCATCCGACCCGCCGTCCTGATGTTCCTCCGGTTTTGTTAACACATAACTGGATGAAGTCGAAGCAGAAGACGGCGGCGACGACTGGTCCTGTAACCAAGTGCGAACGTCCATAAACGGCGACGTTAAAGGCTGCTTCGGCGGCGAGTTTGGCGGCGAGTTGAGTGCGAGACTCGAGAAACTGGTCGTGGCAGCGGAGTGCGGCACATCGACATGCACGTACGGCGTCGGTGAGAGGGACAGAGCCCTCACGCTTTTACGTCCGCTTGCACCGGTAGTGGGAATGCCGTTGCTACTGCCGGAGCTGCTTACTTTGAAGCCAGCGCCACGGCTGCTCCTGCTCTCTCTGCCGTGACTATGCAGGCTGTCCTGCGTATCAAAGCCAGAAGCGAAAGGGTTGGACGTCGACAACGAAGCTAGTCGCAATGCATTCGATCAGCCAAACTATAAAGAGCGAATATTCGGAAACAATAACTCACCATTCTTCACGTGTGGACTCCTAGCATACGGCTTCGTCCGCCTACCACCACTCTCCTCGGTATCGCTGTGCGTAGACCTATCCATGCCTCGCTTCTCGCGACGCGCCCGCGGACTCTGTGAAGGGTACTGTTGCGGTTCAGAATCAGACGGTGAGAATTGTAACCGATGGTCCGTGCCCGCCAGCGCAACCGCGGCTGGCGACCCGGCACCGTCCCTGTCGTGCTCTACCTCGAGACCCAGCGGGTTGTTCGGATCGACATTAGTCAGTGGCCGGGCAACGTCCACCTTGACAGGAAGGGGTGTGACGTCCACATCCATTGGACTCGACAGTGCCCCGTCGGGGCGCATCGGCGGGCGAAACGGATAAGGGGCGACGAAGTCTCGACGCATGAAGTACGATGTCTGCGGCGGTGGCGGGATAGGATCGGGAGGAGGAGGCATGTCCATGTTAGGTTCGGAGGGATGCGGGTACCAGTTTGCGTAGAGGGGAGGAGGAGGTCCATACCCAAGATTTGGGCTAGGACACACGCTCATCGGCGAGGGAGGGTGCTGAGAAATACTGAGCTCCGTCGCAAATCAGCAATTGAGGTATACACATACCTGTTGGTGCCAAGGGCATCCGCACCGCATCCCAGGCGTGAAAGATGGTCTCAGCGCCTGGCACTCCTCAGGAAACGATGGTCGCCTTGCGCGTTGACCCAAGTCGGGGATCGACGGGCGTCTCGAAGCTGGCAAGCTCCCGCTCGGCAACGAGCGACGGGTCGGGCCGGAGACTTGGTCGTATGTCGGAGCTGGCGGCTGATTGTGCTTCTGCGGCAGACCTTGCAAAAGAGATGCCCGTGCAGCAGAAGCTGGCGGCTCGATATCCTCGAACGTGTCCCTCGTGAGCTCGAGCTCATACCCGCACGCTCTGGCAAGCCTCAGATCATGGTCCGATGGCTTCCGTATGTGGTTCGCGACAAGTTCTTCTCGCCCCTTGATTATCTTCGTGCCCGTGACGAAATCTCCAGACTTGGGTCGTATCTTCTGCCCCACCTTCCCCTTCAAGCCGGATCCTTCTAGAGACGAAGATGGTGAAGGACCAGATAGCGAGGGATCGAGGCCACATGTCTCGTCGAAGAGACCGTCCGAAATGCGCGACCATCTCTCGAGCAACCAGACGAGCATATACTCGCTCTGTTCACGGCTTGTCATCCCTTGGCTCGCGTCCGCTTGCAGATCCCCATTCTCCCCTCCATGTGTCCCCGTCACTTCTCCGCCATTTGCAAAGCCTCTCGCGCTCCCCGCCTCATTCGGGCCCTTCTTCCCACCTCCGAGCATCGGCACCGCAAAGATCCTCGCCACATCTTCGAAACTCATCCCGTTCTCAGGGGCAAACTCCACCTGAGCAAAAAATCCACACAGGTACGCGAGGAGACTCGCCTGCCCCCTCGGCGCCATACGCAACAGCACCTGCGCAATCCGCACCTGCTCACGCTCAGCGGCCTCGCGCAGAGCACGCCCCTTGCGCTCCTTCTCCGCCCTAATCCGCTCACGCTCGGGGGAGCTCTGAGCAGTGATCTGTTTCGGCATCATGGGAAAAGAATACGGACGGCGGGGCTGCGGACGGCCCCGCTCCTCATCTTCTTCCTCTGCGGCCTTTCGCTCAGCTTCGTACACGCTAGGTGTAACGGCCCGCTCCCATAGCGGTCCGTATACGGCACGCGGGAGCAGAGGCTCGGGCAGCGCACTGGCGAAAGATGCGAGAAGCGCACACAGGCCGGGCATAGCTTGGCCGCGAGGAGTGAAGTGAAGGCCAAAATCCACGGATGAGTCATAGACGGACAACAGAAGTGTATGCTGAGAGCGCGAAGGGAGCGCGCGGAAAAGAAGAGGTTGATATATCCCTTAAAGGTCAGCTTCGGTCAGTAGCTGCGCGGAAAAGGAGGAATACATACGACTACGCACCTGTCCGGTTAAGCTCTTCCACGCAAGCGACAACAAGAATCGGCAAATCATGCGTGTGCTCGCCAATCTCGACAGGCTTCGACGCATACAGGAGCACCTCCTCCAGCGAAGAGCCGAGTACGCCTGAAAATCCCGATTTAATAAGCTCCGCTGGCTGAGCACAAGAAGGAGATATGCACTAACTGAAACCTTCTGGTACGTCCCCACTACTTTCCTTCCACGCCTTCACACGTGCCTTGATGTCAGCATCCTGCCTCGTAAGCGCAACCACGTCTTTGAGCGCTAGACAACTACCCTCGCCCTCCAGCGTCTCATGCGTAAGCTGGTTGAACCGGTGGTAGAGAGTGTTCGGCGGCAACAAAGGCACACGCGGGCGGAGACTCGCCATCGTCATCGTCGGGGTCGTGTCCCGTTCTCGAGGTGATATCGGCGCCGGTGTCAACGAGTCTCTGCGCTTCCGCACGGGAGTGGGAGCAGAAACAGAAACATGCGCTGGGGGTGGTGCAGTCGGTGGCGCCGGTGCCAGGCTTTGCGCCTGGGGCAGATGAGAACGGGCAGGGTGGCCAGGCACAGACCCAGACCCTGGGACAGGGCTAGAACTTGGAGCACCAGATACATTTGCGCTCGGTGTCGGGCCGCTGCCGCTGCGACGTGGTGCTACAGAATTATTTCCTGGAAGAAAACAAGATCGTGACATGATCAGTATATGTTTAATTCACGAACGGCGCGACGTACCTGAGCCTGGGCCTGGTAATTCACCGGCAATGACGGGAGGAGGACCGGAAACCGCGCCACCGCATCCTGAGCCTGCACTAACAACGGGGTGACAAAGCAATCCAGGCAAAGCCTGCTGCACCGTCTCGTCCTGCTCCACAGAATGCCCTGCAGGAAAATCCTCATGATACATCGTCCTAAGCTCGGTCCTAAGCTCAGGCCCAAAATGCGCGACCGACGTCGACGTCTTGGCACGCCCAGGCGGGCTGTCAGGAGGCACGGGTGGCGGTGACGAACTCGGAGTCGGGCTGAGGCTTTTCGGCGGGGCGGATGTGTCACCATGTTCGCCGTCACCAACGCTGGCGTCACCTTCAGCGCTGCACGACTCGATCGTGTGGAGGGAGTGCCGTGAGAAGTCGAAGCTGCCGTGCGCGTGGTTACGATAGACGCCGCCGTGGCTGAAACGGGGTGGGGGCGGGTGAACGCCGGGCAAACTGGAGAAGCGCCCGCGAACGTTGTCGAGATATTCGGTTCCTTCTTGCGACTGTACAGCACCATCTCCGAGTCGTCCGCCTTGCCGAGCACGGCTGTGAAAGCTGGGGGGCATAGATAAGCGGCGAGGCTGGCCGTGGCCTTGGGGACCATTGGAGGAGACTGGGGCGGCGGGATGCCGATGACCGTGCCCTAGTATGCGCAGGTGCATGCCAGATTGCATGTGCACATGCAAGCGCGAGTGTGTGAGTGGGTGCTGCTGTGAGGGCGAGCGAGGATGCGGGTGCCGTCTCAGAATACCATGACCGATATTGTGCCCGGCATGGTGGTGGTGATCGAGCACCGCCCGTCTTCCGGCGGCCGACGACGAAGGCGCGTTATGCCCGGTAAGGGTATGACCATGGTGATGACGCTGGTTGAGGACATCTCTCGGGTGCGGTAAACGATGGTGCGAGTGCGAGCTGGTACTGAAGGTGGGCCCAGAGCTAGACCCCGCTGCGCCCGCAGCAGAGGCAGTACCATAGCCGTGTTCGTTGCCCGAAGTCGGTCTCGAACACAAGATGTCATGCCCGCGATCATTGGGCGAATTTGAAGGATCTTGTACGGCATGAGTAGCGTCCGAGTGGCCAAGTCGGACGTCCAAGCTCGGGCTGGTTTGCGGGCTGCTCTGGGAGACCGCAATGTCGTCGAGGGCATGTGGTTGCGACACGTGGTGGTGGTCGATTGGATCGTCGCACATGCTGTGCGGCGCGGTATGGTTTATCTGAACGATAGGCATGCCTGTAATAAAAGTAAATGCAGGTGTAGAAAGCAGAGTGGAATGGGTGTATGCTCGAGATCGTGATGCTGGAGTGGGAAGAGAATGGATATATGCGTGTATGTGATGCTTCGTCCTTGAGGTGCTTGTACTCCTGAGAGCAGCACGGGCGGCTGGGGCTTTCTTTGGATCGAATAGATACCTCCGCAATATGCGTGTAGGACGGAGGCTAGATTGGGGGTATTATATGCACGATGAGGGGCCAACGGAATAGTAGAATGGGGACGTACAAAGAGGACCGGGAAAGTCAGCGGGCTAGGAGGTCGACAGAAATGGCGGGGATGCGGAACCAAACGTGATCAGGGACAGGTTGTGTTTGAAAGCAAGAAAGACGTTCTTGAAAGGCAAGAACGGTTCCTAGGAGAGGCCCCGGAGATGAGAGGGGGAAGGAAAAGAGACGAAATTCAACGCACGACCGGTAGAGGGGCGGCCGCGGACTAAATACGAACGGTAGTAGAGGGAGATTGGCGTTCGGTCGCCTGATAGCGTAGGGCTGACACGCGATATGGCAGGCGGGGAGAGGGAAACGTGGATGAACGAAGGCAAAAGGCAGAACTAAAGGCGTAGTCGTATTGCGATGTATGTGTTGAATTTTACAGCGGCTAGTTCGAGGAGGGAACGAGGCTGTCGGCCGGGGGGGAGGAAAGTTGGCCTGTGAAAGGGCCGGGGAGGGGCGAGCCAATGAGACGGCTCGGATGGTGGTGGCAGAAGGGAGGGGCGAGGCGAGAGGAGCGAAGAAGAGCTGTTTGGGTTGGGTTTGGGAGCGGGAGAGGGGTGCTGGAGAAGTATATACCGAGCTAGCGCGTGAGGTGGCGGCTGGTCCAGGGGACTAGACTCTCGTTCTTGCGCGTTCTCACCCGTGATGGACACACCTCAGCACGGGCTTGTCATCCATTCCTGTCGCGCAGGGCAATCCATTGCATGCATATATTCTATTGCGTTCCGTCTATGGGTCCATGTCCCGGGCAGAAGCTGTCAAGAAACGGCGGGACTAGTCTGACGGCGCTGGATGAAGGCGCAGGCCCTGGTCTCCCATGATACAGCAAGGAAGGGACGGTGGACTAAGTGGGCCACCGAGGGATTGAGTTGGGACTGGGGAGCGAATAGGAGAGAGGAGGGTTGCGCTGCAAAATTCGGGGGAGGAGGTCAAGGTCGCGATTCAAGGCCTCGACTGTCGCCTATTCCATCTTCGTTCCTGGCCCAGACCCACCATTCTGTCTATTTCACACGCCTAGATCCCACGGATCCCCCCGGTGGCGATGCACCTTTCACTCTCCACCCTCGCAGATTGAGGGCCTCAATCAAATCTCAACACCGCGCACGCCCGGTCAGTATGACGCTACCACTAGCCTCAGATTCTGTTGGAACCACAACGAAAGTGGTGAGAGATTTTACTATGGTCTATGAGCAGGTCGCACGATCATGACTGAAAACCCACGCGCAGTCCACGTGCGAAAGTTCACGACGATCCTACTTTTTCAGCGAACAGAACGTAGTCCCTTCCATCGGCCAGTGTGCACCGTCTAACTCTGACGTAGCCCCACGCTACAAGGGTTCGATTAATTTTACTTCAGTTGTAGGGTGCTGAAAAAATGTGCGCGAATTGCGCAAGGCTGGTCTAGGCTCAGCGCTCGGCCGCAGCTTGCAGCCCACTCGTGTTCAATGGACCAGTTCCTACCCATTTTTAATGGTAATACTTTCGTTTCAGCTAGTATCGTCGCACCGCCATCGCATTATTTGATATGATTCCGACCCAAAATTCTATCGCTACCCCAATTCGCCCGTGTCTCAGAATCTTGCTCATCCTCGCATGTCCCTGACTTTCGCAACCCTAGTTCGTGTATGTGTTTGAAGGTGACCACGACGTCACACTGAACGAATCGCATACGACATAAGCCGGCGTCTCCCAACACGTCTGCTAGCCCTTCTCCCCTTTTTCCGCGCCTCTTCCTATCTGAGAGCCTCTGCCTAGCTGAACACGAAGGCTCTTCTGTCGTAAAACAGCGACATCTGGTTTCTAATATCCCAGCCGCCGAACGAAGCCTTCTTGTACGGACAGATACAGGTAGTCGAGGCCAGTAGCCGACCAGCGGTCTACCGAAAAGCTGCAAAATCGAGCTTGCGTTCAGTTTCAAGCCAAGCGAACTAGCATGTCCAATTTGAGACGGGTACTTTGTCCATTTCAAAAAGCGTACGCATCAATTCTCGTAACGAGCTATTGCCATTTCAGCTTCTTGAACTGCATGCTTCTAATGATTTTCTTTCCCGCCCACTCAACTCGGCATATGTCAGTAGTACATGCCAGCGAGGGGGCCACTTGGATTTTTTTATCCCCGTCTCATCGTGTTCACGCCATCATCCGATGATGAGCTCTTAGCAGCGAACAAATTGCTACAGCCAATCCACATGTTTCGCGCCCCCAAGCCAAGCCAGCCCAAGCTTGAATGCTCGAACGTCGTTGAATATCCTATCGAATACGTGAGGCGACGTGAAGGCCAGAGGCAAAGTAAAGGAAACGTGGTCGTGAGCAGCCCATGTTAACATTATCCTCCTGCTGAATACCCAAACCGCCTCTATCCCTCGTCACCTCCGCACCGCACTCTTTTCGATCCATCTAGAACACTAATATCATGTTTTTAGTTGTTGTTGTTGCTCCTATCGTCCCGCTGTCTTCGCCTTCTCAACTCACTCGCAAATTCACTCACTCTCAGTATTTCAAGGTAAACTTTTCTTGCCCGTCGATCTGTCTAGCTGTCCTGGACTAGAAAGGTAGTCTCCACCCCAGTATGTAGCTGTCGGATTTATGTCTGACTACGTCCACACAATATTCGCCTTCCCTTCCAACCCCGAGCGCTGAGCATGCATACTGTGCTGTGGCTGTGCACCGAACCTCGTACACCTCCTTGCATCCGCTACGCTAGGTGCTATACTGCCTCCTAATAAATTTGCACGGATTTATGGACGGCTCTTAACGTCCACAATGCTGCGTGAACTAGAAGCAGGAACGATGGAATAGAAGAATCATGTCCCCAGAACCGCGTTGTGATCGTCTTCGCGAGTCTAGTACAGGCACCGAGGACGCACTCAAAGGTGGGCGTAAGGCGCAACTAAGGCGCAGCCCATCCTTCATAGTGCCAAGCCTGCGAATCTTCGGGCACTGCTTCTGAACGTTCCGAGAGGACGGCCGAGCGGTTACCGTTAATATACTAGGTCGTGAAGGAGGGGAACACCACCGATGCACGTCAAGTGTGCGTTTATTTTCTATAAGTACAACAATATACAGATAATTTTTGAGCCTAGAAACACAAAGTGTAACCCTATAAAACAATGCAGAGGACGTGTCGTGATGCTCGTGAAGAGAAAGTCGTGGGTGAATCGTTAGCGATACAAATGTATGAAATGTCAAACGTGACAAGTGATGATACATCAAATACGAAAGAAGGACAGCGAAAATGAGCGAATAATCGCCAAGAACCGAATGATCGAGCTTCCTGCGCCCGACAGCTCACTCATAGATGTTAAGTGCGTTGAACTCAAAGTAGGCCTCGCTGAACGCGCTAGGGTTGCTGTTCACATAGTCTGCGACGACGAGCATCGTTAGCGTAATATCACAAAAACGTACAAATCGCTGATCTCCTCACCAGTACAGGTCGACGGGCATCCAGAGGCGCCGTAGACAGAAGCAGCGCCTGCCCAATCGCCGCCTACACCCACGGTAAACGCGTGTCCCCATCGAAAGCGAACAAAGCAGCACAGATCACGATGAGTTATCGAGGCGAGAATGAAGAGAGAAACAGGCTACGTACAGAACGCCAAGTTGATTATAATGTTCTGCGAGCCGATATGGGTGTTGAAGTTGCACTGCGTGCTCGGGTAATACGCCGATGGCGTTCCCTGTGATCCGATTCCGAGTCGGAACGGAAGCGAGCACACCCATGATCAGCATATCGCCTCCGAGGAAGTATTGCCAGAGGTACAAAGGAAAGGAAGGCAAATGCAAAGCGCAAAGAAGAACACGGAACAAATTCAAGAGAATTCTGGGTCTGTAAAGCCCCCGGCCGGGTGAGCGGAACGGTGCTTACCCACGATGCGGGGTTGACTGTCTGCCCCGGATTCCTGACCTCGTTGGGCACCGAGCCGTCGTTGCGCCCCCAGAAGTACATCGAGATCGCGGTGCTCGTCTTCACGATGGCGTACCACCCTCCCCCAGCGTTATTGAAATCAGGCCCGAAGCTATTAGCCTTGGTATACTTAGTCCCGCAGCCTGTGTTATCCGTGTCGTACACGCTGCAGTCGAGCCCGCCGGTAGCGTATCTGCGTACGCATGTGGTACAGTGGAGGAAAAGGAAGTTGCCACGCGAGGAAGATAGGGGTAGATAGACGAAGAGATCAGCGGGTCAGTTAAATATTCTATCGATGTTCTCAGGGACGAAAGAAGACGTACCCTGACATCTTACGGCTCGCCGGCATCGTGCAGCCTGCAATGGTGGCACTCAGAGTGAGAAAATATTATCCAAGAGGAAAATCGAATCTACACGTACCATTACTCGTGTGGAGCGTTGACTGATTGGGTTCCTGGCTGTTGACGCCTTCGACGATATCGATCTCGCCCTACAAAAACGCCATCCATAAAAGACAGCATCAATGGAGACAACCTCGGAGACGACGGCGAAAAACGAAACGCACGTTATTTGGCCAATCTTGTCCGACCTCCCAGACGGCGGGCCAAGTCCCACATCCCGTGGGCATATGGCCGATGTCAAATCTATTATTAATCAAGGCATCATACCGTCAGTGGCGTCCTGAAGGTGCTGCGGACGGAGGTTTAGATGCGTGTATGAGCGGACGTACACGGCAACGTGGTTGTTGTATTGGGTGTTAGACATGAGCCTGAAGGTGTTCCTGCCTGGTCCACTGGCGCCGAGCTTTGTCCAAGAATCAGCGCGGAGAGTGAGCGAGCCTCCGTTGACGGTGATAAGTCCGTCATTCCAGGCTTGACCAAGGTCAACGTAGTTGCTTTGTCAAGTTAGTATCGCCATGACCAGCAATGAGGGGTTGCAACGTACCCTCTGCCGTTCGTGGGATCTGCGATGCTTTGGAACGTGAACGCGTTCAGGAAGTTCTGGCCGTAGAGAGCAGCCGTCCGCGAGTACGCAGCGACATGCAGCGCGTTCAAAGCAACGAGAAAGAGAGGGGCGAACATGATGACTGTCAGAGGTAGTTGATGTCTTTCTCGCTCAGATACTCGCAGGATCAAGTACGGCTGAAGCAGGCAAGGGAATGCGAACAGGTCCGTGAGGAAAGACTAAAAGACGAGGAAGAGGCAGAGGCTTTTAACCCAATGGCCTCCAGTTTCCGATTTTGGACGATGTGGGAGGCCTTTGAAGTTTTTCATCCGGAACAGGGTGGACGAGTGCGTATGGCTGGACAACCGGACGGAGGCGTAATGTCGAACGGGACAGGCGTCCCGAAGAAGTTGACAGCATCCGATTACAAGCTCCTCAACCAGATGGTCCTAAGCCACGTATTTTCGGACGACGTTGCGATTTACGAGAGCTTGTGACCTAAAACACATCGTCGAACTTTGCGCCAAGGGCGGGTGAGTGCATGAAACACCGCCAGAGTCAAGCAAAAGGAGGAGATCCGGAGCGTTACTGCATGTCGCGCTCGGATACAGTTCAGTCAGACCAGGCGAACGTAGATTTAGGTGTACGAGTTGCCCAAGCACTCGGTCCTCCAAGACTTGAAATTGGTGGTCAGCTTAGTGTGAACCCTCGGTATAAAAGCACACGATGCGATGGATACAACGTGAGTGGGCGCAGGTGTATTTCCCGGAGGAGGACTTCAGATTAACATCCTCCGAGGTAGAGTGGAACGGATGGTCTCTGTTTGGGCATCCCGGAGCCAATGGCAACAAGGCCTCCGAGCAGCACCCTGTCCTGTCCCGTTCCGTCAAAGTTTAGCATGCGAGTATGAAGGCCCGGTTTAGAGGCTTGAGAAGACGTACAGTACTACAAAAGCCGAGTTTGCTTAGACGCGTGGTGTACTTGTGGACGCCTTGATCATATGAACACAAGCTCAACGTTGCCGCTGGCACCTCCTATTGCAAAACGATCCGAACATGGCGAGCGTTACGGATCCTCGGAGGTGACAGGAGCTAGATGTCACATACCACAGATTCGCTCCTAAGCTGCATTGACGCCGCTCTGCACCGTCACTTGCCGCCGGACGAGGTCGTGCATTCAACATGCGACCGAGTCGGACGCGATGGTAGATCAGAGCTTGACCCCGTCTCGAGATTGCGATGTCAGAGCCGAATCCACACTGATCGGTAACGATCGTCTGATCCAGAAGGTTAATACGAGTTCTTTCAGGTCATTGTGGGTGAGAAGGTTGCAGCGGAAGAAAATGAGCTAAACTCGTGTCGAGTCCCCGAGTTGCAACGTCACCGAAGTGCGGCGATTAGAATGGTTTCCGAGTCACGTGTCTCTCCTGCGGACCGCCGGTGCCGTTCAGGTCGGACACTCTAGGACACTGACCATCCGATTTGTACATGCCTCATTAGCACTTCTCTGCCTTTCACCCTTTCTTCAGTCTGTCACGATGAAACTCATTTTGAGTCCAGCATCGAAAGGATACGGATGAGTACCGTCGCTGGATCTTGGTTCTCAAGCAAAGTGATTCGCAATGGGCGTTCCCCGGAGCATGCACGAGTAAGCTTAGCGAGCGCTCGAACTCAGCTGCATTCCCTTGCGCCACTCTTAGACGTCGGGATTCTCTCTGAGAAAAGAGCAACTTCTAGCCTCATCGAACTCCGTCAATGGGTCCAAAAGGCTGGAGCTTGGCACCTCCGGAACCCGGGCGCTTCACGACTCATCAAGCTCAAGCCCTGGAAGCTTCAACGTCAGATGTCGCAACTGCGTCACGCATTCGACATCTTGTGCCCCTACTTACCAAAGAGTCTCTACACCTGCCACTGTCGCGCCTACAAAGGTAAGAAGACTGGTTTTTATATATTCAGACAAAAGCTGCATCAATGATGCAATGGCTTCTCGTCCCGAGTTGCACCTGACTACAGTGTGCGCTTCTTGTATAGAGGACCAACGGGGATACAGAAAAGGGGGGGGACCAAGCCGTTCCTGTCATCACGGCGGGCATCACGGTGCTGTACTAACTTCCCATGGACCAACAAGGCGTGATGTATCCGGTCCGACTTCTATGTTACCTTTGGTGACCCCGTAGTTGAACTAAAACACGAGGTTAAGTTTAAGTAAAGTGGCGCTCATACGAAGCCTTATCTCACTCGGCTTCTTCCGGTGACGGGTATCCATGCTCACCTAGTTACGTGGGTTCACCCCCATGTTTAGGAATATAAAGACACGCACCATCCTAGCGGCTTTCCTATGTGGCGGACGTATAATTGGGAACAGCGAGGCTCCCCTTGTTGCTTATTCTCCTCATTTCTTTTCCATCGAGATGCCATCCCCGAAATCCTCAATCTGCTACCAGTTCGCTGACACTGGTACTTGTCGCTTTGGAGATAGCTGCAAGTTCAAGCATACCGCTCGATCCGTCACTAGCCCCGTAAGTGTATCCGTCTAACCGCGCGCAGCGCCCGTTAACGAAAGGGAAACTGATTTCAATGTTGTGTAGAGAGGTGGATCCCATCGTAAGCGCAGCAATGTCGTGACGAGTCGCTTCGAGGGTGCCCCTCTGGACGACTTCTTTACCCAGTACCTTTCCAATGGCTTCGATTACAACCCTCACAACTCCTCTCACCACGAGTATAGGCGCCTCTGCCGCCACATGGAATGGGATCGCTATGACCCTGAGAGAGAGGAAGCGCGGGAGCAGTTCAAAGATGCGCTCACGCAGCAATTCAGTGTCATGTACGGGGAGGACGAGAACGAACTTGCAGCCTGGCAATCACTATGCGAGGCTGTGGAGTTGGATGGTGTCCCAGATAATTTGGATGAATGCCGCGATGTGAGTGAGCTATTCCACGTTTATCAGCTGCCATCTTAATCAGACGTACGGTATAAGGCTATCCGGTTCACATTTGTAAACCTCGTCGATCTAGTCGATACCCAAAGAACTGGCAATTCCGTCGAACGTTTCGACTCGGAGGTAGCCCTCAGCTCGTACACGATGGCTCAGGGGAAGTTCTTTCCCGCTGACAGTGCGTATCAGACAGGGCTGCTTAGGTACCTTCTCCGTCACATCTTGTCACCTGACGCCAAGTATCGTACTAGTCGCGGCAAAAACTCAAAGGGACAAAGACGCCGTTAAAAAGTATAATTGTACGATTATGATTTGAATGTTAGATCTTGATATTGATGCACAAATAACATAAGAATGCCAGGTTGTACTAGAGTGCTGTATCTTCTTGGCACCACGAGCTAAACATATATATAGGCTTAACGAGACAAAAGTTACTTTTAGGCCTTAATCATGCCATGTTCTCTGGCGGAATGACCCCTGTTGTCTGTTTAGTAGTCGCGTCCTCACCCATGGTGATGACAGACGTAAACTGCACTGCATTAGACGTATCAAAATCCTGAGTCCGTCGGTTAGCTTACATACATGACCAAGATAAGAAGAACCCAACCGTATCGCGTCCGCCCCCGCTGCAACGGTCTTGCGCTTCTCTCCTCAACAAAACCGAGTACAACAGTGTCTGTGCTACTATTAGGGTGCATCAGAGTTAGTTTGACAAGAGGCTTACGGTGGTATACACGCGTCCCGTTGGAATTGCTATGGCCAAGTCCAGAAACGAATCAGGCCAAAGAGAAATAGATAATATCGTTCCCAAGGTGAATATTCCGGCGAATATGCCGGTTTGAATCGCGCCCCTGAATACCCGGTGAATGATATGGTCGGTTTTTTTAGCCCCAGTGCGTAGTCTCAATAGCGCTACGCTCAGAGAGCCTTGATTACGGTGAACAGTGGTTTCTGTGCGTTTCGGCGTGATAGCTCACCTGTGACGAAACAATCCGTGATGAATGTGATAAAAAACCATGACGTCCCCTGTGCTTTGGACGTCTCAACCGACGATTGTTCCAAATGGCTTACAGAAGGTCAATGGTGATCATTGGATGCTAAAGCGCCGCATGTGCTTACAGCTCGGACACGAATGATCGGACTGTAAAAGCGCATGCAAGCAAAAGACAACACGTTGCCAAAAAGGTGAGCGCAATAGCCACAAATCTTTTCGATGCTAGCCGAAAAAACCTGTACGTCGATTAGTGGTATCTGTGAAAGGGGGATGAGGCAATAACAAATGCATACCGCTGGATAAGGTAAAGCTGAGTCACAAAGGCAGACCACCCCAGTGGCACGGGATAGATGTGAAGAGGCCAAAGCTCCACCACTAAGGGTTACTTTCAGAGATGGTCCGGCTTTCAGCGCATTCACAGCTTACTGTGGAGGGTTCCGGGCTTGTGTTCGGTACCGTACCCGTCGACGCTAAAAACAGTGTTAAGGGTGATAATTTGAAGATATGCAAGGATGAGCATACAGAAGTACCCATGCGAGATATAGAACCCTAACGTTAAGATTTAGCAATTCATTCTGGTTTGTTGTGGGATTGCACGAAAAAAACACTTACGAAGCACTGAAGGCCGTGTCCATAATAAACACAGAGGCCAGCAGGAACCTATGGACCCGGGGGCTGAGAAGTCATATCACCAGGTCGAGGTGTTGGACGGGTTCTCCCCACCTGGAAGTACGTGTGTCGTCCTTGCCTATCCCCAATGAGTCAAGAATCGAGAAAAGATTGTAAGCGCCACTCACTACCCGACCAATAAGAACAGAACTGATATGTGACCAACCCGCAGAGGTATGTGTTGACTGAAACCGCCGGTAAGGAGTCATTATCCACATTAGCCATAGCTCCAGCAAGTTCCCTCACAAATGATGCCTAGGAGGAGCGTCCCTAAGACGCACAGATGGCAGTCAGATGATACAGTATCAAGGGAGGCGTTTGAAGTGCACGTACCGAACGTGGTTTCGTACCCGGCCATGTTGATGTAGGAGTGAGCTTGATGGAAAAGAGGAAAAGACCTCTCGCCGCCTTCAGTCGTTGGTCGTTTTGAGCCCGCGACGTCGCCTGGAGCAAGGTTACGAAAGTTTAAACCGAGCCCCGTTCAGAGACCCCTTGGTTGATCGGATTATTACTCAGGCGCAGCCACATACGAATCCATAAGGTTCAAGTCGGTTCACTGAATAGTGGAGTTTCGGCGTACCTCACACATGTCTCCCTTGGCCTGGATACAATACATAATGCATTCAGCGCCTTTGACAGACCTCTACAACGGTTCCCAGCCTAGTGAACAAGTGCGAAAGCGGCACGATAGCTACCGAGGTCGGCAAGGGGCTTGAATACATAACGCTCTATGCAAAAGCGGTGATGATAAGTATATTATGATCGGGTCGATCTGCCATTCTGTCTGATCGGAGTGGACATTGAAATATCGGAAGCTTTGAGGAAGCGAATATAAAGCCGGCCAGAAATTAGCTGGGCGTTGATATAGGCGTTGATGTGCATTCACTAGGCGTCCCACTATACAGAGGCGGTGGCAAGTGGTGGCGTCCACGTCATCCTGAAACGACTAGCAGATAATCAACCAACGATGAACATGAGTTCAATGCACAGACCGCCTACCTGGGTTATCTAGCTACAAAATGTTACAATGAGATAGCGTTAGGACTGATTCGAAATTAGAAAAGGACGTGTCCTATAGGCCAGGTTCCCGCCACTTGGTCTTGCTCGTCCGTAGTCAAAGGGAAGCAAATTTCGCAAAATGAGGTCAAATGACTCCTACAGTCTAATGCAGATCACTGTCGGTCCGAATTCGACCTGTCTGTGCGATGACGAGTACAGTTTAATGTCAAGCAGTCTTGCATATGCCCAAGTTGTGGTAAAAGAGAAGGGCATAAGTCAATCAAAAAGCCAACCGCTATGCGCTGTAGACTGTTTCGAAGTTCAAAAGAGAAATCTGGCGAACAAGAACATGCAATTACTCTCATACGCAAATACGAATAATACATCAGTACCTGTCAAGATAAAACTCACCAAACGCAGAACCACGAGAACGAGACTCTAATACTCAACAGCATCTTCTTCATCCGCACGCTCCTGCCCTTCCTTCTCCTTTACAGGCTCTGGAGCGCCAGTGTTCTTGGCAGCCGGCGCGCCATCGTCCACTTCCATCTCCACGTCTTCCTTTGCTGCCGCTGGGGCCGGTGCACTGGGTGCCTCTGCAGCCTTTTCCGCAGTCTCTGCCTTCGGCGAGTCGTCTTTCATATCCTCGTCCTTCGCCTTGGCTTCGTCCAGCTCCTTATCCAGCCCTTCGCCCGCCGCAAGCTTCTTCTCCTCCTGCTCTTTCCGCCGGCGAGCGTCTTCCTCGGCGACACGCTCACGGAGGGTATGGATCTCCTCTATGCCTGCGGAGCGTTCTTCGCGGAAGGCGGTCCATTCCGCTTCGGCAGCTTTCGAAACCTGAACAAGGCTCGGTTAGCACGGAGAAGGTATGAAAGTTGGGATAGCGCTAACCTCTGCCTTGCGCCTGGTGAGGAAGGCTTCCTGCGAGGGTAAGAGGACGGCGGGGAGATAGTACAGTGGTGGCGGGTGGGAACGAGAAGGGGATGTCAGCTTTACTGGTGGCCTTCCTTCAGCCTGAGAGTCCTCCGTCTTCATGGCGGCTTCGGAGTCGGTGGATGGGATGATGTCGGAGGTGAGGAGGAAGTTGGCGAGAATGGGGTAGCGTGTACGACGGAGTTTTTGCTACACGACCAGAAGGGAATGCGAAGGGAGACGAAGGGTGGTATTAGGAGGATGAAAGAGGCCAGGGAGAAAACTGGATGCGTACGATAGAATCCTTGAATTGCAGCTCCTCCTCTTTCCTAGTCGCGCTCGTCTTGTCCTTCTTGGCCTCTTCAGCGCGACGTACCGAGTCAGTTTCCCTCTTGAGCTTCGTTTGTAGCCGTTGCTCAATCAAATGACGTTTCTTCGCCTACAGGGTCCACGTGTCAATGGAGGAGAAAAGCGCGAAAGAAAGAGATAAACGCACCGCGTCGCTAGCATTGCGTTCCTTGTCCTCAATCTTGGCCTTGTTCAGTGTACCTAGCACAATACCAAACATGCTCTTGCCGCGTTTCCGTTCCCCAAGGCCGCCGAGGTCGATACGCGGTCGTTTCCTGACCGTGGCCGCAGCTGGGGCGATGGCCTCAGTGGCCTCCGGGGCGGGGGTTGGTGGCTGCTCTTCAGCCATTTTGGCGTCTTCGACCACTGGGGAGCTATACAACGTTGTATCAGCTCCATTATTCTCCTTGCACGTCGACATGAAGGAGACTAACCCTTCGTTGGACATGTTGACCTGCTCGCTGGTGGGGAGGGAAAGAGGGACGAAAACTGCTGACGTAAACATTTACCGGCTCTTGTCGCGCCGCGCACCTCCGCCTCCCGCCTTATCCTCCGCCTCCGAGCCGCGATGCCTCCAAAACAGCAGGGAACCAAGGCAAAGCCTCCAGCAGCGTCGAAATCATCTAACGCAAAGGGCCAACGATCTCGCGTAAAGCAGCCCAAGCAGCCTGCACCCGTCCTAGATCGTATCAAGCGTCTCTTCGGTTCGCTATGCGCGCAGATCGATGGAGGCCATTTCCCGAATGCGCTCAAGACTTGTAACAAGAGTATGTTACTCAAAATCCTTGATATCCAGTACATTTTTTCACAAGTGATCAAGTACTCCGCCTTGACCCCACCGACGTCGACGCACGCAACGCGAAGCTCTTCCTCCTTCTCCAGACTGAGCAGTACACCGCGGCTCTGGAGCTGCTTGGCGAAGGCTCGCCGTCTGATGCTCGGAACTTTGAACGAGCATATGCTTACTATAGGATTCAACGCGAAGAGGAGGCCGCAGATGTCCTTGGGCAGATAAAGGGCAAGGAGAATGATGACCCCCTGGTTGCGCGCGGTGTCATACACCTTGAGGCTCAGCTGGTGTGTACCACACTATATCTTCGTGCGTAGAGTGCTCAAGCTAGTTCTCCAGGGTTATCGTCAAGGATCCTACGAAAGCAGTCTCGAGTTATACAACGAACTTCTCGACACCGCCGAACCGGCAAGCTTTCACTATCTCCTCTAACATCGCTTCCACATCATCTCATTCCATCTTACAGAACACCGAAGAACACTCCGACGTCCTCACGAACCTCACCGCGACTCAAACTCATCAGGACTTCATCTCCACAGACTACCTCCGCGCACTCGACGCCCTCCCCCCACAAGTCGTCAACGCGCTCGAAGAAACCCCGCCTCCGCAGCCGACGACACAAGCCCAGACCCAGCTCGCCGGCCACCTGCCTTCCAATGATACCACCGCTGCAAAGGAAGGCATAGATGGAACAAAGCCGAAATCCCCGCGCAAGTCACGGCTCCCCAAGGGCGTTGTGCTGGGTGTTACGCCCCTGCCGGACCCGGAGAGATGGCTCAGAAAGAGTGAGCGGACGATCCAGGTATGCTATTATTGATTCTCAGCGAACGACATGGGGTAACTAACGGGTATCGTGTCTCCTCACAGCCACATCACAAGAAGAAGCGCGGCGGCGGAGGTGGTGGTGCCACACAGGGCAGCGTTGCGGATGCGCCCCCTTCTGGAGGCGGTGGAGGCGGCGCGTCAGGCAAGGGTGGTAAGGGCAAGAAGAAGAAATAGTCCGGCGCAGGTGATGTGCCCCACTTTGCCTTCCTCACTATGCTATGCAGTATATCACCCGCTTGTACCTGGTGTCTGCTGTTGTTACATGGTGTTTCAGTAGTATTACACCGTCACAGAGACTGAACAAACGGTGGACAAAATCGATCCAAGGATATATGCAAGAAATGACATTCACGACAGGCTCCATTCTACATAATAGTCGGGATATAAGGATATCTAAGGACAGAGCGGGGATAACTATAAGACCATAAGATGTGATACAGGTACAGTGACGTTGACGGGTCCAAATACGAAGCAAGTACACCATATATCGGCAGTGTCTACGCGTCGTACACGACACGAGCACCAACCCACGGATACGGGTAGTTGTGCTGGTAGAAGTTGCGTACCGTGCGGCGCGCTGCGAGGCGGGGTATAGTCGCATAGGATGCACCGAGCTATCATGATTACTGCGTCAGCAACTGAGTCGTTTTATGGAGAGAAGAAAGACATACCACAATCTGATGCTTCCCATCGAAGAAATCGTCGGAATACCCAGGGAAATGCTGCGTTCCCACGAGCCCTTCATGCCCCTCGAACGCCGTCGACGTCCACTCCCATACACCCCCATTCGACCCGCGTCCGCCGTTGACGTCGTCGAGCCCAGCAGTGGCAGGGACGGGATGCCAGTTCCTGAATCCGACGTTAGCGCCGCCAGAGTGCCCGACGTCGTAGGTATCCAGGAAAAGTCGGAGCTCAGGCTCGGTGGGCAGGCGCCCGCCCTTGGAGCGCGCGTACGCGACCATGGAGTCGTACGACGTTAGAACAGGCCAGTGCTGCGCGACGGCGAAGGGAACCGGGCCATACAACGTGCGCACCATCGGCATCGCGTCCTCTGAGCTCATAACCCAGCTAGGTGGGATAGGCACGCTACCGCTGGAGGCGGCAAAGTAGGCATAGAACTCGGAGTTGCTGACGGGCCTCCACTCTGCGCGGAACGCGCCGACGCGCACCGTGCGAACGGGGGACTCGTTATCCCACCCAAAGACGTGGGACATGACGTTGTCGTACACGTTGTTGTCCCCGTCCGTGTCTGGTGAGGACTTAAAGTCCTCCGCCTCGGAATCGTGATGTCCGAGCGTAACATCAACGGGGCCGAGGGTCACAGTGGCCGTCTCCGGCGCTGGATTCGCGTTCCACTGCTCCGCAAGAGCGGCCCAAGGTGGCGTGGTGAAGCCCGGCGGAGGGAGCGTGCCGGTGCCGGCGCGCTGGATGAGCATGTAGAGGAGTGTCTCGACGTGCCAGCCCTCATGTTCGAGCGTCATACAAAGCATCCTCGCAATGTGCCTCGAGAGTTGCCTCCGGCCTGCCGCAACGTCGGCATATAGGGCCAAGAGCCGCTGCCGCACGCGCGTGCGGAAGTCGAGGACGGTAGCGAGAGTGGGCCAGTCCTCGTCGTTGACGGGCACCTCAGAGTGTCGGTGGCAGCGGTCTGGGTCGTCGACATGCGGGTCGATCCCACGCTCGAAGATCTGGGTGAAGTTCTTGGGCTCCGTGTTGGGCTCGTCCAGGGCTTTGGACAGGAGCATGTCGAGGAACCTTTAATAACACTTCAGCTGATCCCTTTATGCACTTTTGAAGGATGGGACTTACGTGGGGATGTGGCCGATGTAGAACAAGCACTTGTGCCGTAGGTCGATCGGTTTCTGGTGCAGCATGCTTGGCGGGATCATGCTCAGCGTGACGAGGTCCCATGCTGCCCAAAGATCGTGCCACTCAGCCGTTGACGGAGGCCCGCGGAGCGAAGTAGCGCTCGAAACGGCGCTCAACAGGTCCTTCTCGGCGTCCGAGTCGGTGAGAGGGGCGACAGGAGGAAAGGACACCTGAGGGCGCTCAACGAAGTAGAGCGTGCACGATGAAGACGTGGAAACGGGGACGGAACAGTGATAGATGGAACGGAAGCCGTTGAGCGAGAGCAAATCGAGCACCTCTGCGTGAGTGAAGAAAGCGGCAGAGCCGAGAACGTTTTTGAAAAGGTGATCCTTGACGAGATCTTCATCCGGTGATCCTTTCTTGCCCTCGACGAGGTACATTTCGCCTGAAGACGTCATTAACACCGCGCAGTAACAACGAATGTGCACTAGGTTAACACACCTTCTCTAACTCTGACCTGAACGCTCTCAACGGACGCCTCCCAAGCGCCGAGAACGCTCAGAACGTCCTTAACACGTTCGCCGGCATTGACTGGGGCACATGCCTGAGCGTTGTTGGGGACGCAGACTACACCGCATACACCCGCAACCTTTTCCGATTTGGCAGCGAGGTAAGCCAAGGGGGCCTGTGCGCTCGTCAGGAGACGGATAGGGTACGATGCCGGTGCAGGGGATGCAGAGGCTGATGAGGCGACAGAGGAGGCTCGGGAGGATACAGAGGGTGAGGAAGTCGTTGATGCATTGGAGGCGAAAGAAGTGGTGGGGAAGAGAGAAGGTGTGGCGGTCATGTTGGAGTGCGAGGAAATGAAAATTCAACGCTAACGGTGAGTTTGAAAGGATGGTTTTTGCTGCTGGCTCAAGCGGAAAACCTGGTGCGCAGTGGAACGATGAGATCGTCTCGCCACCTTGCAGCGGATTTTTATACGCAAAACTGGGGTGTGGACTCGAAAGGCAAGCGGAGTTGGGAAATAACATTGCAAGGGGTGAAAATATACAACAAATACAAACGGATACGAGATAGCGGTACTGATCTGACTAGGCCACGTACGGCATCGGTGCTCAGTACCATTCCACGCCAACACCGCGGGACAAAGAGGCCATCACGAGTCAGGATATGTGCACGGCGCTGGGCAGAAGCTACAACGTTGCAGAGATATCACTCCGAAACGAGGGTCGTTGACGTATGAGACCACACGGCAAGGGGATGGATGATGCATCAAATGCGGATAGGCGAAACCGATTTACATTGGTGCGACAGTGCCGATGGAACAAGAGAAATGAGCGGTCTTGATGGACGGCCGCTGGCCACGTATGGACAAGATGGACCTGCATTCAACCGCAAAGGTGTGGAGATAAGACCACAATCTGAGTCTCAAGCCGAGTTGCAGTACGTCTTCCCAGCCAGAGCGTGAAAGCTTCCTTCCCAGACTCTCAAACATAGAACTAGAGCTGCCTAGAAATCTCAGGGCGTATGGAGTGCCGTAGGCCTCATGAGACGAACAAGCCAGAAGAACGTGGCGACGAGCACGGCGACGTCCAGATCAGAAGAGCCAATTTGTAGCGACGTATATCAAATAGAGTGGGCCTCGTGTCAAGTGATAAGAGCCTTCCGGGGTGAGACACGCGGCGTGAGAGATAAGCGGGATCCAGCGGTGACAGCGAGGGCACCCTGAGTGGTAGACGGGCACTTGGCGGGTGCTGATGAAGACATCTACTCTGCTCTAGCAAGGCGAGCGCGACGATGGCTGGCCAAGTGGCGAACAGAGACCCGGGGGCGCGGATATGTTTGAGTATGTCTGACCAGCAGTGAGAGAACCAGGGCGACAGAAAGGACAGGTGAAGTGCGGGCGCTGTAACAAGTGGATTTGATGGAGGGCGATTGAGCGGGTAAACGAATCAAAGGAGATGTCCCGATGATGGAGATCCCATGGGAGACAGGCGATTGTTGGGGAGGGGGAAAGGGAGGTTCCTGCTCTCGAGCCCCGCCTTATAAAACACCTTGATCGCGCTCTTTGCTACAGCGATTGCGTGCTTCCCCTCCCGTCACGTGATATATCCCTCGCCACCCTCTCCTCCCCCCTGATTTCCGAATACCTGTCATTATCCACACCATCTTCCTCGACGGTTTCTTATAGTTCATAAACAGAAATACAGTCCTGTCCACCGTTCTTGGACGGATACAATACACGGCTTGGTCCATCCGCTAGCTAATTGTAAGAATCAACACCTACTCACTTTCCGTACACTTTGGAGAGATGCCTTAGAACTATACCGGCACCGTAGGTAGTAGTCGGATAAACTTGTTACTGAGGCTCTCTGATGATAAATGTCGTGGTGCGTTGCACACGATGTCGCGACCCTTGCACGACCCCTTCAGATCCACTCGCAATCCATATGTTTATTACTCATCCGTATACGTGAAAAATATCCGTATGCGAATCTCACTCTTCAGGCGTCAAGGGGCATGCACCAATATTTGTCGGTGCTTTACAATGCTCCTTCCACCAATCACCTCGAACGAAAGTTCTCTGGCCTCGTTTTACCTACATCTATGTAACCATCACGACTTGCCATCGTTGAGTGCGAACGACATAGATGTCAAACTCCGCATTTGTTGACCTTTATGCATCCCACCGAAGTCCGAGAGAGCGCCTTCGGGTGCGGTGCTCTCCACATCTGCGACAGTCCGCCTTACAGCAAACGAGGACATCGATTCGGACCCGGTATCGCGCGTCCACGCCGTCCCGCGCGAGACGCGGTAGATGATCAGAAGGGAAGCAATGATCTGCGTCCACAGTCAGGGACATTGAATGCGTTACTGAACCGGAATTTGCGCGGGCGTGGCTTACCTGAGCTTGCTCGAGTGAGCTGATGAGGACGTATTGGCCCGGGTTGTCAAGTACATAGAGGACGATGAATGTCAGCGCAGTTACCGTGAATATCGCGGAGGACTCGATCATCATCGTTACGATGGTTGTGTATTGCGCCTGGAATCCGTGACCTACAGATGATGAACGTTTTCTCAGTCCTTTGCGGGTTGAACTCTGATACCAATGTATACGTACCCATAGCGTTCCATGACAGCTCGTCCATGGCATCCCTCAGGCGTCTATGGTGCACGATGATTCTCCCGACGATGAATGACGTGACAATAACGTTGAGCCCCACAGAAAATGAGAAAGCTGGTGTCGCAAAGTTGATCGTGGAGCTTGAATAGAAGCTGTGTCCGGGGAGAGACGACTGAACTACGGAGGTCAGGCCCATTCCTGTTGAAACATCAGCAAGCGCTCTATGCAATTAATCGATCAATGACAACCTGCGGAGGCAGCATAGAGCAGACACACAAAAACGGCGACGTATCTGAACAACGTCATATCGCGGCAGACGATGAAGAATCTCCAAACCTGTGGCCAAGAATCGGCCGGTTAGTAATGGGCATACCACTGTGGGCCAGTTATAACGCGCACCATGATCCCATCAGCCACGTTTTTACTCGTATCAAACGCCAAATCGCCCAGTATCCCATCGAGACTCGAAAAGTCGAGGTCGGAGTACGCGGACGGACCGCCTTCGAACAGGCGGTGGTCCACGTACGAGACCTGCGCACCGCGCGCGAGCGTTGCGATATATATCGTGCCCAGCACAAACAGCACGCTCGCGTAGGCGAGATGGAGCTTTCGCGCCATCTTGCGCTTGGAAGAGTGGCCAGATAGGAGGGAACGGAGGCAGGCGAAGTAGGTGATGCACATCATACCGTAGAACGTGCCCGCGACAGTTGTGCTCCCGATAAGATGTAGTCTGTCGTTTAGGAGCTGCTGGGCGGTCTCGTCTGTTGGGACGCCGCTAGAGGATGCGTTGAGGGACATCGTCGGGGAACTGAGAGATGGCGAGTGTCAAGCCTTCTCGAGTAAGACTGTGCTCATCTTTTAGCTTATAACGCGAGAAGATATAGTAATCGACGCACGAAGTCGATTGGGGGCGGCTGTGTGAGGATCTGGAACGTGTTGGAACGTGTTAGGCGCTGAAGATATACCAAAGGTAAGGCTGGGCATCGCGCCAGGCGCTAACACTTGTGTATATACCTGCATCCTGTACTTTAGCATAGAAGAATTGAACTACTCGGAGCTGGGATAACAGTCAGAGAACCGATGGCCTGTGTGGGTCATTCACTCCCTCTTCGCGACTTAGCTCAATGTCATGGCTCGAGACAGCCGTCGTCGTACCTTAAATCATCTACATAGATGATACTGCGCAGGAAGAAGGGACAGGTTCTAAAGGCCGTGATGGAAGCTGATGAACAAACGCTATCTGCCGGTAGTGCGCTCCTAGGCTTCCTCTTTGAGGAGGGTGCGTGGACCTTTCTGAAGAGAGTAAATATTTACCCGTATCATACCTTACTTCAACCAACATAGGATAGAGACGATCCGACTATGATCTGGGGGCACTGAGCGTCAGTGATGTTGAAGCACTCCTTAAGGTGAGCCGATACTGGTTCCAGGAGCGACTCGGAACAGGCATTGGGTCACTCCAAGGAATGTCTTTTCAAAGAAAGCTTTGGGGATCGAATTGAGTGGCAAGAAACTGACACGGACTGTTCCACCAGCTACCCATACCTTCGAGTGCAGGGTATTGGCAGACTGAGATCACCGAGGCCATAAGCTGTGGCCCTCAGCCACGTCCCGTCGACGCAGGTCCAACTTGAGCAACTGGCTTATGACAAGAACTGGAGCATTTGTATCGATAGCAAGGGTCTGTGATAATCGCGCGGCTCACCGGAGTTACCGCTTCCCATGTTCTTGTAAGACGCTCGGATTCGTGCGACATAGGATGCCGGGTGTACTCTCAACTGGCGCTGAGAAGTCCCGATGCTGTTGCAGAATGAAGTCGCCGCTGAAGAAAAGAACCAGGGTTGTTCGGAAAGCACCAGAGATGCGGAATTCGGACTTGTTGGTGCCGCGGCTGGCCCGGCTACATCCGTGGCGGTGTGCGTCACCAGTACCGATGAGCCGGAGACGTACAGATGCGTTCGACACCGCGCGTCATGCTCTCTGAGGGCCTCGGTAGTCTGCGATTGCTCGCCAGATAATAGTGAGATTTGTAAAGAGAGGCTAAGACTTGTCAATTTAAACGTTGGGCAGATCCACTTCGACTCTCCTGTCTTCAGCGGATCCAGCAACAGAAGGTCAGGCCCACAGGGAACGTCGCACGCGAACAACTCCACCGTGTGAGACGCCCTTGAAGTCCTTCCTTGTCTGCCCTCCTTGTCCTCCTCCTCCAACCAGCCGCATCCATCCGTCAAGTGACCCCGCGTGCATGTGCTCACCCGCGTGAAGAAGCCATACATATCCACCTCGAAGCGCACAAGGTTCGCAAATACTTCCGAAACCCATCATATGCTATATGCTGGCAACACCCGCCGGGTTCAGGTTCTGATTCACGAGCACAGATGTATACGCCCGTCTTGCCTGCCGACGTTTCCTTCTCCAACCCCCTCTCGCGCGTCGTCCAAGCCATGTACACCGGACTGTTGTCCTTGTATGCGCTCGTCGCAGCCTCCGCTGTCGTCGCCCAGGATCCGCCATACCTAATCGGCCTAGGTGAGCTCTTTGCTATGTTTGGGTTAGGTTAGATGGATGGATGGATATGGAAGTGTGAGCGGTGGTTATCTATATGCGGGGAGCCTGCTGCACATATGGCGTTCGAGGATGGCGCCTTATTCTATCTACGCTTGCCTCCGCGCGTCTGTGGTTCGCCAAGACGATCCAAGACATTGTCTTCCCGTGATGGGCTGCTCGCTTTCTCCAATGCGACTTTTGCTGGTGTAATCTGCGGCTGAGATTGTCTCATGAACGCTGACTGTTCTGGCTGAACGACAGGTATCGGCGATGTTACTGGGTGAGCAAGACGGTCATTGGAGTGTTGCTACTCTAACTATGCTACTCGTATAGGCCTGTCGTTGAGACGAACATGATGGTGCGCATATAAGCACCTCCCCCAAGTGTTTCAGGAGCTAACTGCAGTTTTCGACAGGGATACGCCAACTTGCCGCAGACGGACACCGGGCTTCACATGCGCCAAAGGAGCAGAGCGTTCATCATAGCAGACGCGTCCAACTCGTCCAACCGAGTTGTTTTTATCAACTCTGGTGTGTCCTCGTTACCATCCTCATGCTTCTTCGTGGGAGTTGCCACGAACCCTCCCGCGTGCGTGACTGACTGTATGCACGCAGACATATGCATGGGCGACACCGGCGTCCGCCGCTCGATCGTGCAGCAGCTCTCAGCAATGTACCCTGGCATCTACCACAACGACAACATCGCTCTCGAGGGCACCCACCAGCACTCGGGCGTCGGCGGCTACCTCGAGGACCTCCTCCCGCAGCTCACCGCTCTCGGATACGTGAATGAGTCCGCACAGGCGATTATCGACGGCTCGGTGCGCGCCGTGCAGATCGCACACGAGAATCTCGAGCCTGGTTATATTAGTCTCGGCAACACGACTCTCTTGAACACGAACAGGAACCGCAGCCCGACGGCCTACCTTGCGAATCCGGCAGAGGAGCGCGCGAAGTATCAGTACGACCAAGACAAGGACATGACCCTTCTCAGGTTTGACGACTCGAATGGCAACGCGAGGGGTTTCTTGAGTTTCTTCGCGGTTCATGGCACGAGTATCTACGAGGTATGTTGGTCGGTCATGACCCGTGTGGTGTAGTCGAGTATCTAATCTTGCTTATTAGAACAACACATTGATTAGCTCCGACAACAAGGGTTATGCCGCCTATCTCTACGAGAGTGCGTCTCTGTTCTGGCAAGTACCGCATTTTCCCCACTGATCATCTTTGTCAGGTATGGTGGAACCTGATTCGCTCCCTGGCAACGTCTCGTTCATCGCCGGCTTCTCTAACGGTATGACATCTCTTTAGATGCTCCTCGGGTCTAAACACAGTTTTCCGTAGCGAACGTTGGAGATACCAGCCCGAACACGTACGTCTCACTACCCTACTTATATCCCATCTCTCCTCTAACCTCCCTTTAGCCTCGGAGCGTACTGCGAAAGCCCAGGCGAATCTTGGGATGGCCAGCCTTGCGAGGCCGAGCACTCCACCTGCGGCAACAAGACTGAGGACTGCCACGGGCGCGGCCCCGCATTCACGGAATCCCCGTACGGTTTTGCTTCGAACGCGCTGATCGGACAGTACCAGTTCGAGGGCGCGCAGACCATCATGAACGGCGCACGCGCGAACGTAAGCGGGCCTGTGCGCTGGGTGCACACGTATCTCGACATGTTGGTTTGCTCAGCTCTCGTTATCTGCGTTTGATACTGATTACATGGATGACGTAGGGCGAACCATACGTTTACGCTTCCGAATGGGACCCAGGCGAAGACCTGCCCTGCTGCCATGGGTACGTGCTGCAAGCCATATAGTTGGTAAAGTACTCATTCTTACTCGCTATTGCATAGGCTACTCCTTTGCTGGTGGTACTACGTAAGTGTCAGCACTGTCTTTGGGCTCCCTTGGCCTCACCAGTATCAGTGACGGTCCCGGAGCCTTCGACTTCATTCAGGGTGATAACTCTTCGCAATCGCAGTGAGCATACAATATAAAGCTCTATTGAGTGCTTTTATTGAAGTATCGTTCTTGCCAGAAACCCTTTCTGGCAGATCGTCAAGGGCGCCGTTACACCTTACCCTTCCCAAGCACAGATTGACTGCCAGTACCCCAAGCCGATTCTGCTAAACACCGTACGCGTCCCTTTGATCCTTTTGCCTTGTCTTGCTTATGAGGTGACGGCATTCGCATATAGGGCTACGCTCACTTCCCATACGAATGGTCCCCCAGCACAGTGGACATTCAAATGCTCCGCGTTGGCCAGTTCGTCGTGTTGATGATGCCCGGGGAACTGACGACCATGTCCGGCCGTCGTATCCGCGAGTCTGTGCGCTCCCAGTTGATCTCGCAGGGTGTGCTCGGCGACGATGCTTACGTCGTCGTGGCTGGTCCCGCAAACACATATTCGCATTACATCGCGACTCCGGAGGAGTACGACGTGCAGCGTTATGAGGGTGCTTCGACGATCTATGGGCGCTGTACGTCTATACGTCTATTATGTCACGTGCGTGCACTAATGAGGTCTGTAGCGACTTTGGACGCGTACATCGACAAGTACGGGAGTCTGGTCGGATATCTTGCGGAGAACGCTACCGGGACTACCCCTCCTTCGGACCCTGCTCCTCCTGAGCAAACCTCCAAGGCGATTTCCCTCCGGGTTCGTGGATCCATATAACTTGGTTGACTGCAGACTTACATACATACGCAGACCGGTGTCATCGTCGATAATGCTCCCATCGGCAAAAAGTTTGGTGATGTTACCACTGATGTGAACACCACCTCGTCGTACAGCGCCGGCCAGATCGTCTCTGCTACATTCGTGGGCGCGAACCCAAGGGTACGCACGGTCTCCAAGTCTTTCAGAGTTGACATAGCATTTCTGATTGATTGATGCACCTCAAACAGAACAACCTCCGTCTCGAAGGGACGTTCCTGACCGTAGACCAGCAGACGAACGGCGGGTGGAATACATACAGGACCGACTCGCACCCATCGACCACGTACGAGTGGGTGCAGACTAATGTCGTACTGGGTTATAGCGCTGTTACGGTGAACTGGACTATCGAGTCGGGGACGCCTTGTGAGTGTTTTGACGTACTGTACCGTGAATGCGCGCTGACACAAGCATGTGGCAGCCGGGACGTATCGCTTCACGTACTACGGCGACTCCAAGTCAATCACCGGGAAAATATCCGCTTTCACGGGCACGAGCTCCAGCTTCACTATCAACTAGGGTTCTCTCGGGTGTTACAATGGATGGACACCTTTTTCACGATGTAATGTGTAATGACCATGTTGAGATGAATTGTCACAGAAACAGTTGAAAATGTAAAATGCTGACGAAAATATGCATAGGAGAACAGAGCAACCACGTTTCGCCTGCGCCCAATCAAGTGCTATCACTTGAGGCCCGCACCTGGTCCGATGACGCATCATATAGAAGCGTTTCGTTGGGAATGAATGCCGTGCTCAACAGCCTTCCACTGCGCCCTGAACTTGCCATAGGCAATGATCCGGCGCAAGCGGGGCATCATCTGTGCTAAAAACAGGGCTACCCCCTCCTCGTCCACGACGCTCGAGTCTCCCAGCTGCAGGTTGGTCACCCGATCATTCCGGACGGGAACACCACCTGCTGCCTGCCCGCTCATCACGGCATCTGCGTCCGCCATTCGCGCCTCGATAAGCAGCGAGAGCGAGCGGATGTGCGGACACCACCGCAGGATGGAGGTGAGCCCGCGCAGGGAGACGCGCTCAACCGAGTCACGCGCGGTCGGGTTCGCGTGGCAGGTCTCGAGGTTGGGCCATGCTTGGCCGAGCTGGTCGAGCTGCGCGTCGTTGAGTGCGAGCGTGAACGGGCCGTAGAGGGCGAAGGACGATATCATGTGGAAGACGAGCAGGGGCGCGATGTCGGCGAAGGTGACGCGTGGCCCGCATGGGAAGCCGGCGTGCAGCTCGAGCGTGCGCAGCGTCGGGTGGGAGAGGATGAGCGGAAGCTTGACGAGGCACGCGCTCAGCGCGGACTCGGATACTTTGGTGACTACAAGGACGAGGCTCGTGAGCGTGAGTCGGTGCTGCTCGTGTGCGGTGAGTGCATCGAAGAATGCGATGCAGGTGTTGAATGTGTCCGCGTGCACGGTGAGCGAGCGGAGGCTGGGCAGCGAGAAGTACGCATCCTGACCGCTGAGCCCAAGCCACTCGGTCTTTTCGGAGATTGTGAGCGACAGCGATCCGAGTGAACTGAGCCCGGTGAAAAGACGCATCGTCTCAGGTGAGGGATTGTCGCACGAGACCCGTTCGAGGTGTTTCCAGGAGCAGAACGCACGCGAAAGCGCGTCGTCGTGGTCAATGCGGTGTGGAGCGCAGTCAAACATCTTGACGAGAGGGCAGCGGGCTACGATCGATGGTAGGTTTTCGAGGACGAGCGTGCCGGAGGCGGCGATGTCAACATGCTCGAGTTCGGGACTAAAGAGGAGGCCGGCGAGGTGAGACACGAGGCGTTTGGCGCTGGCGGCGTGACGCCACTCGAGTCTGCGAAGTCGGGGGAACAACCAGGGCACGGGGCAGTGACATAAAGCCTCGTAGACGCTCATGTCCAATTCAATTTCGCTAAGGCGTTGAATGATGCTCCTCACGAAGGAGGAGTAGCGGAGTAGCACAGTCCAGTCGGCGGCTTGCATTTGCCGTTTGAATGACTGTAGAGCGTCAGCCGTTGCTTCCGATAACAAAGACGTTGGCACGAACAAATGTTCTCCCTTGCAGCTTCCATAAGTCATCGGGCAAACATCTAAGGAACGACGTCAAGTCGGTGACCTCGGAGTACAGCGTGTGAATAGCAGCTTCCTGGAACATGGAACATGTTCGGGCGAGAGATGCAAGCGTCGATGGGCAGTCCACATAAGAGAAGACATGATATGCAAGCTCAGAGACGGAAAGACATCTCTGAGCAGTGGAATGCTCCTGCAGTGCACTTATCAGTCACAGCTCCGCCTCTAGAATGGAAAGAGCCCCTGGTTATCACGGGCGTTCCACTGCCTACTACTCACCATGTCGACCAAGCTCCGACTGTCTCGGAAACCGCCCACTGACGAGGACATAAGCAGGACTGAGAAACTCGTGACAGAGGGGGGTTGCGGGAGGGAGATCAAGAAATGGGGAATGCACAGCGCTTTGAACGGAAAGGTGCATCCCGTCTTGGACTTTTATACGCACTTGGAGCATCGCGTCATTGTCATCCATATGAAATGAACGGGACCGGAGCGAACATGTTTACACAGTTTTAGACGTCTAGTTTCCCAGTTCCCAACAATGGTTTGATAACTGCCCTCATGATTACTGCATGAGCGCTGAGCGCTGATCACCGTGACAACTCGGGCCTTGCCTTGTCGGCGTGGAGTGGAAGGTTTCATCTTACTCGTTGGCACCGTTGTAACTTGCCTCGAGGGCACCGTAAAGGGGTGGGGTGAACCCACCCGGGTCACCGCAACCTTATCCTTATGTGGCGTAGGATAAGTGCTTGGGCAACATTTTAGGATCAAATCTATGAGCACCGCTAAGGTTATATGAGCGGCACTTTGCCCTTGTCCTGCCCGCTTTCGTCGACGCCTTCTAACGTGGTTTCCACATAAGTGTTATCTTCGATTTCAATAAGATGAAACTGGTGGTGGACGCAGCATCTGGTCACTTAACGAACGAATATCACACCGAAGGTCCAGTCAGATGCACTCAAAGTTTAATAGTCTCAGGATTTGAATAGGATGGTTCAAACCGTTGAGGGATAGCTTTACAGCCGGGGTGTTGGATGATTACCGACGTACTGTAGGTTTGACCAACCTTGACAGCCACTGTACGGCGACTTGCTCTCAGCCGACGATTTGACTGGAACCACTCTCAGAACTATCTTTCGTTGCAAATGCGACGTCGTGGCCAAGGTACCCCCAAGAAGTCTCGCTTATCCGTTCTGCCCTAAACGAGTGGCTCTGTTGTTGTATTACCTTGACCATCTTGTCGCATTCCCAATGATTGACCGATTAAACATAATTTCGGACGGCCTATACCAGCCCTAAGCACCCGAGGAAGCTTATGGTATACCTGATTCGCCATAGTCTTACGGCAAGCCGCTCGAGATCGACGCTAAAAATATAATCGTGGAAATCTCCGCGTACTTACAATGACGCTGTTCTCCTAGTCGGCTCGTTTCGTATTGAGTATTGATTCCAGATGACTCCCTATTGTTGAGGAAAGGTCGTAGACGCGTTGATTAGAAGGTACTTTTCATAACACGTTTTGTTGGAAGCCGTGTAGTGTTATGCAAGGGACCTACTCTGGGACGGCTTCGTAAGCGTCCATGTCTAGAGCCGAGCACACTCTCGACATAAGTACTGCTCCAGCCTTTCTGAAAAGGCCATGAATTGGCTTGTGACAGCCCTCGAGCACAAAGCGAAGGCGTCTTGTCCTATAGCAGGAGCCATAGATATGGAGCGATGTGACTTGGGCACCACAAGGCCCTACATGCGTCCACAAAACAATGAGCAAGCGGGTACCTGGCAGATTCCGGCGAGTTTGAGCGCGCGGAGATCTCGCTGACGCAATTCGGGGTTGCGGCGGTTCTATATTTCTTCTTATGGCGGGCCGTCATCGGGTTAAAGGCACGTAGTGATGCTCTCGCTTGAGAAGGTCCATCTTGCCATTACAGAGCGAGCTCTGCCGCAATAATGCTGTCAATTTCGGATTGTTGGTATCAAGGGAACATCGACGAAGCAGCTATCATTCGTCATTCAAAAGCTAGCCCAATAGGCACTTGACACACCCGTACTAGCATGACCGTCCCAACGTGCATTTTACAAACAAGATAGCCATCGCCGCCATTATATCGAACGCAGCGGTATAGCATCAGAACTTGCGCTCGGATGCACGCCGGCATCGTACGTATAGCGTGCACGCGCCCGAGGCACGATCGTGCTCTCCTCGTGGGCATGTTTGTCGCTTTCTCGTAAATTAAATAGTATGCGCGTCGCGAGGACGCTGTGTATGACGACCTGTGGACTAGAACGTGCATGAAGGACACATTTGTGGTTGAGCCGTTTTGGCCTGGAAGGCAGTGATGCACGTACCAGTCGAAGGACTCGTCGTATGAGATCTAGCGTAGGTCGTGAGCACGGGACGTTCTCCGACCCAAATCACGATTCAATCAACTCACCGGAAAGCCGAGGATGGTGGCGATAGTCAAGACGGAAAGCACTGTAGATAATTCAAGCCGTCATTACGTTGTATGAACAAGACGTCTACAAGGCACTTACGTAATTGACAGAGAAGTATCTTGATACCGTCCCAGCAGAGCGTGTCCAGGACCACACTTCGAAACTTGTTCTTCATGTAAAAGCGGCGGTACGCCGTCAATATCAGAAGAACTAGCACGTCAGGTTTGAGTACCGCAGATGGATAGGTAGTGCTAAGTGGAAGTCAACGTACGCAATTCGTACACGAAGACGAAGACGTAGGCCATGCCTGTCCTCCGGTCAGCTTGGTACTCGCACGACGTGTCCACTTCAGTCAATCGATTAGCAACACACACGGCTCGAAATGAAGAGACTTTTGATTACCGAATGGATCGTGGCCGAACTCCACAGCTGTGGATACTCTAGCGTATACAGAGCTTATAGCGCCAGCAACGAGACAGAGCTGACCCAATGCGCTCGTGAGGTGATTGCTAGGGAAGCGTAGTTGAATAATAAGACATACGGTGGCAAAGATACCCAGACACACAAGCATTCGTTTAGAGCGCTCCCAGTAGGCCCAGGTTCGGATAGTTAATAGAGCTGAGTGAGGATGTAAGGCCATAGCCTTCGAACGCTGAAGTTGACAGGAATATACCTTCTACCGCAACAATACCGAGTAGATGTACAACTGCATGACGGCCTCAATCAGTGGTCTGCCAAAGGGCCGTGTTATGGAAACGCACCAAATGAGCCAACGTTCAAATTCGTGCACTGTTCGAGGGTAAGCAGCGATGACAACATTCCAAGGACGAAACACGCCTACGTTTTGATGAGCATGATTGGCGTACGCAGCTGAAGAAAGGCGTTTACATTTGCATCAGGATGATCATCGATACGTGATCTTAGTACGTACCATAGCCGTTCATCGCAACAGCGCCAAAAGGGAGGTAGCGCGAGAGAGTGAACAACACGCGGACGAGATCCCATGGCTTGCCCCATATCCAGTAGGCCTATGAAACCCGTCAACAACATAATCATAGACAACGCTGGAAGACATACCTCGCCCGGGAGCGTCAAGAAATAGTCATAGACCTAGATATAAAGTGTGACGCGTCGCATAATGATGTGAGAAACATTGTGCATACCAGAAGACCCAATGCCGCTACTGCATAACTGTTATAAGTTTGGATGCCGTATACCGAGACGAATTCGAACTTACAATTCGTGTACTGGAGGAGGCGTCATCATTAGCTTGATTTGCCTTTACTTGGAGTGAGGGACGCACCTTTGCCGTCTGCTGTCCGACCTCGGTCGATATATAGTTCGAAGGCCACAGTTCAGACATGCAAGAGGGAAAGGTGAGTGGAAGTCAATGTGAGCGCGCATATATAATAGGGCTGCCGACTGTGATGGTCTCGAAGTCGGGGTGATGTGCTACATGAGAACAATGAAGAGGGAAACGGTACTTCTCAGACGTTCAACGAATCCCAGAGTGAATGAAATCCGATCAACACTGTGTTCAACTATGAGACTCCTTTATATCAGTGATGTGCATCATAGACGCTCAAGGTGTCAGTGCGTCTGGACAGCTGTGGCTTGTGTACGGTGGTAACACCCGACAGCCAACTCACGATATGTCTCGCCTGAGAAGAAGTCGATGAGCGGTACGCGATTTTCTCCACGAAGCCGTGCCTATGGGATGATCTCGAGGTATATCTGAGAGAGAGATCGTATCTTGGGCGGGAGGATATGAATGCCGAGAAGAGCTCGTTATCACCATGTCCGCCGAGGGTCAATGTGCTTCGCCAGGAGGACTACCTCGTGGTTTTTCAGTATATGGATTTCGCCAGAAAGCAGAATAGGTCCCTGAACTATGCCATGAGGGCTTCCGAGCACATCCCGAGATACTTTGTTACCGAATGCTGACCCGAGCCCCTGGTTCAGTCATAGTCCGTGGGGATGATGTAGCCCACAGGATGAATAAGACGCAGTGCCTCGCGGTAACAAGAAGCCGTTGTAGGCTATAACTAAAGGGAGCACAGCATGATGACAATGAGCTCGAATCGGTGTGCGCGTTAGCCCGAATCGAAGAGGGGGTGGAGACCGCAGCGATGGGAAACTTGAAAACAAGGCTAGCATTCCGACGTCGACGGGGCTGTCCAAGGAGCGCTCAGCTGGAGAGGGAAACGATGATCATGAAATGGAAATCGTAGTGCATGAAAGGAGGAAGTCCTTTGCTGACGGAATGGAGGCTTGAAGTGTAGTAGCCGAGCGAAGAAACGAGGGCGAGGACGTTAGAGCTGCGGGTAGACTAAGTCCAACACTGCCACGGGAAGGTCTGCACAGCAAAGACGGTATGTGTCTGGGGCAACATAACGAGCGCGACGTCTGCCAAAGCGTATCCACCTTCTTCCTACCATCATGGTCGTAGTTCCGACAGAAGAAAAGTCTGGCAAGGAGGGCTTTCCAAGCGGCGAGACGAATCCCGACTACGGTGATCAACCACCGCCCGCGTACGACCTTGTTGTTTCCGAGTTCCCTCCCGACATACCAGGGCCCAGCTCGTCTCGTCCTGGTCCAAGCTCTCGCGCATCCCCTCCTCTTCCACCACGCACACCCTCTTCCTCGTCTCCACCACCTTCATTCTCCTCCTCGCCGGCTCTCCCAGCACATCCACATCGCAGCGGATCAAACCACAACAAGGCTGCGAGCACCTCCGGAGCCGTCGACCACCCCGCTCTCAAATATGCACCTCCAACAGCCAAGACCGATTCCAAACCCCTCCCCTCTCCCTGCCCCTTCGACGCCCTGAGTCCCAAGGCCAGCACGCTCAGATCGACCAAGAGCAGCAGCTGGCTCTCTATGTTCATGCCCTCCTCCAACAAGAACACCAAACAGGTCCGCACCACCGTCCTCAACCTCGCCCGCGGCCTCGTCCTCCCCAACGGGCCCGAGTCGCCTCAAACTGAAGACGTTCTTGCGCGCGCTCGCGAAATTTGCAGCTCATACGACCTCAACCTGTCCACCATCCTGCAGGAGTACTCGATCGAGGGCCACACCCCGATCTACTGGGCGATTATCTCGCCCCGCCGAGAGCAACTGCTTGCACCGCTTGTCAGGTGTGCGAGTCCGCTCAACCCGCAATCGCTGTCGGACATCCGGAGGGCGTGTTTGGCGGTGTCAGATCAGCCACTGTATCAGGCATATCGGACGAGGGGGTATCCGTTCAATTCGATGTCGTTTACTGATCCAGGTTCTGCTCTCAACGGTGAGTACCCTCCATGTCGTCGCGAGCTGAAAAGTATCTAAAACTACGCAATTAGCCGCCGACGCACTGGTTCTTGGCGACCTTAAATCGGACGATGTACAAGTGGAAGAGCTCGATGGCGACGGAGCGTTCATCGCCTCATTTGAAATTACATTATGGCAGAAGCGGTTGCGAGTAGCAGGGAAGGTCTCGATTCAATTCATCGCCAGAGGTGAGCACCCATCGCTTTCTCCTCAACACCACGGCCTATTCACGGCTTTTCGTCAGGTCGCCTCTGGCAAATCACCTTCTTCTCCTCCGTCCCACAATCATCGGCTCCACCGGGTAAGGCTGTTCGTAAGCTCAGCGGCTCGTGGTACGCGTCGCTTTCCCTGCTCGAGCACAGCTCCCCCACGCATGTCGACTCGCTGCTCGTCGTTGACGTTCCCAAGCCCTCGACCACGACCTCAGGCGGATCCAGCCCACCCGCAACTGCCTCCTTCTCTCCACCTGCCATCGTCGAGCCCGGGGACCAACGGCCACACCACTCCAGCTCGTACCCACCGCTTATCACACCTCCGGACAACGGCGCATCGCTCAACCCCGGCGTCTCGCTCACGACGCGCGAGCTGACGAGCTCTCTCCGGAACGGTACGCTCGCAGGCACATCGCTCTCCCCGTACCTCTCACTGCCCACACCCGGGCCGTCGCGCTCGGGGAGCCAGGTGAGCCTCGCGGCGTCGCAGTACGGCGAGCTGCTCGCGCACTCTTCCTCGCCGTCTCTGCAGACCCCGAGCCCGGGCGCGAGCATGAGGCTGCTAGACCAGAACACGCCGTTCGATAAGGTGACGGCGAAAGCGGGCGGCGCGATCATGTACCGTCTCACCGCATACGAGAGCCAGCTCGCGCGCAAGGCCAAGGGCGGGAAGGGACAGGACGGGGATTCTGGTGCGTCTCATTTCTTGATCATATTGTGTGATAAGGCAAGCTAAGGCATGGGCATCCTAGGCCCGAAGGATGCGTCCGCGAAGAACGTGACCAAGTCCGAGACGTGGACCGAGAAGGACGTGCACTATATCAACCGACTCGTCGTTCCGCTGTGCGACGGCCCGGGGTCGTCGCTGATGTACGAGTACGTGCCGCCCGCTACCTGCAACTCCCGACTCGTTGGCTTATTAATGCACCCCCGTGTTATAGCGACTCTCCGTTCCTCTCGGCTGACGGTACTCTCCGCGGACGGTTGGAGGCGCGCCTGATGAAGACGACGGAGGAGTCGACGAAAGATTGTGTTATTTGTTAGGTCCGGGTGGGATGCCTGCCCTCTTTGTATGTTTGTGCGGTTCGGTGTATACCATGTTGGCTTGATACTCTCGAGGTGTTATTGATTCTCGTCGAATGCTGCACACACGGATAGAGGTTGGATTTCCAGTATGCCACCCGTGCTCCTACAATTGGATGCGCGTGGTCGTTTGCGGCCTAAACTGGTGGCCCTTGGGTCGTCTCGGACGATGCGGACAACATTTTTATATCATTTTATATATCTCAGCGCGCGGCGCCGACGACCGACTTGAAGCGCCAAACATTGTACTATCGCCACGAGATTTGTATACGCACTCATATTCTTACGATATTGACTCTAGTTCAATAGGGATGGCAGTTCACGTTCAGTTTGCACTCGTTGACACTGGCCTAGGGAGGGTCGAGCCGAGCCTCCGGAGGAAATGGAATAGTTTAGGGCCGGCATGGACAGCGTAAGCAGTACATAGCGTGTTCGCGCATGTTCGTAGCTAAGTACTACTCATCCCTGCTATACGAGTACTCTCGTCGGCTCCGTCTCCGGGACTGACCATCCCAACACGTATTCTGGATATCGAGAGTCTCCAAGTTTCTGCTGAAGAGATATAATATATTACAGGCACTTGAGTAAACACGTGAGAAGAAGTCGCGTCGCGTCCCCAAATAGGATCTTAATACACGCGACTCAAACGCGTCTGAGTCTGCCTTTTTCTTTCTACCGTCTGCCAGCGCGTATGGTCAGCACTAAATATCTCGCGTTTCCGGATGAACTGCTCGTTGCTGTTTTCCTTGAGCTGGATGTCGATTCTATCATTGCATGTCAGAAAGTAAGTGCTAGTTCGCCTCTTCCCTACAGGTGCACTGAGTAATGGACGTGCAGACGTGCAAACGCTTTCAACACATCATAGAGGACAGCGTTCACGTCCAGTACCACGTCGAGCTACAGCTTGCGTGCATGAAAAATGGACCAAACTCAGATACGAGCACCGCCTCTCGCCTTTCCATGCTCCGAGCGCAGCGTCGAGCCTGGGCAGCGCTCTCGTGGTCAACCCCCGAACCCGTTGTACTGCCTACACCTCCGGGCGTCACGAAGTGGAAGCTGGTAGGCGGCTTTTTATGCGTTGACGGACCTGGCTTTGTCCAGTGCATCCGCCTGCCTTCGCCAATCAGGGGAATTGAGCAGCGGGAATGGAGGATCGACCATACGTGTGGAGAGAATGACCTGAAATGGGACTTTTGTCACGACCCTTCTCAGGACCTTCTCGTCCTGTTTGAAGAGTTCAAGATTAGGTGCGCTTCATGCTTCCTCTGCTATTTTGTCAAGGCTAACATGAAACTGGGTCATGAAGCGACGAGGAAGAGTCACAGTGAGCCCCTTCGCGTTGTATTGTCGGACATGCATTGAAACAGTCGATGTTCCAGCTCGGCGTTCAAGATCCACTTTCTTGCTATATCCACTGGCACACTTCATCCCGCAGCTACTAGTCCTGTGCTGCTCTACGCACCTAAATTCCGGTACTGCGACATTAATGTGAGCCTAACCCTACAAGTGTGCGGCCAGCATTTAGCTATGGCTATGGAAGACAACGACTGCAAAGAACAACCGAAATTTGTCATATGGGACTGGGTATCAGGGCTAACGAAAATGGTAACCCCTCTGCTTAACCAATGATTCTCGAGGCTTATCCAAAATCTCTATTGCGCTCTGTCCCCAGGAAATCTCCTACGATTTTAATCACAGCTTCCAGTCATTCTCACTCCTCCCAGACAACCTCGTCCTTGTCGGTGCTGCCCGATACATTGAAGAGCTGAAGCATGACGTACACCTAAGCGTATACGACCTTGGCCAGACCGCTCATTCCGGATCGTACACTCTCACTGATGTGGACGACTGCTCATACGTATGCAGGCTGCGTTTCGACCCAGAGCTATCAGATGAAGACATATTTATCTCATCCATGCCGCTTCCCCTTGACGAGCACATGGCTTTGGATAATGAAGGCGTGGAGCGCGCATCACCATTCATGCTTGCTCCTGAAGCACAACTGATTGTCGTCTACCTGGGCGCTTGTTGGACCTCAACACGGGTATTCTTCCCTGTTTCGGCCATCATGAAGCACGTCTCCTCCACTCGAAGGTCTGGCGCATCGGGCATCGACGTCCCGTGGTGCGATTGGGGACTAAGCTCCCGGGTGTTCGTGGATTCATTCCGCAATGTGGGGAGTGGCAATGTGTGGCAACGCGACTCGACACGCGGGTTACGCTTTGCTACTGTGCTCAATCGCATTCTTTCTAATGAGGATTGGGTGCGTCGTGAGTTTTATGAGGTCGTGGCTATCACGGATTTCAACCCCTTGGCACACACGGCGCGATCTGGCTTGGGCAAGGTCTGGACGCGTCCTCAGCCGGAGAGCGAGCGGTGGGAAGCCAAGTTTCGAGCCTCATGGAGAGAGGAAGATCAACATAGCCGGTGGTGGGACTCATGTCTACTTGGCGAGGACTTGATTGTTCTTGTGTCTGTGCGTCATCGGTCTTTTTCTGGGGATCAGAATGCTGACGCAGTGGATTCATTCCTTACAGGAAAGTTGGCACAGAGGACAAATATTTGCGGTCATGACACTCAAGGAGCCAGCCGAGGAGCCAACAAGTGCTGCATGATTTTATTCGGAAGGTGTTAGAATATGGCAACAAATTCGTTCCCGTACATGGCCCCAAACTGTACACTATATTCTGGTCTGGTAATGAAAAGTTTGGTATCGCACAGAAGAGCTGGCACTGCAAACATTTCTCAATAATAGTGGTATCACTATTTGAAAATTATTTTAAAGATTAAGGTGAATGGGTTTCAATAATTAGTTCCTCATTATTTAAGAATTTATCAAATACAGGAAAGGAACGCACCCGTTATTGACAGCTGAACAGCCCTGTCTTTGATAAAGATGATAAATAATGAGGAACCAGTTATTGAAACCCATTCACCTTAATCTTTAAAATAAATTTCAAGTAATACTGCTGATATTATCAAGAATTGCTTGCAGTGTGGAATAGCTAAGCCAGTGGAGAATTGACCGAAGAAAAACATCCGCTGAAGAGCCTGCCCGTCGTGACTGCAAACACGTTTGTGGGCACATCCGGGAGTTGCAAGCTCAAGGGCGTTGAGTGTGAAGTGTTGGCACAACGAGGGAAAGTGGATGAATGCGGTGACAGTATCCATCGATTGGGAATGCATGAGTGGGTGTTTGGTTTTGAATGCTTGACGTCTGCACTTTTGCTAACTAAATTTATCACTGTAGCAACTTCCCGCACCTTGCCGAGAACAGGACGCCCAACTGTGCACGCATGGATGCTCGCTTTTAGCAGTCTATGTACTCGCAGTGCTTCATAGGTTGATTGGGTCACAGCTGACTCTTAATCCCTGCTCCTATGGTTGAGGCCTTAGTGCTGTCCTCTGCTACCGGTCGTGCCCGATTTGGTTGTTGGGAGACCTGCCGTACCCGAACGTGCACCTGTTGTAGCATCCGACGATTCGACGGGTATTATACATATGCACCTCTGACTATTCACCTATTTCTCCCGCCGGAATAATCAATGGCAACGATCGATACATCACCTGCATTTTGCCTGCATTCACGAACTTCACTACTCTGCTACGTTCTCCACAAGCTCTCTACTCCCTCTCAGGGCTCGAACTTAAGCTCGAATATTCCACATACATATGCATGACCTAACACGCCGGTCTATCACTGACTGAAATAAGCTCAAGTACATGTGCCTGTGGGTAGCTTGAGCCCCTCAGATCGTCTCGGACGATGCGGACGATGGTTTTATATTTGTATTTTACCATGTACAGCGCGCGTCCGATGATAGCGGACCTGTGTACTGAGCATTATCTCTTACTACAACAGTTGTATGTGTACTCAATTCATCTTACATTCTCGTATTATCAAGCGCAATATTCTGTGTTGTTGACATACATCCTGAATATTCCACAGTCACGGTGATGCTGGGCATTGCCCGTGAACAACACCTAGTGATTAGCTGATTCCTTGGTGCTCTACCCGCGAACATGCAAGGCGAAGATGAGCTGACCCTCATATATTGAACCTGTAATTATATGGCAAGTGTTCAGGACACTTTCTTAGGCATGTTGGTGCTTCAGCTTCAGTCTCCTTGAAGTTCTACTGCAAAATAGGGGCAAACGGATTTGTGTTGCGCACAAGATAGGGGGGTTCCTAATGCGTAGGGGGCGCGCGTTTGAGTCTGCCTTTTTCTTCCAACCACCTGCCAGCGCGCATGATCAACGTTTCAACACTAGACATCTTGCACTTCCTGGTAGATTGCTCGTTGAAATTCTCCTTGAGCTAGATGTTGACTCCCACTTTACAACACACCGCTATGGTCACCAACAGACTATGGCGTACTCTTTCTGCCTTCAACTGCTCCACCCGAAGATGGGCACCCATACCTTTACGAAACACACAAAGCCAAGTGACGCAGAGGCTTTCTCCCACATCACGGAAAATCGACACTTTATGGACGCAGAGGCTTTCTATCATATCATGGAACATCGACGCCTTCTCCTCGCGGCCCGTCTCACGCGCCAAACTCATCCTCAGCCATATCCTCGAGGGACCGAAATCTCCTGATATCCTCTTTCTCCAAGAAGTCACGCCTGATGTCCGGGCTTCTCTCCTGGACGATGCGAGAGTGCGCGCTGCTTTCCTGGTGACTGACGCCGAAGACCAAACGTCGTTTGAGGACGTGCCCTTTGCGACCATGACGTTGCTGTCCAGCGCGCGCTTTGCCTTCGGCCTGGATTCGCAAAAGGAAAGCGATGGGATCGAGGGAGGGGAAAATTTCATGCTCGGGCGCATCTCCCGCGTGGCACTCCCGAGCAAGTACAGGAGGGATGCGCTTTATGTGGACATCATTCCCCCAACCGCGCCGGGCACATTCTTCCGTCTCATCAACGTGCACCTCGACTCGCTTGGGGATACGCTACACTACCGCACCCATCAGATGGAGATACTGGCCAACGTCCTACGCGAGCCCGGATGCAGTGGCGGGGTCATTGCGGGCGACTTCAACGCCATCAGCCCCGAGGATGATGGGCTCGTCAACAAGAACGGACTGGTAGATGCGTGGGTCGCATTGCACGGGGGGGCAGACCCTGATGGAGCCACGTGGGGTGTCGGCGTGGAACGGCGGAATGGACTGGGGCCGGGCAGGTTGGACAAGATTGCAATGATGGGCTTAAAAGCTAAGGAAATGGAGGTCCTCCGCCCTGGTCCTATTGAGGTGCCCAGGCCGGGCGAGGAACCTGTCGAGATTCCTTGGAGTGACCATTGTGGGCTGAGATGCACCTTTACCATCTGAATACTGTGCATACACAATCGCAGGTTCATCACAGCGTGATTTAATATATAACCTTCTTGTATTCTGATGTAGTAGGGTCGTCCGCTGCAGTTAGTGCTGTGTGCGTTTCTTGTACTGTGACTTTGTGATTCTTGATTCTTGAGACGCTTACCAAGACCATAATCGATCGGAGATGGGATTCCACTGTCAAGCCCAGTGAATATGCCTCCGGATGAAAACGGAGGAGGACGGTTGAGAGCGGTTGTCTGTAGGTGTAGCGTAAATCAGATTATGAAAGTGCCACTGTTGCCTGTAGCCAAAGAGAGATTGCGATAAATAAATAAATAAAAAATGTGCCGCGCCTGCTTGCACTGGGGCAGGATTCCAAAGTTGTTCTAGTCATTACCTATACAGTACATCCTCAACTTAAATAAATACCTATATAGATGTGTTCATCTCTGCTTGAATTCCTCTCCTCTCTTCTACTCTCAATGCGGTACCCTACTACCAGAATAGTACCAAGTGCCCAACTCAGACATTACCTAGGCATCGAACTTCAGCCCACCACGCGCGGTTTAAAACAACGTAAAAAATGTCCATTCAACACGTAGAGGTAGTAACAAGCGAGTGGAGATAGACAAGCGACCGGGAAAGACTAGGGGAAACATATAACTTATAGTACACGGGGAAGTTTCGAGTGTCCGATCACGAGAAGCTACAGTAAACAACGCGAAAATGCCTGCAAACGCCTACTAGATACCGCTCAAAGGTCGCGAGCGTGGCCAACACTGGTAGTCCAGTAGTATTCTAGCGAATCGTGTCAACTCGTGTGGAACCTGGGCGCCAAAGGCGTCGGTTGCGCAAAGAGAGGAGACAAACGACCAGACGAACCGAAACGACGAGTCCACGAATATGGGGGCCTAAATCTCGATGAAGGTGATAAGCTTTATGAAAAGGGGAAAGGGAAAAAAACAAGGCGAACCTGAACGACGAGTCCACGAGTCCAAGGCCTAGACGTGAAGGTCGTTAGTTATAAGTCCGAGAAGGTGAGATGGAAGAAAGAGACGAACCGGACTTGACGTAGCGATCCACTGGTCAAAGCACCCGTCCGCACCAACAACCTCCTAAACGAGACTCAGCTTGGTCTTCCAATCCTCCTCAGACCACTCGGTCTCCTTCTCGAGATACATGGGGAGGGCCTTTTCAAGAGCGGCCTTGATGGTAGCCTTCTCAGCATCGTTCCTGTACCTCGTGGACACACCGCCCTTCGAGAGAAGAGCCTTGACGTCGTCGAGATCACGCATTCCCTTGTTGCCGTCCTCGCGTTCCGGAGCCGACAGAATCTTCATCTTGATGACTTCGTTGACTTCGGGCCACGGGACGTCGGTATCCTTGAACTCTCCAAGAAGGACTCCAAGGGGCATAAACCCGGTCTACGTATCCAGTGTATTAGTACGAGCCACGATGAGCAATATAAAGTATGCACTCACCACGCCCTCGTCGATGATGTCGATGGGGATGATGACTTTCGTGACGGGATCACGGTAGGTCACTCCACAGACCTTCTCGAAATTGGGGGTGAAGGATCTGTCCAAAGCGACAATGTCGTTGCGGAGTCTCTTACGGTCAATAGTCACCTCTCCCTTGAGGACGACATCGATGTCCTAATGCCCAGTTGTCAGTAATCGGACTCTGCACCGTAAACGGTGAATGGCACTAACGTTGGTGTTGCGAAGCCCCAGATTTTGCATAAACAAGCCTCCGGGCACGGAGACCCTGGTCGTAGCAGCCTGAGCACCGAGCGCAGTTCTCATGGCCCGGAAGAAGGGCACAAGAGCAGACTGAGGAACAGCCATTGTTTTATCTACTTGGAACGCTGGAATCGGGGAACACCCAGAAGGATCGGACGAAGACCAAAACTGAGACGGCAGTTTGGATGAGAGACGTTACGGAAACGAATAAAGGAGGTGAAAAACGAGAGGCGGAAGAAGAGATGGGACATACAAGCGCGCAGTGAGCGAGGTATAAGTATGTATTGCGGCGAGCATAGCAAGAGAGCAATGAAAGGTTCAAAGAACCGTAAGAAGCGAGAAAAGAAAGGAAGCAGCATACCTGGGCTACAAAAGGAAAGGATTGTCGTTCAAAAGAGAATGGCCTGAGGAGCAGGGCGTTCTAGAGCATGGAGCTAGGAATGCTGAGGTCCGAAGACGTTGGGGGTCCGAGGAGGTCAAATTTGTGGCGTAAGGTTGGCGTAATAATTTCGTATTTGCACGTTACAAGTTCAAGGTTTAAACGCTTAAGCGCTTAAGGCTCATCTACTTATGCTGACAGCAGGCATACCCCATCCTGCTACCCCTTCTACCTCCGGAGTCATTCTATATACTCGTAACTTTTATCATCAAGAGGATATCGAGCCATGGGCGCCGAGGGCCCATCAGTAAAACCGCAAATTTCTTGCTACCTTGTGGCCTTGTGACAAGGTGACAAGGCATCATGTAACACCATTGAATTCTAGAAACAATCTAATGCTTACTACTCCGATATTCCCACGCTGCATACAATGTTTAAGGACCGGAATATGATCTAGGGATACTCCTGGATGATTGAGCGAAGTCAACTTCTTTCCCTTGTAGACGCTTGTCCGTGTAAACTCCGCTCCTCCGAAGCAAGCTTGCCGCGTCAATAGACTTACCTTGCCGATTTCGGCGTCCTGGTCGAATTATTGGCTTGCGCAGAGTTGCACAACCTTGTACAAGCCGCGACAAGGATTTTTCAAGTCTATTGATGCTCACTAATGGCAAGTTGCCTCGTGCAGTCACTAGGATTCCAGATGAGCGGTGACTCACCACTTGCAGTTCCTGATGAACTCTGGGTCGTTATCTTGCTTGAAACTGATCTTGCTTCCCTCGTAACATGCAAGCAAGTAAGATCCTGTCGCTCGTCCGCAAATTGATGCTTACATCGAGAACCTCATGATTTAGGTTTGCCAACGCTTCTTACTGATTGTAGAGAACGACGTCGGCGTCACGGTTCAGTATCATTTTCATCAGGATTTTGACACGTGTATTAACCGCACTTTCCTGTCTTTACCAGAGTGAACCTACTTTCCCAAAATTTGAAACCACAATTCTGCTACATTTGAGGATCCAAATCGGTCTGAAAGACTTGTAGCTTACTCTTGTTAATGAGATTTGCAGCTTCAGTGCCACTGATGTGGTTTTCTAGCCAAATATTCTCTAGTAAAGAGCCGAAAATACCAAAAAAGTAGGTTCATCTCGGCAAAGTCAGGATAATGCCGGTAAAGCGGCTTGTCATTTTCCTGATGTTGGGCTCCAAGCCCAATGCAAGCTCCATCTCTTTTCTCCTGATACCACAGGTCAAGAAGGTCTGGCATCGCGCCTTGCCGCGTTGAGAGCTCAACAAAGAGCGTGGGGTACCTTGCTTGGTCAACGAACAGGCCTGTTGATCTGCAAACATCCTCTGGCGTTCGGCTCTGGAAATTATATGGCGACAATCTCTGCGTAGTTAGCAATGACTTTGTGCATTGCACTCGCCTAGCGTCACCGATCAGAGGACTTGAGCAGCATCAATGGAAGATTGATCACTCCTTCGGAGCGCATTGGGACTTCTGTGCTGATCCATCACAGGATCTACTTATTTTAGTTCAAGAAACGGAGTCAAGGTGAGTATACATCACTGATGTAGCGTCTAGGGATTTCTTGATCTAATCGCATAATTGTCGAAGGCTGGCGTTCGAAATATACCTACTCTCCCTTTCGAACGGGCTACGCCACCTCGCTGCAGTTGAAGAAATTCTGTACCATGTCCCCGAGAAATCCTGGGGTGATATTAGTCCTGAATGGGACCTATCAGTTGAAGTCTACCAATCACACGTTGGAATATCTATACAAGAATCAAATGGACGTCTCCCAGTAGAGTTTGCGGCGTGGAACTGGACAACTGGGAAGCTCGTCTGCGTTAGTGATCTCGTCGTACCCATCTGTACAAAGACTTATATTCATATTTTCATATGCAGCATATCGAGTTTGAACACTATAAAGTCGAGTCCTTCACATTTCTTCCCGGAGATCTCGTCATGTTTGGCATGGCCGCTGTCATTGACGAGGAGTTACACGACGCGCATCTCGCGTTTCTGCTGAAAGAGGTTCTGTCCTTTCAGGCCTCGGAACAAGATCACAGCGGCTTCTACGTGAACATGCAGATCAAGGATCTTAATCCGTATGCAGCATGTCGCCACTGGAGTAAACCCGACTCAGCGTTGAAAGCGATATGGAAAGGGGTTCTCAACATAGGGATTGACTCTTCCAACGTTGAGGGAAGACAGACAACGGTCAAAATCCCGTGGAGGGAAGATGACAAACCGATGTGGAACAGCGTCATTCAGGGGAGGATGCAGTTGTCTTTATATCTGTGAGTTATTCCTTCTATGGTCCTATTCTTGACACCGATCGGATCAACGAGTCAGGCTCATTACGGGATGAAAGTAGAGTTTGGAGTCATTACTCTGGAGGATCCGGAAAATCCACACAAGAATTGAGGTTGAATGTTTTCGAGTATTAATCATGTACTATATGGTATCCCTGGCGCATTAGCTCTTCTTGATTTTTCTCTACGACTGAGGTTTGCTCTGCCTCTGGACATGAGCTGGCACGACAATCTTGCGTACACATCGGGTTGAAGGGAGTTCGACGGCCTTTAAATTGCCACGGTTTGTTCACACGGGGTTCAACAGAACACGCGCCTCTTGTTTCTTCCAGTCACAATCGTCTCGGGTGGACATCATTGTCTACATCTATCATTCCCTGATGAGAAAAGGAAAACCATTATCAGGCAGCTCTCTGACATTAGATTGCTTCGGGAAAGGCGCTTTCAGAACATTTGCCGATGTACGCCTGAATCCTGCGCGTATTCCACTTGCCTGAGAACTAGTCTTAATCTGGACTCGGGCATCCCATAGCTCATCCTGAGCGCTCCACGGCACGGCGCACGTATATATTAGACTCGTAACCAGTCTCCCATGCGCGTGCCTAATAAGGCAACGAACCAAGCGGTTCTCGCGTCAGGGAGACTGGGACAAAATGTCAACTCGCTGGTAGGCGACCGACGGAGTTCGAAAATTAGCGGATGGGAACGGATTGGTAAGGGCTTCGCGAAGCCGGCATCGTGGTGCCGAGGCTATCGACGCCGGTAATCTTATCTTAGCTCATGGGTATTCGACACGTCCACCGACGCGTCCTAGTTAGCTGAATATAATCGATTTTACCTGCTATCCCTCCCCGCGTGAAGCTTTCTAATGGCGACATACTGGAGCTATGGTCACCTCTACTCTCAGGCGACCGCTCCTCCGCTCATCTGGGACTACAGCTGGCTAGGGACTCTTACTATGGAACAGAGGAAGAACGAACTCTTGCGCGCTGTCGGAGGCTGGGGTCGAACCGATCGACCTCGTCTATGCGCACCCATCTTTTGCAAAAGAAGAGACCAAGATACGGCTTGCCATGGATATTCTAGTCGACAAAGCTATGCAGGATGAAACGGAGCCTTCTCGCCCTTGCGAGCGAACCCAGTGGTATGAATACAGTGAACTTCGTTGAGGAGAAGATGGCCGATATTTTTGCTGAATGAGTGTACTCGCATGATGACTCATGAGCGAGCCGAGCTGAGGTATGTGTCCTTTGTAACGAAAAAACTACTCCGGCGCGACCAGTATGTTCTGGTAAACACCTCTGAATATGTCCTGGATAATGTAGAATAAAGATTAATAGATATATGCGCAGAATATATGCACATCCCAAAGTTTCTTGTCATCGGGTGTATCCTCGTTGATTTGGATGGTACAGATATCGTAGCTATTAAACTCTTAGACCTTTGCGATGGTTAGGGAAGTGTTCATAGCTGGAATAAAGCTTACATGATTCTTCTGGAGAGGCTTGAGTGGTGAAACTGTAATGGTGATTTTTCGAGCGCGTGCAAAGACTAATGAAAGGATCATGGCTAATGTCTTGCCATAGCCTGTTCCTGCACGGACAATAACGTGCTCTCCGGCTATAATTCCAATATTAGCTTTGATTTGGAAGTTCTGTAACGTTCGCTCGCCTGATAATCGAGCGTCGAACCATGTTGTCATTGCAAAGACTGTCTCGACCTGCTCGAATGTAAGATTATCGAGGAATGATCGGAGGAGTTTCTTGAGCGACTCGTGCGCGTTATTGGACAGGGCCCCGGGTATATCAATAATAAAATGGTTGTTTATTATTTAAGGGAGCGGAGTAAGGGATAAGTGCATAAATACATGGGCTCGACGCGTTAATGAGGCGGGGGAGCGCGTTCAGACGCGTCGTATCTAATCTACAGGGGCTGATCTTCCCTATTCGGACAGAGATCTCTCTCGGGCCGAGCTAAGTTTCAAACTCCGTTGGTCGCCTGCCAGCGAGTCGACATTTTGTCCCAGTCTCTCTGACGCGAGAGCCTGTGGCTCGTTGCCTTATTAGGCCGCATAAGAAGAGACAGGTCACGAGTCTACGTATATATTAGACTCGTGACCAGCCAACGCTTGTGCGTACCTAAATAGGCAACAGGCCCCATGGGCCTTCGCGCCAGCGAGACTGGGGGATAATCTCGACTTGCTGGCTTGGGCCGCCGGAGTTTGAAAATTAGCAGATGGGAAGAGATAAGATAAGCCGGCACAGGGGCTGCCGAAGGATCGGCGCACCTTCTCGTGTCTCGACGCGCCTCGACGCGCCGTATAGTAGCAATATAATCGTATTTTGTCCCTCCCCTCGCGCGTGAGTAGCCCGAATGGACCCACAGGGTGTCCCAGTGAACCAGCGGTACGATCTGCCCCCCTGGGCCTATGTACAGTGGAATATACCACCCCACATGCTCCGAGTCGACCAAATCATCCTCGCATTGACATGGGCTATTTCTCAGGCTGGATACACTGTGATCAAGCTCTTTCTCGCCGACGAAAATAACTGCAATGAAGAGTCTCGTATCTTGGCTGCTCTGGAAATACTACAAGCTACAAGACTATCTGTTACTGACTTGCTGCTCAAGATCATCTATGCCGACGAAAAATCGTACCTCTCGGTCTATCGGACTGGTTTCTTCAATAGTAACGCTATCGAATTCCTCTGGAATGGGCTCGGGGGACTGAACGAATGGAAGAAAAGGCTAAAAGACTGGCTCAGTGCAAATTACTTGGCGCATATACTCACCTTTGTCGACAAGGAAATGACTCGAGTCTCGAAAGCTCTCCTTGGTGTCTCGGGCGACGAGCTCACTCCAGAGATGCTGGAATCATTCGATCTCAACAAGGACCTCTCAGAGCGCATCAAGGAACTTATGCCGAGGACATTCGAGCTTGTTTCTGCGCTTGTTCGAACGAAGGCCCAACGCTTGGACGATCTACGACAAGATACTCTTGCGGTATTTTTTCCTTGGTCTCTAGCTCGTCTATCTAACGTTCTAATTCCCTGCAAAGGGTGTCACAACGTTTATCTGCCAGTTCGCGCACCTGCGCTCTCAGAAGAACATGTTGTTTCAAAATCAATTCGGTATATTTCTACTCAGTCTCAACATGCCGAAGCGCGCCGTCGAAGTCATGGCAAAGCTTGGTCTATGTCCGTCGTGGTCTTCCCTCAAGCGTACGAATGCAAAGCTCGCTGAGAAGCAGATCCTTCGCGCTCGTCTGGCTGCGCTCGGCTTTCACTGTATATGCTGGGATAATGTGCAGATTATCTTCAGCACGCACGCGACTCAGCGCGAGCAAGGTCCTACCAAGTTCACAAAAGGTACTCAGGTTGTTTTGTATGTCAGGGAGGGTGATCCACTCGATCTCGCCGAGTGCCTCCCTGATATTCTTGCTCGTCGAGCGACTGGCGAGGTAATAAACTACCAGGACGACATTCGCACTAATAAAGCTCAGCGCGCCGATATTCTTTGACATTTCGTACTGGACCTCGTCAAAATTCTTCGGCAGTCTTCGGGCGATGCATACGAGTATCTTGGCGACCCAGACGAGCTCGAACACTCGAGCTACTGCCCGTGCAACGCCGGGGAAAAGTTCGAGCAATATACCCTTCCCACTTTGACCATCGACGAGTCTACTACCGACGGGAACGCTCAGATCGTCGATGTAACTTACACGCAGATCCTCAAGATTCTCAAAGAACACTTCGAGGGACGCTCTATTACCTCTGTAAACGACCAGCTAACGAACGTTCGCATCCGAAGTGCTGTGCACAGGCGTCTCGAGGATACCTGTGCTCTCAATCGCATCGAAAACATTCAACTCGGCATCGGTTTATTTCACCTTCTCATGAACTTTGCATGGATGATCCTCTCGACTCACAGAGGTGCTATCGAGCAGGCGGGTAGCCTTGCATGGTACATTGGACGCCTAGGGCTTTCTCGACTCGGAAACTCGAAGCCCGACTATCAGACTCTGGTCGATCTATTTACTGTTGTTCTACAAGCGAACGTTCTAGTCTACTGGGAACTGACCACAGGAAAATCGCTTGACGAGCTTTCAAAGGAGAAGCCGACCGCTGCTCAGCTACTCGATCTTGCGCGTCAGATGCACGCCAAATATTTCTCTCTCTATTCTTGTGGCAAGGGCGATAACGAAGACGAGCTGCTTCGTAACGTCGTTCTCCTCAATCGCGATTTATTACTATTTTACGAGCTTACTCTCTCCGTCTCTTCTGGCGACTTTGGGCGTGTGGAACTCTTCCTCGGGACCTGCACCGAAATGTTTGCTGGTGGCGGGTGCCACAACTATATGAACGAGCTTTTTCATCTCATCCAGAACCTCAAGAAGGTCTGGACGCCTGCATTCGCGTTTGTCCCTTCGATTTTTTGTCTCTGATTATATACTGATAATTCCGAAGCGATGTGATGCGCCGGCACATGTTCGTTAATACTACAGGACACCCGGGGCACTTCATGGGTTCTGACATGAACCTCGAGCATATCATTAACCTCATAAAGGTACGTGCTTCACTACATTATATCTCTGTTCTTGATGCGACTGATATTAGTTCTATTATTCATCTAAAGGCATACACGGGTCCTGGGACCAGCTCGGAGTCTACGCTACTAACCTGCCGCTGTACCAGCCGATCAAAAATCAATTTGCTCGATGGTACAGCGCTGCGTATGGAGGAACAAAGCACACGCACCCTGATATGGGCCGGGACATTCGGAACACCATGGATGGCATCAAAGAGCATGGGCTGGGCGAATATCATGCAGGGAGAAAGGTCAAGGTTCGGACAATTGATGTTCTAGCAAAAGGTGCAGAGATCGTGTCGTCATCAGCGATCGAGAGGTTTGTAAAGGCGTACCTCGCTTGGATTAACCACCCAAGTGCCGAGACGGCCGCTGACTTCGAGATTTGCGAGAGAGAAGCTGAGGAAGAGCGCGAGGCTATGACACTTATGTTTGATGCACTCCTTGATCAGGACGGCGATGATGATGCTGATTTTTTTACTGCGCTTCAACGCAGTTCAAACCTTTCTAATTCAATGTCTTTTGCTTCGCATATACCCACTAGCACGTAGATAATTTTATCAGCTGTCTACTGTACTCATATGCTACTATACAACTCCTTATCTATTTCTACAGGTCCGTTTGTTCTCTGGCGTGGTTTCGGACGAGGGACTCGAGGCTGGGTGTTAGATGGACTGGGACTGGGAGATCGTGTTCGTTGCCGCTTGGTCTGCGAAGGGCCGGCGTCACCACTGTCGTGCTGAGAGAGTGTTGAAGTATTCTTGCGTTTCCCCTTCGCTTTTGACGGTTTCTTCGATTTTTGAGGTTTGGAGGCGTCCTTTGCCTCCTGTGCTGCGATCCTAGCAGCCGGGTCCTCATGTGTCCAGCCATTTAAATTAATAGACGAATTATACGAGTAGAGCTGCTGAGAGTACTCAGCTTGGCTCTGGGAATGTTGCTGCACTGGTCGCTTCAAAGCGGCCGCTTCAGCCTTGCGTGCAGCAAGATCGGCGTCATGGGCTGCGATAACTTCGAAGACTGAGGGAGCAACATCCTCGGCCCACTCGCTATTTTCGCTGAGGAGTTTGACGAGAGCGGCGGTGGATGGGATCGCATCTAGAGGAGAGAGAACAACGGTGTCGATATGTTTTTTGCTGAGGAGATAGCTCTCAGGCCATGCATAGTCGAGTCGAGGCGCTATTTCGGACCTCAGAGTCTCGAGGCGCTGTCGAAGTTCGTCGTGTTCTGTGCGCGAGCGTGTCTTGGGCTTCGGTATGTTGTCTTTCTTTTTCTGAGTCGACGGCTGACTCTGCGACTGCGTCTCGCCATCAGACGTGGCCTTTTGCGTGTGGAATGGACGGGGGAAGAGCTGGGCAGGATCAAAGGTGCTCGCCCTGCCGCAGTTATCGCAGCAGTGGGGGCCTAGAAATGTGGTGGCTATATACATGTTAGCGTACAAACCATTGGTAGTAAGTATATGCGCACCTTCTGGGCTGGTATCACCGTCCTTCGCCGCTAGGTACGCTCGTCTGCATGTCTTGAGCGAGATATACTCGCGAATTCCTGGATCGGCTCGCTTCTCGCGAGCGCTCGGTTTGTCGCTCTCCTCTGTCGTTAATGCCCACGGCTCTGCGATAACGAGACAAACAGTCTCGAGTGTCGGGGTACGGCCTCCGCGTCCGAACATTTGCAACATGGTGATTTCGTCGCAGGGAGCCCCAACACAAATAATCCGAGCGATGTTGGGCGAATTGATGCCCTTGTAATAATTCTATTCAGCTGCTGTACATAGAGTAAAATTAAAGACTTACATGTGAAGCTGCAGACGTTGAGATCAGTGTACTTATCTTGTCCGTGTGCATGAAGTCATTGTATATCTCATCATTGTACTCGGGAGACATTCCTGCATGAAGATGAGCGACGATCCTATCAGTTTGCAGAGAGGGAGGGAAATGTTTGCGTAGATGTCGCGCTATCGTAGCCGTAGCCTCGCGATTTTCCACGAAGATCACAGTCTTGGGTGGCATGGTCGGATTGGAGTACAAGGGAATAAGAAAATTATAATTTTTGAGGTTTGAGATGCTGCCGTGAAGCTCATGGACAGCATAGAAGTGATTCGGATGATTAGTTGGCTGCAGGATCTTGAGTGTCTGGTCGGGATCAAGGCGTAGCGATCCAAGGACAGTGTAGAGGGTGGGTGGTGGAAGTGTTGCTGAGAGCACAAGGATTGGTGTATCCTTGGCTAGAAGGGCTCGAATATTTGCGATCTTGCCGTATGCTGGTCGAAAGGCGTACTCCTCACCTCGACGAGGTAGACCGGCCGTCTGGATCATGTGGGCTTCGTCACAGTTAAGAAAGCCGATGCTCTTCACGAAAGCTCGCGACGTGAGCATGATGAAGGCGAGGCGTGGTAGGTGTCCGTTGTGTCGAAAGAATTGCTCGGGGGCGACAAGGATATTTCTGTACACTCCCTGGGCGATATCCTGCATAACAGTAAGGCATGTTAATGCGAATAGTAGATCGAAAACACGTACCTTCCATAGGTTTTTATCATCTGGTGTGTCCTCGTTGATTTGAACGGTCTTGATCCCATATTGCTCGAATTCGTGAACCTAGAGACTGGTTAGCTGACAGAATAGAAGTATATAGTGACTTACATGATTTTTTTGGAGCAATTTAAGCGGTGAGATGGTGATCGCGATTTTTGACTGGTCGCCGAGCAGCAGGGGTAGTACCATAGCCATTGTCTTGCCGTACCCGGTTCCTGCGCGAACGACAACGTTCTGGCCAGACAGAGTGGCCACCGTGGATTGTAGTTGAAACTCCCGAGGAGTTTTAGTACCATTGAACTGCTTGTCGAACCAGGATGTAGCCTTGAAGACGATCTGAGCCTGTTCAAAGGAGAGGCTCTCGACAAACGATGGGGATAGTTCTTCGAGCGATTTCTGCGCGTTCGGGGAAAGTTCTTCGGTAGGTAGTAGATCGAATATATTCATGACGAGTACACGAGAGGGACGGTCGACGAGGAAGTAGTATACGAGATAACAAGTACTACGCGAAGGGACTTAGACGCGACGCATCTAATCTACAGGGGTTAATTTTCCTCTTTCAGCCATTGATTTTCCTCGGGCCGAGCTAATTTTCAAACTCCGGCGGCCCAAGCCAGCAAGTCGAGATTATCCCCCAGTCTCGCTGGCGCGAAGACCCATGGGGTCTGTTGCCTATTTAGGCACGCACAAGCTGAGACTGGTCACGAGTCTACGTATATATAACCAGCAAGACCTATCCAATTCCGAACTTCCTTGTTTGGTCTCTCATCTTTCTTCCCAGCGCTGCACCGATGGCCTCTCACTCAAACGTCCTCGCCCATCCGCTCGGGGACGCATGTTTTCGGACCGTGCAGCACACCGGTACCGCTATCGGCAAAACCGAACAAGTCGGGGGCATGCCAACGTACATCACCGGCGCCAACCAGACGGATCCCAAGGCGATCGTGCTCTTCTTCTCGGATGTGTTCGGCCCGTTCTACATCAACAACCAGCTGTTGATGGACTACTATGCATCTCAAGGTGCGCCATCTGTCAAGCGGCATGTTTGCTATGTCTTCCGCAATCATGGCTATAAATATGTGGGCCTTATGCCATTTGAAATGAAAGGCTTCACAGTCCTGGGGATCGACTACTTCCTCGGGGATCCGGTCACCGAGGCCCGCTTGAAGGACAAGAACTTCGATCGCAATACTTGGAGACCTGGCGTCGAGAAGATCGCGGAGGAGCGAATACCGGGTTGGATAGAGGCCATCAAGCAGCGCTATCCCGGAGCCAAGTTCTGTACAGTCGGTGCGCATTTCCACTCAGCACTCGCTTGTTGCTACGAAGCAGCATGGATAAAATTCATGGGATAATCAGGAAACTGCTTCGGCGCTCCGTATGCAATGGACGCTTGCAAGGACGACTCGTTTGTCTGCGGTGAGCAATCTCTCTGGCGAAGTTACCGTCGTGCATATGCACACAGGCTCAGGAATACCAGCTGCGGTTGCCCACCCATCCAAGCTTACCGAGGATCACTTCACTTCGTTACGAGGTACGCGACACCGGAATCGAGTCACAGATAATGTGCATCCACTAATTGACATTCTTCTCAGTCCCCATCTTGCTGGCATGCGCCGAAATCGATCACGCTTTTCCGGCCGAGCTACGACGCCGCGCGGAAGACATCTTCGTCTCGCGCAAGCACACATACCACTTCACGATATTCTCTGGCGTCTCGCACGGGTTCGCTGCGCGCGGTGATCCGAACGTGGAGAATGACTGTGAGTGTTATCCGTGTTCTTGAATCATGTTCCGTCTCTGACGTAGGTGAGATAGGCTGGGCAAAAGAGGAGTGCGCGAGAGGGATTGTGCAGTGGTTCAAGCGGTTCACTAGCCGGCCTTGAGCTTGCCGTTCCTTCCATCACCCATTTGGCAGAATCCTAGCACAAATGTGAACGTGTACACCTCCCTATCTAAAACAAAGAGAATCAATCGGATAATGTTCACTGCATCGTGTCGTCCTGAGCTGTCATACATGCAATGTACCGTGGTCCATCGGTCAGCATCTTGACAAAAACAGGACTAGTTTTGTAAAGGAGATAAGGGACTCGTTCCCTACATCTAATAGATTGTTTATGAATATTGCAACCTGAAACCCAGAACAACACCGCACCTCAGCACACCGACCCTCCCTACTCCCCATCCACAGCACCCCTCCGCCTTCTCGCCCTCGTCGCCTCCCTATGCCGCCTCTTCCACTCCCTCGTCAATTCTCCCTTCTCCCTGTCCCACCGCTCCCGAATCTGGTCCTCGCTCTCGGTGCGACAGAACCCCGCCGCACGCCAATCCCACCACCCTTTCTCTCTGGCGACGTCGAACATGTCCTTGGCGCGCGCACGGTCAGCCGGACGCAGCTGGGAGCGTGTAGTAGGGGAGAGAGGGAAGAAGAAGGGGAGGGAGGGGTCGAATGACGCTGTACCGCCGGTGGATGCTGGGACCGGAGATGTGTAAGTGGGTTCGCTGAATACGTGTGCGTCGGATGTGGGCTGGGCAGCAGTGGGTCGTATGGAGGGGGCGATGGCAAAGGCGAGGTCTTCGTCCATGTCCATGTCGAGGTCGAGGTCGAGATGGCCGAGGAGCGAGAACCCAGCTAATAGAACGAGAACTGTAAGTATATGTTACGTCGAACGAAATAGTAGCGCACCATCTTCCTCTCGAGGCGCAAAGAGATCCTTGAGGTTCGTTTTTGGCAGAGCGGCAGCTTGTTCTTGCTGCACCGAGCTCGTCGACGCATCGGTTGCAGACTGATGGTGAAGCGGCGGGGGAGCCTCGACATCGTCTTCAACAGTACGGTTTGATGCCGGCTGTGGAATAACGATAGTTTTAGAAACGGGGACTTCCTCAAACGTCTCGTCTGCATAGTTCCCATGGGGCATGCGTTGCTCATCTTCCGCATCAGAAGGTATGCTCTCGCGCCCGTCCCAATCTGCGTCAGCGGCGCCGAACATCGACTGCAGGAGATTAAGGGCCGACATCTTTTCTTGTGTCACGTCGATGTCATCTGATGCGTTGGTAGCCGGAAGAGGTGGAGGAACGACTGCGGTAGCGGAAGTGAGTGAGGGGATAGCAGCTATCTTTTGGGGCGGAGAGTGTTCCTCTTCGACGTCCATGCCTTCATCCTCCTGATCGCCTTCAGATACAATCCCCGACTCCTCATTCTCCTCCTCGTCCACCGACTCTTCGTCCGACTCCGCGTGCATCGCCTGGGCATCGACGAATATCGGCGACGACACACTCGGATGGTCACCCCGAGACGCAACGACCGTATCCGCATCCAAGAGTACCCCCGTGAGATGGGTCGAGTCCCACTTCGTCGGGTCGATCGTTCGCCGGCGCGCCCTCGTCAACGGAGCTTTCACCCTCGGCTTTTTGCGCGGCTTTCCTGCCTCCTTGGGTGTGTCGTGGAGCTGAGGCTCGAGCGGACGCGCAGGCCGCATACGCAGAGGGCGCACCATGCGGCCTAGGGGAGTGACGTGCCACCCTGCGCGACCGGAGACGTTTTCGGGGGTGACGATGGACATATCTTGTGCGTGCACGGCGGTCGAACCGCGCTTGCGCTTCTTTTTGGTGATGTCTGAGGGAGATTGAGCGTTTTCTTGGGAGATTCTGGGACAAAGGGAAGAGGAATGCATTGGTCTAGCTGCATTGCTTTGGGGGATGACGAGACGCACCGCTCTCTAAAGTCTGGTTTCGCCTCTCCGACGCGCAGCTTCGTGCCCTTCCATATTGATCCGCTGAGGACGTTCAGGCCTGCATACGTAGCCGAGCAATACACAAGGTTAGAGATCGTCCAATACATCCGAGTGCAATGATTAGGGCGACGCAGAGATACGCACTCTACTCACATTTGGCCAGCTGCCCCTTGGTCGTCTCGAGCGTGATGTAGGCGAAGGGTCTTGGCTCGCCGAGTCCGTTTTTTGCGCCGAAGCCATCCACCGACTTCACAGCGCCATAGCCGGAGATGAGACGCGAAAGGTCGTTTGCAGTGATGTTGGAACTGATTCCAGAGATATGGAGGCATTTGGTGACTGGGTCCATCGAAAGAAAGTTAGGAGAAACTTTTGTGTGCGTTGTGCGCTACGCACGCATTTGACAGGATTGGATAAATAGCCCCTGTCTCTGTAACAGCAAAAATCACATCATGAAAATGACTGCCTGGGTTTAACGGCTCTTAGATGCAATAGTATTCAGTTTTTTACCCCGGCTGAAGCATGCCCTCACGGTGGAGGTGAGGTGAGGCGAGCTGGCAAATTGATACGACCTCGGTGGACTATGCCCAAACTATGCCTGCGTGCATGTTACAACGAGAATAAGATCGGTCTCGAGGAAGAGAGTGCCCCAGAGTTCATTAGGAAGTGCAGGAGGTTCACCAGCACTGCCCATCCTAGTGGAAGCCTCAGCAGTACTAGTGACTTCACAAAGCAAGCCATTCCTCTTGTGTGCGCCACGCGCGCCATTATGAGATCGAATAGTACCCAGACTCGACTGTTCTTCCGCCCCATACCAGTAGTTTATTACTAGACCAGAGTGTACACCGCATTGTTTGCGGTCATGCGCAATAATGCATATTTGTTCGCTTTCTAAAACCTCTCTAATAATATCATGCAGCACTGGTTGGCTCCTCGCCTGGATCTTCGAGTGCCATGACCGCAAAAAGTGGTCCCTCGAACCAATCTTCCTGCGAGCATTGAGTCAGCTGCATTGAAATTTAGATGCCCAATAAAAGGCCGATGACGTACGGACACAAGAACAATCAAGTCATCGCCAAGTAGACACGAAGTCCACCGCCGATTAAAACCAACTTCCTTTCTCCACGCGACTCGAAAGCTACCTTCCCACTGCTCGCTCTCCGGCTGAGGGCGCGTCCAGTCCTTGCCCAAGCCAGAACACGTGGCGTGTGTCATGGGGTTAATATCCATAATAGCCACGAGCTCATACAATTCACCACGTGTCCATTCCTCGTCAGAGAGATTGTGGTCAAGCACAGTAGCAATGCGTAGTCCGCGTGTCGAATAGCGGTGCCATGCACGACCGCGTCCCCATACCCGAGTGCGGAATGAAGTTACGAAAACTCGAGGGCTTAACCCCCAATCGCTCCACGGGATAACGACGCCCAACGCTCCAGACTTTCTCGCTGAGGAGACATACTGCATGATGACGGACACAGGGAGGAAGACTCGCGTTGCAAGCGGCGCCTCAATATTCAAGTTGATGACGATTAGCTGTGCTTCAGGAGCAAGCGTGAATGGTGATGCGCATTCCACGTTGCCAAGACCAGTAGTATGTTTGTCGGCAAAAAGCGGCGTGGATGAGATAAACATGTTATCGCCTGCGAACTCTGAGTCGAAGTCCAGTTTACATATATACGAGTGGTCGTCTTCGTTATCCAACGTGTACGGACCAGTGTGAGTGGCCCTGTCAAGGTCGTAAACGCTGATATATGCTTCATTCGGTTTCCCTGGCGTGTCCTGCATGTAACGGTCGACACCGACAAGGAGAAGATCATCTGGGAGGAGTGAAAATGACTTGAAGATGTAACTGAAACTGTGGACGATTTCCTGAGGACAGGTTGAGATAAACCGTTGGATAAGTATCGAGAATAGTTGTTTAGCGGAGCTCACCACTTCCTTCAGCCCGGACATCCAGTTCCAAACGGCGAACTTCGGTTGTTCTTTGTGATTCGTATCTTCCATGAGCATGGCAAAATGTCTGTCGCACACTTGTAGTGTTAACCTCACGTGAAGGGTCCGGTACCTAAACTCAGGTGCGTAGAGCAGCACGGGACTAGTAGCTGCAGGATGGGGTGAGCCCGTAGATAGTGTGAGGACGTGGGTTTTGAACGCCAAGCTAAGAAAATTACTGCCTCAGTAAGTGTCTGATGGTATGGCGCGAGGGTACTCACTATGACTCTTGGTCTCCGCTTGGTGGACAGCTCTCTATGAGCCTCGTATATATATGAAATGAGAGAGAAAACGCACCTAGGCCTGAACCCCTCAAACAGGACGAGAAGATCTTGAGAAGGGTCATAACAGAAGTCCCAGTTCAGACCACTCTCCCCGCACGAGTGGTAGATCCTCCACTCCTGTTGCGCAATCCTCTTGATAGACGAAGGCAGGCGGATACATTGGATGAAACCAGGTCCGGCGATGCAGAAAACATCGCCCACCAGCCTCCACATCGTGACGCCCGGAGGCGTAGGCAATACGACGGGTTCGGGGGTTGACCAAGAGAGCGCTTCCCAGGCTCGACCCTGTGCCCTGAGCATGGAAAGGCGAGAGGTTATGCTCATATCTGAAGCTGGAACATTTTGCATGCATGCTAGCTGTAGCTCGACATGGTATTGAACATGAACGCTGTCCTCTATAATGCATCGAAAGAGTTGGCAGGTCTGTATGTCAATTCACCCGTGAGCTGTGGCAGTGGAGCGCTTGCTGGCAGAGGGTCAAGCTAGAGCTTACTTGTTGACATGCATTGATAGAAGCGACATCCAGGCGAAGGAAAATCGCAACAAGGAGTTCGTCAGGGAGTGCGATATGGCTGCGACCCATGATGATGAGCGGTGGTTGAAAGGAAGAGCGGACTCCGACGCGTTGTCGCGTATCGCTTCCGCGTCGACATACTAACCCCCTACTATCTTTGGCACATTTCGGCGCATATCCAGAACGCGTCGAGTACCCCCAGAATCAATACAACGCAACTCTGAATTACAGCTATTTGCTAAATGGTTGACAGTCGCGCGGGGTCGAGTGTTCAAATAAAGAAAATGGAAATTTCTAAATTGCTCGTCGCGCGTCGCGCGGCTCGCTACTGTACTGCACCTGTTAGAGCATTAGACCTTGTCCATCGCATATACTCCCTCTGCACCCCCTATCCAAGTCGTCTCTAAGTTGTCTAAGTATTCGCAACGACGCTTCTCAAGGAGCCCGAGTCCTCTTAGTGAGGCTCCCGATGAGGCCCCGGCAGCGATTCAAGCAATCGAACCTGAAACCCCAGCCCAACCCGTGCAAGCTGAACCCGTAAAACGCGGTCGAGGACATTGGTGTGAGGGTGCGAGGGCGGCCAGGGGCACCTAGATTGCGACGTACAACATCACCCGTTTCATCCCTGAGCCTGAGAGAGCGGTAGAATGTGCTCTCAGAGAAGCCAACGCGCTGCAGGATAGTCTCAGTGGGAATGTCGCAGTTGTCGTGGAGGTTGAGAGCGGCAATCTTGACGTTTCGGCTGATTTCACAGTATGGCATAGTTAAGACGTTCGACTCAGAGGAGCATATTTTAGAGCACTCGTTCACTCTCTTGCGCAGCCACGGCTTGCGGCTACTCAACGTACATGCCATTTTCTGATTTTAGGTATTTTTACACTCAATCGCGCCGCAGCGACCACCTGTCAACCTTTTCGCAAATAGCTGTAATCTTCCTACCATACAACTTTCTAAAAAGTGGTTCTCAAGATAAGGGTAAAGTCAAGACGCATCACTAATTAGTGCCGAGTAGTATTGAATATGCATCATGGCTGTCATTGTGATCAATTGGATTGGTGATCGATCATACTCGCCATAAAATTATTGAAACAGTCAACAACATGCGCTTACAAACCTTTGTCTAGTAGCAACCTGAACTAGAACAACGTCTATATTTGTTACAAGGGAAGCAACATCGATACCAGGGAATACTTATTCAGGCCCGTAGCTCATCGCTGAGCTATTCAAAATTGCCATTTATCAAACATAAAGACGTTGGGGGGAAGGTCTAGAAGTACTATCTCTCCAGTTGCACTACAATTTTAAATAAAGCAATGAGAAGTATAGATATGAACATGACATAACGTTTGCAAATGCGACCATGGTGCCCAGAACCTAACGTCGTGCACATCAGCGCTTTTCGGAGAGCTTAACTACGACCTGGAGTGTCAGGATCACGAAGAACTATGAATTTAAACTTAGTTCGCTGGCGTTCCCGGGAGTTGCGCTGTTACGATCATGAAGAACAGTGTCAAACCATCATAGCCGTATACGACAGTTAGCACTCACATCTACGAACACAATCGAATCTTGGCCGAGCAGTATATCCAACTCCCCAGTGTATGACATATCCGGTAGTCGGACCAGGGCCATCCTACCTTCAAGACCGAGAGGCCCTTGCTCTGAAAACGGACGCCACGGTTCGTCAGGGCTTATTGAACGAGATAAGTGTCGCCGAGCTGCATAAGCGTTGAAATCTGTAAAGAGCACATGCTGTATCACTTCGTCAGCTCTTCTCTGCAAAGGCACGCCTCTGAACAAAATGGCTGAGCGTAAACAGCACGCTGCGTCGGAAAACCAGAATAGGAAAGGATCATCGCGATTCAGCCTCAACAACGCGGCTGGTCCCCATAAGTCCCCGCTAATATGGACACGTTGTTGATTTGTAGCGCGTGCGGAGGAGACGTGGTGCGACACGACAGATGGCGGAAGGTAGAGGGACATTTCCAAGGACCTTTCTTCAGCAGATATTTCTCCCTCTGTAGAGACCATGACTAGTAAAACTTGTTGCGAAGCCGGGTCGGGTATGAATGGAGGACTGCGTAGCGTGCTCGCGCAAGAGCACTGCACGAGGCCGGGCGCAGACTGCATGGTCATGTTTCGAAAGAGGCCCGTCAAGGTAGGGAACTCGAACGTGCATAGATAGGGCATATGTTAAGCTAAACAAGCGCGCGACGGGGCAAAGATGAACTCACACGTTTGCATGCTATGAGTGAAGCTATGTCAAGCTCCAGAGAAACCAGAACAACTTGCTCGTCAGGAAGAGATCTGCGTATATCGTACATATGATGTGTTGGTTAAGGACGTGGTGCCACTGGCTGCCACTCAGTGGCGTCTCGGTTTGCCACACGTTGCGTGGTCGCGTGAGTAAATAACCCCTATCCATCGCACTTTGTGGTCAGAATTCGCGCCCAACTCGAGCCTACCTTTTGGTCTGCAGCCCAGTTTGTTATACATCTTTGCACCATGCTATACGCAAGAGGTCACTGTTCATTCGGAGCTACACGAGCGCAGCATTCAGTCGTAAGAGCTTTGGGATGCAAACATGCTATAGTGCAGACTCATCGCCAGGTAGCCTCATTGACAGCGCTAGCTCAGGCTGTTGAGTGCGCAGGAACAACTCGGGGGACCGTATAAGTCGGAAAGGCTGTGATATTGAACCGCTCGGGTGGCTCAAATTCTTCCAGTACAGCACGGCATCAAAGCAGTCACGGTTGGCCGCTGTGACAGCTTCACTTAACACCAACAGCCTTCATGGCTAAGTTCGGCTCTAACCTCAGTAAATCACCCATCTTTGGATACAAACCGCACGGCGACTTACTAGTGTACGGCAACTCTAACCCGATACTAACTTCACCTACTTATGAATATGACCCAGCTTGCAGTACACTTGAAGGATCTCCGCCGACCTGCTCACTCGCCCCTGAACAGCAGGACACAAACTCGAAAGGAAACCTGGACGCACCCCGTATCGAGGAACGCAGAGTGCCCGAACCCTCCTCGCTGATCGGCTCGGCTGCGAAACCCAAATGCTTGAGTTTGCTGCAACTGAGACCGCCTCACCGCGTCGTATCGCCATCACCAACAAGAGAGCACAGTGTTGACGATCGCCATGCCCAGTTCCGCGCTTACCGCCGGCTTACCGTATCATGCGTCCCTATCAACTCAACGGGCAAGCAAACGGAGATCATCACAGCTTTTGGAACAGCTACTTACTGTATGTTGCAGAAACCAGCGCCGCGCGTGGAAGGCGGAGAAGGGTTTAGGATTCAAATTTCAGAAGCTGGCCTTGAGGGGCCCCGAGATTGAGAACCGTCGGCTAACTCGAGCCTGGGATGACCAGCGTGTACTTACACACTGCACTGGCCCTTTCGACCGCGTCGGCGGAGAACGGTGCGCGTCTCGATAGCTACGGTGGCGCTCCGTGGCTGGGAGCTAAAACGTTCGACGGCTTCGAGTGAGAACGCGAGCATGAACCGGCCTAGATCTAAGCTGATCTAAGTTGGTTCTTTGTGAGAAATCACAAAGGAGCCGGCCAGCTGCAGCTATGCAGGCTGAGCGTTATCTGTCGTCTCATGGAGGTGCGTATACAAGTGAACCTCACTGCGACGGTCGGCGAGGCTCACCTCCAGTACTCGGGTATGCACATGCGACACCGGCATACTAAGCGGCGAGCTGCATCCACACGAGACGAGAGCTATGCCCAAGAAAGGCCAAATTGACTGGATGCAAAACCTTCGCGGAGTTGGGAGGTTGCATATCTTCCGGCGTTGTCCGCTTGCTAAACTTTCTTTTTCCTTTCTTTTCTGTCTTCGGAACGCGTTCGGGCTGCGGGCGGATCTCGGCAAATATCCGTCTCATAGAGAAGGGGGTCTTTCGAGGTGATGTGATTCGCTCTTGCGTCAGCTACAACTGTGCGTACACTCTACTTTACCTGCACTTCTTTGTCTCGAGCGAGAAGCGTCAGACAGGAAGCCGAACTTGAGTCCCGAAGATTGGAACAACGTCAGATGGTGCCAAGTCGGATATGGCTTTTTGGATACCGTAGCTTGATGGAATTTAGCGCCGTTACGAGAGGAAGAAGATCCAGTTGCACTGGACTCACTTACTTACCGTAATAAATGAATCAACATGTGCGTCTGGAATTGGGGTGCCACTGGAATGAGAAGACAATCACGGAGAGCGCCGGTCATAGATCTGTGCCAATAAATGTCGCGAGCCTGAAAATACGGAGATGAACATACGTTCGACCTGGTGAAGACAAGTGAGCAAGAGCTGATCATCGCGTTGAGATCCAAAAGCATCCAATACTTAAAGTCTTTCCACGTACCGTCTGATAGCTCGATGATAGAGCTATGCTGACGCATACACAGGAAACCAAACCACACTCCGGTCGTCAACGCGTCACTTTAGAAGGCTTGCACATAGACCAGCCCATAGAGGGAATGTCAGTACGCTGAACCGGAACCAAAGTAAAATAAGTTTAGATTAGTGAATCTCGATATAATGGACCAGCCATAGTATGTCCTTATGACAAGATCTGAGCGGCAGACTTGGTGGAATAAGGTGGAATAGCAGTCCATCGTTTCTCTCCGGTGGTCGGCAAAACTATGGACACGAATGCAAAGTGGGAAATATACGGCATGGGCCGAGCCGCGGCAAGAGGGTAAATTGAACGATCACTTTTGCGATCACCGCGAAATGGCAAAGATCCTCTTCAGCGGTGCCCTGGGTCGCGCAGTCCAAAGATTATCTGGGATTTTTTATGTGCTATACGCTATGCAAGACGTGACGACGATGGAGCACAGGTAGCTCACCTGATAAGTGCGGTTCGAATCTGCTCAGCGCCAGACAGTTGCGATTCAGCTTGATTTGCACCCTATCACGACGGATGTAAGCATGATCCCATAACGAGCGCTTGAGCTGTCATAGTTTCCGGAAGAAGTAGTGATTGGGTCAGACGTTCAAAGAGGCTATATGACCGGCAATGCCACAACGAAAAGGCGTACGCGTCTCCCGCTCATCTGACTAGCTCCGGCTCTGATGGCCCCTGCGTCTGTCTGGACCTTGGAGTCATTTAAGGACACGAGCGACAGTGCTGCGGCAGGAGCAAGAGGGGCGTCGTTTCGCCGGATGGACGTTCAAAATTAGTGATATTAAATGTGGCTGAATGGGGTTGGGTTGGGGTAATCGCTAGGCTGACCTGGCCGAGCTTCTGCGCTGCCACAGTCGACAGTGGTCCCGATCTGTGCACTGTGTGTTGATGCCACGGTCTGATTTGGAACAAGGGGGCTTTATTCTGACTGAGACGATCTGCGCGAAAGAGCCAGGCGGTCTCACCTCAACCGGGTGTCGTCAGTAGTGAGCAGGGATGCGACTAGATGCGACTGAGAGGAAAGGGACTTGGCTTGAGGATTGACGTGGCAAAGGGGCTATGTAGATGAATTTGCGACAAAAATGATTTACGTAATCCACAGGAATATGGGCGTTGGTGTGCCCGGCGGCGTGGGTTTGGAGACGCGGAGGCAAAAAATATGACAGGGGAAGGTGAGTGTGACTATATGCGTGACAAATTGTGACGGTTTGGGATTGAGCTGGGTCAGCGTGACGGCGGTGGAAGATTCATTGGGAACAAAGCCGCGCTCCGTCACCACCGTCCTCGTCGTCGTCTCCCTCCTCTCCCTCAACGACGCCCCCTGTCACCCGGCCCCCTCTCACCTCAACACATATACTCGTCTCTTATCCAAAGTCTCTCATCTCGCGTCCCAGAGGCGACAACTCCCAATCCCCGCGCATACACCCACCCGCACCCCGTCTTAGCTTTACTCCTGCTCTCGCCAGTCTAGCTTTGCAGTCTTCCTCCCCCACCCTCTATCCATACTTTGGCCTCCACCCGCCACGCTCGCTAACACTTACCGCCTACTATGGGCAACTGTATCTCCTCCTCTCAAGACCGCATCGAGAAGGCCAAGTCCGACGAGATCGACCGCCAGATTGAGGAGGACTCGCGCAAATTTCGCAAGGAATGTAAAATCTTACTGCTTGGTGCGTTTTTTTTCTCCTCTCCTCCCTCCACTCTTTTCGTCCCCCATGTGCCCCTCTGTTCCTACGTGTCAACCTCCCTCTGTTCCATGGGGACGGCTTCGCGAACGAACGAGAGCGTACCGAGGCGGCAGCGCGCCATACGCTCGTCTGCGCTTAGCGGATGAACGTCCCTTCATCACACCATTTCATCTCCATCCTTCTCCCGACGCTTCGCATGCACTCTGCCCGCGCTAACCTGCCCCTTTCCCCGCAGGTTCCGGCGAGTCAGGAAAGTCGACGATTGTGAAGCAAATGAAGATAATCCATCAAAACGGATTCACGCCCGACGAATTGATGTCGTACAAGGCAACTATCTTCAAGAACACGCTCGACAGCGCCCAGGGGATAGTTCTGTTCATGAGAAAGATCAATGTTGACTGCGAGCTTCCTAATAACCGGGTACGTGTTCAGCGCCCTTCCCCAGTCAAACCCCGCTTCCTTTCCGGTGTTCGTCTCTGATGTGGATATATGCGCTAGGTGAACGCCGATCGGATACTAGACTGGCGAGCAGACAACTTCTCGGAGGAGGTGGCCCTCGCCATCTCGCAGTTCTGGCAAGACCCCGTCATTCCCTCGATCATGGACCGGAGTAGCGACTTCTACCTTATGGACTCGGCCTCTTAGTACGTCTCTCGGCTTCGTCATCGTCTCCCCGTCCTCACCGCTGCGCTATCCCCCTCTTTCATTTACACTCGTTATCGCCGCTTACTGACGTTGATCCCACCACAGTTTCTTCAGCGAGGTCAAGCGGATCGGCGGGCAGGATTACTGCCCCACGGAGACGGATGTGCTGCGCGCAAGAGCGAAGACGACGGGTATTACAGAGACTCGATTTAACATGGGGCAGCTCTCGTAAGTACTCTCCGTCCTCGTGCGATTCCCGGGTGGCGCATCGCTGACGAGCATCGCAGGGTGCACATGTTCGACGTCGGTGGTCAGCGCTCGGAGCGGAAGAAATGGATCCACTGCTTCGAAAGCGTCACCAGCATCATCTTCTGCACGGCGTTGTCGGAGTACGACCAGGTCCTCCTCGAAGAGCGGAACCAGAACCGCATGGCTGAGAGTCTTATTCTTTTCGAGAGCGTCATTAACTCTCGGTGGTTCCTCCGGACGTCGATCATCTTGTTCCTGAACAAGATCGACGTGTTCAAGACTAAACTCCCAAAGGTATGTTTCATCGTCGTTCGCTTAGGCCCGGGCGCAATGGCTGACGGAGTTGGCCACGCACGTCTAGGTCCCATTGGAGCGCTACTTCCCGGAATACACTGGCGGCAGTGACATCAACAAGGCCGCGAAGTATATCTTGTGGAGGTTTATGCAGGCGAACCGGGCGAGGCTCAGCGTTTACCCCCAGTAAGTCACTGCCTTCACATGGTCCTTCCCTGTTATCCCCCCTCGCCTGCTCGCCCCTCGTCTCGTACCTGACTGACTGGCTATTTTGATTCACTAGCCTTACGCAAGCGACCGACACGTCAAATATCAGGCTAGTGTTCGCGGCGGTTAAGGAAACAATTCTCCAGAACGCGCTGAAGGACGCTGGCATCCTGTAGCGTCGCGCCGCGTTCGTGCGCGTTCTCTCGTCCATCTTTGGTGTCTCGGTCGCTCCGGTGCGTCCCCCTCTCGTTTATCTCCATTATCACGACGCTGACGCGTATACACGATAGTTCTACTCATCCTGTGGATATCTCTGCTGCATTTATATTCTCGTCGCTCACTTTTCTTCATACGTCGTTGTCTCGCATACCATAAGTCTCCACGTTCTATCCTGTTCATCTATCTGCCTCTCGTACATTATCGCCTCCTCTACGTCCTGCCTGGTCCTGCATAGGTGACAGTCGCTCGCTGGGAATGCAGCCGCACTCTACTAATCGACTTACGGCGATCATCATTCCTGGGCCCCTCCATCTCAACTTGTCTATTATTCTATCTGTCACGCCGACGCCATCTCGTACGACTCTCTTATTCCCTCCGCGAATGTTATATACTCCGTGTTCGGTCATGGCTCGGATTTGCTCATATCTACTGTAAGCAGGTTGGACGTTCAGTCGTCTGTCGGACTGACGCGCGGACGCGATCGACGTCGTGACCCTGCCATTGCACCACCATTTGCACCTCATCGTTTATCGGTTTCCGTTCCTCGTCTCGGCTGTCGGCGTGTGCTCTCGGCACTGCTGCCTGCGTCTCGCGTCCGCGCCCCAGCTTTCGGCTGTGTCCTCTCACCCGGCTTCCATCCCCGCGTCCGACTTTTCGGTCGCATATTTCCATCTGCACAAAGTTGTACTCGTCCTCCCTCGCCCGGTTTGATGCCTCGCCACTCTCTTTTCCCGTCCGCCGTCTCTCGCTTGTACATTCCCCTTCCCTCGTCCGCGTCGTGTTCTTAGGTCTCTCCGTGCCCCGTCTACGCGTCCGTCTACGCGTTCATCATCGTCGTCGGCTGGGACATATCGCGCGTCCCCAATGAACAGCATATCGGTGGCCGTTCGGACCCTCGGAATTGTCCTTTGCCCCTCTCGTCTAGATTCCTGCGTCGTCGGCTTCATCCCCATCCCCATCCCAGTCCACCCTGCGCCGGGTTCGTACGAACGCGGCTCGGCGCTGGCGAGGCTTTGGCGGGGTGTCTTGTGGTTCGGAAGGCGCATTGGCGGGAGCTAAAGTGGTGCGAAGGTGAGGTGTGTAGGAGAGGAGGATGGGGATGGACTCGGAGAAGGGAGATGACTTGTTCATGCCGCCCGTCGCTTCGTCGCCAAGACTTCCTCTCTTCTGCCTCGCGCGTCTATGGGCACGACTGTCGGCTCCACCTGAACATACGAAAAAACGCGTTCCGAGAATCAATGTACAGTAGTTATGTCACGGGGACGTCTGTCTTGTGATGATCCCTCTCTTTGCCTGCGTTCTCTCTATCTCTCTCTTTACACGCTTACATGTCTGCCTACTTTTCCTCACGTACATACGATACTTGCTTTGACTGCTTTATTTACGACTCGACAGACTTATCCCATCCATCGCTTATGCGACTCTGGAACGGCGCGAGCGGTAGTTTGTAGGAGGCGGTGGTGCTACTCTTATTCAGTATATAGTTGGTCTCGGAATTTGTTTTGAATATAGATCGTCATTTCGAAACTCTTGCTCGGTGTTCGTGTGTATGTCATTTCGGTTGAGGCGATTCGCGCTGGTGAATAGGGCAGAAAACGACATGGATGACTTTACGTGCGTGCGTGGAATACAATAACTACTACTTTTTCTCTTCTTCTGTGCCCATCTGTCAGCGTCGCCCAGGCATATTAGGTATCCTCAAAACCAATACGTCCCTGTGTACTCTGCTCGTTTACACACTCTATCTCAAGTCCTCCATCATCCATCCTCATCCGCGTCCTCATCAAACTGATTAAACCCAAGATCCCGCACGCTCGACACAGCAACCAGCAGCGGATGCTGCGCATCGAACATGCGGAGCAGCCGCGCAACGTCCTCGAGCGCATAGTCCTCCATCTCCTCAATGAGCGCGAGCTCCTGCCTATCGTCCTCGAGCTCGTGCGGCGCGCGCTCCGCGCGGCCCTTGCGCCGATCCGCGAGCGCCTGCAGCTGGTGCTTCGTCGCGTCGAGCACGCCGTGCTGCAGCTCGGGCGGGAGCGCGCGGGCGCCGCCGATGACGAGGAGCGCGTCGATGAACGCGCGGTAGAGCGAGGCGAGGAACGAGGGGTCGGTTTCGGTCGCGATGCACTTGACGAGCGCGAGGAAGGACGCGCTGACGATCTGCGGGGAGAGCGTCGACGAGTGTTTGCCGCACGAGAAGAGCGTCGGGATGAGTCTGTTTCATCCCCGTCAGTCACTTCAATCCGTCCGGTATTTAGACGCTGGAGACGCACCGACACGCGGCCTCTCTGACGCCTTCGTGGAAGTAAAACCGCAGCGCCGGGAGCGCGAGCTCGAGCGCCTGCGTGAGGTAGGGCGCAAAGCGACCGTCGAGCGTCGCCGCGTAGATGAGCAGCGTCTCGAACGCCTGACACTTCTCCTCGATCGTCGACGTCCGGATGCCGACGATGCGCCCGTCCATGTTGATCGTCTCCCACCCCTCGCGCTCTTCGTACCCGTTCTCATCGTCTTCATCTGCTCAGCGTCCGGAGTGAGTCGAACAGGTCAAGTACGGAGGAGATGAGACGACGCACCGTACACCGACACGTCCGCTTTTGCGTTCGCGGCGTTCAGCAGCGGCGGCATAACGACGGGTAGATATGGCTCAAAGTCGGGTCCCATCGCCTGGCATATCTTTGCCCACGTCGCAATCAGGTAGTTGGCGAGCAGCGTATCGTTCGGGTCGTGCGGTCCGCCTAGATCGCCACCAATTAGCCTTGTCGCTCCGAGTGCTAAAGAAGAACGTATTGCATACCTTGTATCTTGATAAGCAGCTCGATGAGCGTGCTCGCGTCCGGCCGGAAAACGTCACGTCCGACGGCGATCGCTGTCCAGCAATCCCACCATCAGCAACTCCGCTCTAGAATCGAACATCCCAAAGACCCCACCTATAAGCCCAGCACACTCCATCGCCTTGACACGTATCTTATGATACTCCGGCGAATTCGCGTTCCGCAGCACATTCAACAACAGCGGCATAATCGACGCATAATGCTATCACACGTCCCCCTATCAGCCTCCCTTCCAAGTCCACAGCGCTCACCGCTCGCAAAAAAAGCAAAAACAAGCGCACACCTTAGCAAACGTCGCCTCGCTCGCGTCCGCGACCATCGCAAGCGACGTGATGACCTGCTCCTGCACATAGCGCTTCACGCGCTGCCCCTGCTCGCCGTGCGGATCGAGCAGCTTCAGCAGGCGCTCGACGATCGGGTCCAGATACGGCACGAGCGTGTCGTGCGCGACGCCCTCGCAGAAGTTGATCAGCGCCGCCGCGGCGTGTGCGTGTACTCTGCCACCGGCGAGAGCGAGCGAGGGGGTGGTGTGAGCGGATAAGCTAAGGTGAAGAAGGAGAGGAGAACGGGGGGCGTACCGCGGTTCAGGCGCCTCGAGCGTGGGTATGAGCGCGCTGAAGAGCTGCTCGTGGTACCGTTCTTGTATGATCTCCTATTATCAAACACCACAACGCACCGCCCGTCAGCTCTCCCGCTCCCTCTAACCTTGAGAGTAAAAGAAGACACACCTCGAGATCCGTGCATAGCTGTCCACTGCATCAGAAAGAGGGGGGGAAAAGAAAATCTGGCGTATCAGCTTTCCGGCGCTCGACGCAGCACGACGAGAACAGCTTGCACGACTCACACGCACTGGCACGCCGCATACCGCACGCGCGGGTGCGCGTCCTTGAACATCGGCGTCACGAGCCTATAAAACCCACGCGTCATTCATTTGCCTTCGTCAGCGGAAAAAAAACGGGTGCGAAAATCAGCGTACTCGACGACCTTGCCCAGCTCGTTTTGCATGACCTAGCGCGTCCCCCCAACCAAATTCAAAGTCAAAGTCAACGACGCCCGTCCGATCCAGATCCGAGCGAGAACGCACCTTACTTGTCCCCTCCGCAATCGCCGCGATCGCCATGAGCCCCGCGTGCCGCAGGCGCCAGTCGTAGTCCGCGAGCATGGACGGTATGTACTGGAACGCGGGCGGGAGAACCGCTTTCCCGCCGAGCGCGCACGCGAGCCGGTCGAGCGCCTGCTCGTACGCGTGCGGGTACGCCTCGTCCGTCTCGTCTGCTGGCTGTTTCGGGGGCGTTCGTTAGCGCGTTACAATAATGCGTGCCGTGTGCGATATAAGATTTGGGCGACGAAAGAGCAAGGGGACAACGCACATCGGCCTCGAGCCACGCCTCCGTCCCGTCCTCTGGCAGCTCGCCCATGCCCTCGAGACACGCGCGCACGAGCGCGAGCGTCCACCCGTCCGTGCGGCGGACCATCGCGGGCTTGGCCTCGCTGAGAGAAACCATGAGCTCCAGCGCGGCCTTGCGCACCGCGTCCTTGTCCTCCTCGTCCTCGTCGCCCTCTTCACCCCCGTCTCCGCTCCGCCCGCCGCTGCCACTGCCGCTCCCGTTGTTCTCACCGTCCGGCGAGGAAACGTGGCCCTCGGGCGGGAACGTGAACGCGCTTCCCCCTCCTCCTCCACCGGAGCTGGGACCAGAGCCTGAGCCCGAGCCCGAGCTGCCGGCACTGCGCCGCGCGCTGCCGGGAAACGGCTTGCTGACAGTGGGCGTCGGGCCCGAGTCGACGGCGGGCATGATGAGCGCGCGCATGTACGCGAGCAGATTCGGGAGGTGCGGCGCGAAGAGGCTCGGGTGGGACGACGCGAGCGGGATGAGGGTGTTGAGGAAGAGCTTGAGCTGCGCGTCCGGGAGCGCGGGGAGGGTGTCGAGCATCGGATACAAAAGGGAGAGCGACTGCGAGAGCTGGTGGGCGTCGCTCGCGGAGAGGTAGGAGACGCACGCTTCGAGGGCGGCGTGGCGGACCTGGTGTGCCCGATCGGCGAGAAGGTGAGATAAGAGGAACAGGCATGTGCAAAGGGCGGACGGACCTCGGTGCTCTCTCCGTCCTGCAGGCCCTTCTGGAAGACACTCAGCACCGCGTCCGTCTGGAGATCCATGACGAGATTCGGACACCCGCCAAACACCCTGTACGCGCACTCCCGGTACCCGGCCCTGTCCGCCTGGGCCATGCTGAACGTCTGGGCCTGCAGCGCGTGCCACGGCCTTCCGCGGGCCATGGCGTTGTTCGCGAGGTCGGTGACGGTGTCGACGGCCTTGCGGCGCACAGAGTCGGATGCCTCGTGCGAGAGGGAGTGGAGGAGGAGGCGCTCGAGGGTCGTGAGGGCCTGGACGGGGAGCTGGTCGTACAGCGTCATGCGCGGATCTTTCGGTGGGAGTTGGTGTGGTTGCTGTTGCTGTGCGGCGGAGGGACGGAAGAGCAGACGGCGGAGGAGGACGAGGGAGAAGGAGCGCATCTATATTTTGGAGAGACCATCGTTGGTCGGAGGCGGGGAGACAGAAGATGGGGGCTCACGATCTCTGTATCTGCCGCGATCGCGAACTGGGCGAGGGCGAGGAGATAGAGATCGGGTGTCTGGGCGAGGCGATCATTGACGGCTTTTTCTGCGCTGCATGCTGTGTCGATAAATTAGAGGAAAGGAAGGGGAAGGTGTACTGACCTGGCGCGTATGTTGTTATCGCCGAGTACGAGATTTGCGAGAATCTGAGTGAGCTCTGCTGTTATCTCGGGCGGCACGACTGAGGACTCCATCGCAGCGGCGTCTCCAGCTAGCCTGGCAACGCAGAACGCGAACAAGTGAGTGTACCAGCCTGGTGCAGGAGAAAGATGAGCTGGAGACAGTTAAAGGTGAGCAAGAGAGGGAATTGTGGGTCGTGTAAGGTGGTGAGTGTCAGAGGATGGGATGTTGCCAAGGTCGGTCGCCTCCACGCCGTCAAAATTTGGTAAAACGTTTGACCTCGAGGCAATCCAATCCTCGCTACTGACACCGCCCACGTCCCCTCATCGCCCGCAGACCTCTCTTCACTTCCACTCATCTAATATCTCACTCCTCAGCTCTATCAATCTATGCCTGTGTCCCAGCTCCAGACTCGACATGTACAGCATATGCAAGCTCCACCAAGAATGAATGCAGCTGCTCGCGTGGACACTCCCATCCCATGACCCAGACTCGGCACGTTCCCCGCAGCTACACTTGCCAATCGCTGGCCAGCTCACCAAGGTCGTGCTCACCCCCGGTCCTTTAGGCGCGCAACCCTCGGCCATCCAGTCCTGTGCTATCCCTACTTGGGACGACATGCATTGGGTGATCGATCGGACCGTGTTGCAGATCATCATCACCCTTCATCCTCAGCCTTCCTCAGCCTGTGTCTCCCCGCCCCTTCATGATCCTTGATTCTTCGACACCAGCCATTCGGACTGTCTTGGTCTCAACCTGGAGTCCACCTCGCAGTCTCTCCAGCTCTCCCTGTTCTCCACATACGTCAACCCCGGCCTCTTCGCAAAACGCCTCTATCTATGCGCCCGTGGATCCACCACGCTGCACTACGGCAACCTTGACCCATGCCTTTGGAGTCGCGTTCACCTTAGTTAGCAGCGGCTTAGCGGCATAGCTCGTTCCTGGCTGGACATCAGCGCGATCTGAACGTACTGTCGCTCAAACGAGCTCACGATATAGCACGGCGATCACTTGCCGGGTGCATCCGACGCTCTGCGCTGCCACCTGTATAGTCGTCCGCGGACGTGCTCTGTGCACACCGCTCTGCTTAGAATACTCCTTACGCTGATGGACAGGCTCAGCATGTCCAGTCAGCACGTTCCAGTGCTTCAGCGAGGTTTTTGCCGTCGATATTCCCGTGGATTATTGGTGCTGAGCCAGTCACTTACCACGCATCACAGTGAGCTCTTTTTCATACACAAATTGAGACGCTATACAATCACAGTGCCCGCAAACGATCGCAGATGCCCCACCCATCTTGACTCCGACCTGCTCGCAACGGCGTTCACCGTAACTGTCTGTTTCAGTGTCCTCATTCACTCTCCAGCGAACCCACGAGCCCGGCTCGCGCGAACGCAGGTCTGGCTACGTGGTAACGCAGGCAGAGAGTGAGGATAAATACTGATTATATTGATAAATACAGTGTATACCCTGAAACGAGCTGCACCGCCGATGACCACCCTCGATATCGGTCGCTGACGAGGCGTACCGGAGATGGGCCCGTATATGTCTCGGAGTTGGACATGCGCCCCATCGTTCGGTCGTAAATTCTGAGCGATTCGAACCTGACGTACGCGTTGTTGTCCATGTAAGCACCGTACGCTACAGTGAACTCCGAGGACGTGTACATGTTCGATTGACCTGTCCATTCGCCGATGCTGTTGATATTACACGTGGCTTGGAGCTCCCGCCCACTTTGTGGAATGGAAGCCTTCGTTCGTGTGCTGGTGGGCGGCGAGGTCCTCGAGGAGCATACCTCGAGTTTTTGCGGGTAAGTCGATATGTGGACACGAGCGTCTAGTTTATGTTTTCCGCACGTGGTCGATGTACGACGCGACTGAGTCCCGTCTTAAGATAAAACAACTCTTGTTCAAACCACATACCATTCCCGAGAACATGCACTCCTTCTCTTTAGCGAGCCTTCTCAATAACATGTCCTTCACCGTTACCGATACATCGAGCACACCGACACTTTTCTCTCTACCTTTTCACGTGACAAAACAGCGAGATGATGCACCTCGACGTACGTTGACACAAACAGGCGTACAACGCGCTGCATCTCGTCGGGATCTCGTCTGTTCTGGACGCTCACACCGCGCGTATAAAATCGCGCTGTCCCTCGAACCGTCAGCTCACATCGTCATCTCGATCTCCAAGAACCGAGCGCCCACCTCCGAGTCCCTCGACCTCGATATTCATCCTCCCTCCTCACGCCCAACGAAACCCCGCCCATGTCCGACCCAACAAGACTCGCCCACACCTCCTGCGACGCGTGCTACCAGACCGTGCAACACAGCGGCACCGCGCGCGGCCGGATGGAGGTCGTCGTGGGCGTGCAGACGTACGTCACCGGCGCGGACGCGGACAACGCGGGCGCGAAGAACATCGTGCTGCTCTTCCCCGACGTGTTCGGGCCGCAGTACATCAACAACCAGCTGTTGATGGACTACGTCGCTGGCCACGGTGCGTTTCATCTCTTTCTTTCTTTCCACGTTTTTCGTCCTCGCGAGAGGATGATTTTGATCCCATCCCGATGCTGAATGTTTAAAACGCGCGCACGCTCGAACGCTAAATGAAGGCTTCACCGTGCTCTGCATCGACTACTTCCGCGGCGACGCGTACACGGAGGCGCGCATCACGGACACCTCGTTCGACCGCAAAGCGTGGCGCGCGAAGATCGAGGCGGACCTGCGCGAAACGGGCCTCTGCAGGGCGTGGGTGGACGCGGTGCGCGCGCGCTACCCGCACGCGAAGATCAGCACGTTCGGGCACTGTTTCGGCGGGCGGCACGCGATCGAGGCGTGTGTGGACGATGCGTTCGTGGCGAGTGCGTCCATTGGCTTTGTTGCTTTGAGAGTGGGTCTGGGCGGGGCGCTTATTATGGATATGTGGTGTCGTTTGCAGCGGCGATCGCACACCCCGGCGAACTGTACGAGGAACACTTCAACGTGCTCAAAGGTGCGCATATTCCAGTTCTACCTCACCTCACCATACCACATACTCACTGTACCACCGCACCACCGCACCACACAGTCCCCATCCTGCTCAGCTGCGCCGAAGAAGACCGCACGTTCCCGAAAGAGCTGCGCCGCCGGGCCGAGGACGCGCTCGTCGCGCGCAAGCACACGTATCACTTCCAGATCTTCAGCGGCGTGTCGCACGGGTTCGCCGTGCGCGGGAACCCGGACGTCGAGAACGAACGTGAGTCCCCCCTCCCTTTCTTGAGTGCGAGGAGAAGTTGGTGTGCTGAGGGCCCGATGTGTTGACTGCGATAGGATGGGCAAAGGAGGAGTGCGCAAGGGGTATGGTGGAGTGGTTTAAGCGCTTTGGCCAGTTTTAAAGTGTGGCGTAGGGTGTTGTAGAGAATGGAGATAGTGTCAAATTGTAAGATGTACAATGTATCAGTACCAAGCCGCCTAAGATCAAAAGACGAGCGCAAATTTCAGCCATAGAATGCGGGAGACATAGGGGCTATTTCCCTTGGATATCGCGCCGCGACGCTGCCAGTGTGACGCGGTTATCATGAATCGACCATCACGCCTTTCCATGTCTTTCCGCTACCTCCATCGACGATCTAATGAGCGAGATGGTTAAGATGGTTTCCAATGAGGTTGTCACTCTGGTCTTCCTGGAGCTGGACATAGCTTCTCTCGCAGCGTGCAAACGTGTCAGTTCACTTCAAGTTTGCTTCAAGTTCGACCTTTGAATTGCTCATCGCGCATGGCGTGCTCATTCGGTGCATTCCATTACCTTCAATTAAAGTATGAAAACCATCATATTAATGTATAGGTTCTCATGGAGAAGATTGATGTAGAGTTACGTTTATCTGTGGGCGCACTTGGGGCGCGCTCGACGCGTTCCGCTAAAGATAGGGGGTTTATGTCAACGCGTCCTGTACTTAAGCGACACGCGACTCCAACGCGTCGGAGTCTGCCTTTCAACCATCTACCACCTATCATCATGAGTGGCAGAAATCTCGCACTCCCTGACGAACTCCTTGTTGCGACCTTCCTTGACCTCAATATCGCTTCTATCACTGCATGTCGACAAGTAAGCTCTCTAGTTTACCTCTTTGCAAGCAAGCGCTACACAGCTCACGGGCGATTTGGCCATACAGACGTGCAAACGCTTTCAACAGATTATAGAGGACAGTGTTCACGTTCAGTACCATGTTGAGCTACAGCTTGCGTGCATGAAAAACGGGCCGAACTCAGATATGAGTACCGCCTCCCGCCATTCCATGCTCCGAGCGCGGCGTAGAGCCTGGGAAGCGCTCTCCTGGTCAACCCCCGAGCCAGTCCTGCTGCCTACACCTCCGGGCGTCACAAAGTGGAAACTGGTCGGCGGCATCCTCTGCGTCGCCGGATCTGGCTTCATACAGTGCATCTGCCTGCCTTCGCTTATCAGGGGAATTGAGCAGCGGGAATGGAGGATCGACCATACGTGCGGAGAGGGTGGCCTGAACTGGGACTTTTGTCATGATCCTTCTCAGGACCTTCTCGTCCTATTTGGAGAGTTCAAGCTAAGGTGCGTTCTCTGCCTGCTCCAACTTTTGCCACGGCTTACAGGAAGCTGGCCTATGAAGCGACGAGGAAGAGTCACAGTGAGTCCACGCTATAACCGTGTCACCTTGTCGGAAGACATACACTAAACTAATCGACATTCAAGCTCGGCGTTTAGGGTCCACTTGCTCACACTATCTACGGGCGCACCTCATCCTGCAGCCACTAGTTCGGTGCTGCTCTACGCACCCGAATTCAGGTACTGGGATCTTAGCGTGAGGCTCACCCTACAAGTGTGCGGCCAGCATTTTGGTATGGTTATGGAAGATCACGACTGTAAGGAACGACCAAAGTTCGCCGTCTGGAACTGCGTTTCCGGGCTGAAGGAAATGGTGAGCTCTGCTAAACAATTACTCTCGATGCTCATCCAACGCTGTACCTCAACCCGTTCTCAGGAAATCGACGATTGTTCCCTTTCCATCCTCAATTCATTTTTACTCCTCCCAGATGACCTCCTCCTTCTCGGCGTTGAGAGCTACAGTCAAGAAGGGCCGGATGAAGTGATTGAAACATATATAGGCGTTTACGACCTTGAGCGGACCGCTCAGTCTGTACCGTACACGCTGGACAACGAAGACGACCAGTCGTGCATATTCAAGCTGCGCTTTCCCCCAAAGTTCGCAGGTGGCGGCGTGTTTATCACATCCACACCGCTTTCTGCCGACAAGCACGTCACGGGTAATGGCAGCGTGGAGTGCGCATCGCCATTTGTGTTTGCTTCTGAAGCACAGTTGATTGTTGTCTACCTGAACATCCACTGGTCGGGGGTCGCAACGAGGGTATTCTTCCCTGCAGCTATCATCGCGAAGCACGTCTGTTCTGTACGCGGTTCCGGAGCGCTAGGCGTTGACATCCCATGGAGCGAGTGGGGACGAAGCTCTCGGGTGACCATGGATACATTCCGCACGAAGGGTGGATACGGCCGTAATGAGTGGTACCGCGACTCGACACTCGGACTACGCTTTGCTGCCGTCCTCGACCACATTCTCTCTCAGGAGGAATGGATGCGCCTTGAACTGTATGGGCTCGTGGCTGTCAAGGATTTCAACCCCATGGCACACGCCGCGCGATCTAACTTGGGCGAGGCTTGGACTCGCCCTCAGCCGGAGACTAAGCACTGGGAAGCTAGGTTCCGAGTCGCGTGGAGAAAGGTAGATGGTTCTAGTCGGTGGTGGGATTCATGTCTACTTGACGAGGACGCAATCGTTCTTGTATCCGTACGTCACCAGCCTTTTTCTAGATGTTTGAACGCTGACGAAGTTGATTCATTCCTTGCAGGAAGATCGCTCCGGAGGACCACTGTTCGCGGTCATGTCACTCAAAGAGCCGCGCGAGGAGCCAACAGGCGGTGTGTGATGATCTTCGGAAGGGTTTTATGAGTTACAAACATGTATGTTCTTGCGTATAAGTACCTCCAATGATTACCTACTTTTGATTCTGACCTACGTTGTAATGGAGATTAAAGTACAAACAGATACTGTTTAGCCCCGAAGAGCAACCAAACTCAAGCAATTGCTTTCCTGGTGTACGGTTTTGTTACCGTCAAACCGACTTACAAGCTATAGCAGGGACGGGAGCTATTGATCCATGCCTGCCACATTGACAACGCGTACGTATACGGTAGAGCACGCCATCGCAGTAACAGCCAGTTCTGTACAGTTAAGGACCTCGTATTTTCAGGTAAAACAGTATCTGAGTTCGTTGCTTCCTAGCTGTGCATAGCATGCCTTCCACGGATTTACAGAACTGATTGCCTGAAGGCTTGCACAGATGAATGGTTTATTTGTCAACCGGAAGAGAGCCTCCTGACGTTTTATTATTGATTTAGCTTCGTTGGATGTCGAAAATCAATGTCACATCCACGCCGTTTCAGCCAGTGTCATTAAGAGACAACGGGCGAGGTTTACATTGCGCTTGGAGTTCAATAAACACTACACACCTATTCAAGCCTATGCTGAGGTTCAAGTTATTGATGTAAGCAGTGGCCTCTGGGTGATCATGGGGAACTTACCCGATTGCATGATATAATTAATTGAGCTCAGTCTCGAGGAAGCTAATGGTGCAGAGCTCATCAGGGAGCGCAATAGGTTCACCGCCCAGCAGAAGATACGCGTGAGCACCCCCTATCCGCGTGTTTCCTTGTGAACGTGCCGGCTAAATCCGAAGACACGCCGCAGCCGCGCTACCTCCCGATTTGCTCGTTACATCCGACTGTCAACGTCCCGCAAGGATGTCGCTCTAGGACAGAAAGCCTTCTCCCTCGCTAGACTTGACTGCAGACTCGAGCAATGCTTCAAGGTGAGGCGTACCCGCATCTAAATACTATCTAAAATCCATTAGCCAGCTCATAGCACAGCCTTAAAGCGACAGAGCACAGGCCCAAGTGACATAGCCCAAACACTGAACCTGTCGATTTACATCCCTCCACCCGGATAACACACAATACGACTCGTTCCTTCTCCCCTCAAGGAACGAAGAGCCAGCGGAAGCATAGTGATCCTGTGCAGCAGTGGTAGCTGATTAGTGGACCACTGTGACATAGCCACCGTCCTTTCTCTAGGCGTGCGGCTTTTGCATGGGACGAAGCTTAAGTATTACGGGCACCCCTCCCCGAGGTAGGAACGACTCGTCCTCTCGATGATCGTCCGCAGCAATCCGCAGCACTTGACTGTGGTATTGTCTCAGCCTATTCTACACGGCAACTTCGACATTCTGTCGATGTCAATGCGGGACCTGCTACGCTCTCAATGTCTACTCTAGACTTCGTCTCTAAAACTACTCTGGGTCTCTTGGTAACCTTGCTCGTCTTATACTGCTCCTTATACTTTGAACATCTTTCATACGTGGAAATTTCAGACGTATCTGAGCCATGATAACAACTCGCTGCTAGCCTCGCGATAGTCTTCTAGCAAACTGGCGGTCATCAGTCCCTTCAACCAAAAACTTCGAATATAGTGGAATACGCCGTGGCTGTGCCGATTGTGTGCATGAAACCTGGAACACACGGCTTGCAATGACCGCACCATGGGTCCCTGGAGATGGAGAGCACCTGTCGATTTTTCCGAATCTATAAGCACAGCATTGCTCGATCTACGGTATATAAAAAGGTCAGCCAGGACTTCCTAGAACCTAACTATCTCATCGAAACAGCCCTTTCGCCTCGCAATCGACTTTTTCTTCGTAGCCTCTTTCACCTCCTAGCGCCATGCACGCCAAATCTGCCGCCGTCACTCTCGTCCTCGCTCTCGGCGCGTTCGCGCAGACTGAGTCCTCGGCGTTCACGTCCTCGTACTCGACCGTGACGGAGTCGTCCTCTGGCCCCGCAGGACCGTCCTCCACCTTCTTGTCGTCCTACAGCACCGACACCGTGACTTCAGGCTCCTCCTTCTCGTCGTTCACCGGGACCGGAACAGACACTCCCACTTCAACCCTGGAGTCCACGGTGGTCTCCACGTCTTCTTCCATCAGCAGCTGTGAGTGCCTCCACTTAGTAGAATATGGAGATGTGCTGACAACATCTTCGTGTGCCGCAGCCGTCTCTCTCCCCAGCTCCAGCGTCAGCTTGTCGTCCAGCGTCTCGAGCAGATCCGGCGCCGGGTCGGGCGGGTCCCCCTCGCCGTCCACTACCGGCGGCAGCAACGGTGCTGTTGGCCTCGTCGGCCAGCACGGCCTCGTGGGCGTCAGCGTCGCGTCGCTCGGTGCCCTCTTGGGTGCCTCGTTCATCTTCTGAGCGATGCAGCGACCCCTCGAGCGAGGTGGATAGAATAGAGTGATATACGGTTCGGCGGCGATTCTGAATAGTAGACGTCGACGGTTGGACTTTCTTATAATTCCTTTCTTCATAGGCGGTTTATGTGTTTCGAGAATACTTTGTGCTCCTGCGATGGCGAACTTGTGGACTCTGGGGTAGATTTTGGCTGGATGTGTTAAGAACAGTTCATGGATATGGATTATATTGTGCGGCATGCCAGCTGTTTTCTCTGTGAATCATGGCTACACACGCGTTGTAGGGGTTTCCCCCTTGAGATGGAACGGACAGGATTTAGACCGACTAGGTGATTATCTGGAATTTTTCTCTCGTACCAGCCGCGTTAGATTAATTGACTTCAAGGCAGCCATCAGTGAGCTCTACTTCATAATCTCGGTGGCGAGTTTCGACTTACCGAGGCTAAGGCCCGAGTCAACAAAGTTAACAATACGAATTAACGTTTAAACCTTACTATCACGTTGTTCAATGTTGTGGAGTTGCACCAGGTGCTGACCGCGACTCTGGTCTAATTTATGAGAAGACTTTTGCGTGGAGATGGAGCAAAATGATATTCCTGCCCTCGAGATGTGCTCCTTGTGGGCAGGGCCCTTGGCAGGTCCAACGGTGCTGACATGGACCTGGCGGAGTCTCGATGCGCAAAGCCTGGCCCTGGTGGGTTCTTCTTTCCCACGCCTCAGCGACCCCCGCTTCCGGGACCTATAAAGATCCCCCAGACTTTGGTTCGACTCGAGCTTTCCTCCAAGCACGTTCGGTTCCCCGCTGCACCTCACTCACTCACGAGTTTCTCGATCCACCAAACTTACGCCATGTTCGCCAAGTCCGTTGTCGTAACCCTCATCTTCGCCCTCGGCGTCCTCGCGCAGGACTCCTCATCCGCGTCGGGCAGCGGGAGCGCGACGGGCTCGAGCGCGGCGCCGACGAGCACCGCGGGCATCGACTCGTGCATCCTCCAGTGTGTCACGCAGGCGGCGAGCGCGGGCGGTTGCTCGTCCGTCACGGATCTGAGCTGCGTGTGCATGAGCACGCAGTTCCAGGGCGCGGCGCTGTCGTGTCTCCAGGCGAACTGCACGAGCTCGGACGTGTCGGCGGCGACACAGCTGCAGCAGCAGGAGTGTGCTGGATGTGCGTCTTTTTTCTTTCGTTGTTTGGTGCACGGCGCACGGTGCACGCTTGTGGAATTGTTAGCTGACGCACGTTTGGTTTCCCTCGCCCTCACAGACATGTCCTCCGGTAGCGGGTCGATGACTATGACGGGCTCCATGTCTGGCATGTCTATGCCGATGGGTTCGTCGACCTCTCCCGCCTCCACCGGTAGTGGCAACGGTGCCGTCGGGCTCGTCAGCAAGCAGGGTCTCGCAGGCATCAGCGTCGCTGCCATCGGCGCCCTTGTGGGTGCCGTCCTCGTTCTCTAGACGACACGTACCTTCCTTCGGAAGAACAATTTGGAGACGAAGGAGGAAGCGACTTGAAAGGAGGAACGATTCGATGAATGGGTCATGGGGTGAGCGGGAATGATTGAATGAATAGGTGGACAAGGATGGACTGTCCGGTGATTCAGTTTGGGCTTTTGGTTTTTCATTTGTGGAGTTTGCCGTGTTTCTGCCTGTGGTGGTCCTTATGCCATGTGTTCATTCATTCGCCATGTTCTCGTACGATTCCAAAGGATGTAATATGTTTTTAAACTTTGACTTTTGCACTCTACACCAGCTTGATCGAGTCCTAGGGTCTGGTGCACCGCTTTGCGGGGAAGTGCTCCTCGAGACTTGCTCCGGCCGTTCGCCCATCAGCTGACTAATTAAGCCGAAAGCATTCCGAGAATAGCAAGCTCGGGCTCGTTTGGCCGACGCGAGCCGTGGCTCTTAGGCAAGCGAAGCGCCCGACGATGACCACATCCATGTGCTCGCTTGATCACCTGCACCGCCTGTGCGCCCCACACCGGTTCATTTGAGACACCAGAAATCTCGGAGGCTCTGCGCAGCTGGGAACAATGGCATTCGTTTCGGAGATGGCCACGACAAACGCATGAGGCAACTGCTATACCTGGGAAACGCATTCTTCAATTTTCGCGTCCTCCGTGTCTTTCTCTCTCCTGTGTCTCCCATTCAACAGCAGGTTCACTCAGCTCCTGTACGCCAGCATCACGCGACAGCTCCTTTAATCTTTGGTTCTCGCCTTCCACCGCTACATACTGCTTGAGAGCTCGCGCTGCGAACCATGCATACCTCTACGCGTGCCCTCCTCCTTGCTTTTCTTTCAGCGTGTGCCCTTGGTGAGCTTCCCTCTTCAACCTATAACCCCTCAGACACTCGTTGATCAATCTCATGTCTCCGATGCGTTGACTCCTTACCTCCCACCTTGAACCATGTCCCTCATGTGTATACAACCATGGTTTAGCCCAAACGGACTCGAGCGCAACGACGGAAGTCACTTCGGCCGTGACCGCGACACCTTCAAGCTCGCCGTCGGTCATCACATCTACCATCCCTATATCCGCGTCGACCATCCTCCCATCTAGCTCTGCCAGCTCCAGCGCATCCTCCGGTTCGTCATCCCCATCCCCCTCTTCATCCGCAACATCATCCGGCTCAGCCTCCCCTTCTCCCTCCACCTCAGCCTCTAGCGGTGGGGGCGGCGGCTCGACGTCCAGCGGAGGTGGAAGCTCCAGCGAGAGCCCGAGTCCGAGCACGAACCCGGGCGGAACGAGCGCCAGCAGCCCCACGAGCTCCGGCGTGAGCGCCACCTCGCCCGCGAGCACGACGACGCCCGCGACGACCGTCGTCGTGTCGACGTCGACCGCGCCTTCGTCCTCGGGGAACACGGGCGGCGCGACGACCGTTGTCGTCTCAACGTCCACGCTCCCCTCCTCTGGGAACTCGGGCGGCGCGGTCCCGGCTTACGGGGGTAATGTTGCAGGCAGTGTGGTCGGCGCCGCGGCGATGGTCGGTGCGCTTGCGCTTGGTGTGATTGTGTTGTAGGGGCAGGAGTGAGATCAAGGGTGTAGTGTATGGTGCGCGGAGGGAAGGATAGATGTGGCGAGCTGTGGTTGGATCAGACCGTGTGAGGTCGTTGCGGTGGGCTGATGCGAATTCGCACGCCGGGGACATTTACTATTTTGTAGGACTATTGTATTGGATGGCCAGCACACGTCGATTTCGTGTGGTGACGTTTTTTATATTCGTACAGCAGTTATGTTTGGATCATGATTAGATTTGTTTTGTTGCCTTCCCTTCAGCGCAACTTGGCTGAGCCACGCTTGCCGTCAGACAGGGGCTATTTGTAGTTGTGTGGTGTGTGGAAGTCACAGAGGAACGAGCTAGGAACGTCCTTGCCTCCCGTGGGCAGAAAAAGGCCCTCAGGGCACACCTAGATCCGAAGCATGATAGGGTAAGGTAGCCCCGATTCTGTTGCAACTATCGAGGAAAACGAATAATTAATGCAGTGAAGTACTACTACGGAGGCGGTCATACCGGTGGTAAGTCCAAATTCTTGCGAGACACCTGTCTTCCTTCGGATCCAGGAATATAAGCAGATGGATTATCTTGCTTTTCAATGGACCCTCTCTCCTTCTTTACCTTAGACACATAGCAACACTTCGCGTGAGAGGTTGACGATGTATTCACCAAAACATCACTCAATCGCAACGTATCAAGTGTCGTGCACACATAAATTATTGGTGGATATTCCTTCTACCCACGAAACACAATTCAGTTCAAGATCAGACGGAAACTAAAACTCAGCGGCTCAAAAATATTATGTAGCGTCGCTCATCCAATGTGCCTGATAATGGAGAAAGGTCCAAGGCTAAACACTGTTATTCGAATTCAGCGTTGCCCTTCTCATACCCAGGCACAAGGATAGCGTAAAAGGGTATGGCGCCGTGCGTAATAGCGAAACATACTCCTGGAATACTGCAGAACGTAACCCGTATTTACAATAATGTCCTAGGTATGGTATCCATCAAAAAGTCTACCACATAGTCCATAGCATGAGCATGTCCGACAACGGCAGAAGCCTACGAAGCAATGGCAAAACATAACGTCCAATCGCTAAAGTCTATAGTGAATAACCTGCGCCGAATCACCGCAGGACTACATATCGTTTATACACTTTGCTCGAGGGGTAGCCGGCTCGCTTAGAAGATGAACGAGGCACCCAAGAGGGCGCCGAGCGAGGCGACGCTGACGCCCATAAGCCCGTGCTGTCCGATAAGTTGTCCAGCGGCACCGTTGCTGCCGCCGTCGGTAGTGGACGGCGAGGGCGACCCGCTCGATTTGCCTCCCGGGCTGCTCGAGGCGCCGGACGTCACGCTGACGCTGGAGCTGGGGATGGAGACGGCTACGTCAAACGAGGTCTTTGTCAGAGCACGTTATGCTCGGCAGAATGGAAAGTACTCACAGCTGCTGATGGCAGATGACGTGGGGTCTACGGTGGTCTCCAGGGTTGAAGTAGGAGTCTCGGTTCCGGTCCCGGGGAACGAAGAGAAGGAGGAGCCTGGCGCCACGGTGTCGGTGCTGTAGGACGACAAGAAGCCCGTGGAGACTGTCACAGAGCCTGTGGATGTCGGGCCTGTTGGCTCTGATGAGTACGTGGACTGCGGCACGGACGTGTCCGGGGACGTCGTGACCGTCGTGTAAGACTCGGCCTGAGGCAATGCGAACGCGCCGAGAGCAAGGGCGAGGGCGGCGAGGGCGAATTTGGCGGGCATGGTGTTAAGGTCGATGACGGTGGTCACAAGGGTTAAAGAATTTAGACGAGAGGTGGGCGAGGCGAACTCGAGGAGATAGCGTTCGAATAAATTTCAGTGATCCTCATATAGTTCTCAGTACGTCGATACAGAGATATGGTATGCTGTGTATTTCAGGAGAGAAGTGCAAAACGTCCAGACCCAAGCTTGATGTGCCTCCATGCCCGGAAAAACGAGGACGTGTAGTTCACTGCCACCTATGGCCCGGCCATGGTTCGGCCATTGAAACCCGCCTGTCATAGCACAGCCAAAGACCTGTCGAACTGCATCGATAGCTTCTGATTGGAGTGTATGATAGCCGTTCATTTGCTAGAAGACATTGGGTGGATAACAGAGACTCTGTGTCGTTGGCTTACTTTGTGTGTAGATCAAATGCGTCTGGAGGTTTCATTTAGGAAATGAGATATCGTGAACAGCGAAGGGCCCCCTATTGACTAGGTTGTCAGAAACATCGGGATAACTTTTGGGGCTAGAGGCAAATTATACATCGGATAGAGTTGCAGCAGAGTAGCACTAGCCATAGAGATTAGATTGACGCAGGCAGGAGGACGAACTTGCCGTGTAGATCAGCTCGAGGTAGCGTCGCAGTGCTGCGGACAATCACCGGCACCTTCGACGTCAATTAGTTCTCACGCAGGGGAGAGGCGTCCGTGAGCGTACACCCTTCCACGAATGCTTTACTTCGAGAGCACCAAAAGACGGTAGCTTTTGCCACGGTAGCCTGCTGTTGACACGCACAGGATACCTGACAATTAATCGCCTGAGAAGGGAAGCGAGTTCGCAGCGCACTATTGCTGCATGTTGACCGACAAATAGATATGTGCCGACGCGAAAATGCGCTGGCCAACTCGATTCGGGGCCGTTTAAGGCTGTGCGGTGAGGTGGATAATGTTAACGGTATGCAACTACGGGTATGCTTCGCCGCAAAGGACTACTTGTGTGACGTGTCTCGAAGAAATATTAGAAAATTTAGAGGACTATAGTGAGGCAAACATATCCTATCCCGGAACCTGAGGATGATGATAGCAGAAGATAAACAATGATGTGATTGGTGTGCACGTCGCACATTGTCAAATATCAGCTCTACATTATTCAACAGGGCCTGGAGAATCTGCACTAATCCTCCAATCCCTGGGTATATTTATCTGACATAGTGTCTGATTCTGTTGCTGCCGGATCCTGAAGCGTGACAATGGCGAATACAGTTTCTATACCATCTTCGCGCCCATCCTGCCAATTTTGTTTGTAAATGATCAGGATATCAGGTACCACAAGGTGGCGGAAAAAAGGAACGTACATAGATAGCAACCATTGAGTCGGAACCTAGTAGGACCTTCTCCCACCGTATGCTAGGTGGAGACCAAGGCAAGAGAATCTCTGCATACCTTCCTTTGAACCCTTGAGGCGCTTCGGTAGTCCCGGGCCGATGGGGAGTAGAGCTCCACTTCCCCTTTAGCTCCTCTTGCGGCCCACTCGTGTCAGTGCATCGCGGTGCATGAGGGTTGAAGTCTATGATAGAGACAAACTCCCGACGTTTAATGAAGTCCCGAGGGTTGACCTTCATACCCACAGCAAGGCGGTAAAGGTATGCAAAGCGAGTACCGTGTGTCGACTCAGAGTAAAAGTAGCGTCCCACTGACTCCTTGTGAGCACTGCTTGAGCCCCATTCGTCCCAGCGTATATCGAGGGGAAGTAAAGATGTGGAACGGGCGCGATCGATATGGCGCATGATCTCGAAGAGCGGGATCAGAATGATCACTGGCACTTCGTATCTACTCCGAGCGCTTTCTAGTAGAAGCGTGATAGAAAGTACTTGTGCCTTGGCCTTGGGCCAGAAAGAGGGGTAGTCCCCAGTCGAAGGAGGTACGGGACACTGGCTGGGTAACAATGTAGGATGAACCCGTACTAGCATGGTCTTGTCTTCTTCGTTCTCGTAAAACCTGAACTTGCAGATGTGGGGCAGGTGACCGATATCATCGGATGTATTCAAGACAATTTTACGCCCGAGGTAAGTGTCCGTGGAGAGGTCGCATACGATGAGCTGCGTGACTTCGGCTTTACCAGGGGCGATGGCGAAAAGCACGAGGTCGCCTGGAAGAAAGGAAAATGACTGCAAAAAAGACAGCTCAAGGTCCTAGAGTAAGAACAGACATTCATTACCCTCACTCAGATTCACGCCTACTATTTCAGAGTTTAGAAATACACGTACACATTCAAGGTGGCCAGATGTCCACTCCCAGACATTAAAAAAGGTTGTCGCATCAATACCTTCGAGCAATATTCCCAGTCTAGACCCGTCAATCTGAACCATGTATCGTCTTTCAGCCAAGCCGATCGATGTTTCGTGGACCGAAATTATCCCGTTCGCAGCTGGATGAGGTACACCTGATGATAACTCCAGAAAGATTATTTGTACTGAAGACCTTCGAGTAACGATTGATTATTGGCTGAGAAAGCATTGAACTAATTCACAGTGCTCACCCATCGTCACTGTTCCCCATCACAACTAACAAATCTTGCATTGGATCGATGGTCAGATCATACTCTCTCATCCAATGTTCAATCGTCCAAGTTCTCCGTCCCATAGATGGGATCGAAGGGCCGATATTCCGGCATACAACAGCGCCTGGCCTCCCGATGCAAAACACATTGCTTACAAGAGCCCAGCATACCGCGTCGCTGCAATCATCGATCACCTCCGGCTCAGACCAGGACAAAGTACTCCAAGCACGACAGTGAGCTCTGAGCTTTTCGAGGCGAGAACGAACACTAGTAGACTCATAATCCGACGAGTCATCCTGAAGACATGCTTCCTCCAGTTCAATTCGGTACTGTAGAAGGGCGCTGTTCTTGAAAGTGTTCCAAAATCGCCGACATACCTAAACGACTCTAAGTGAGGTAACAAATACTGGGGAAGAGGGTCTCACGTGTTTCGAATAGATGAGCGACTCAAGATTGAGCTTATAAAGGATAAGAGCGAGCACTTCGGAGGGTAAATCGAGAATGCAGACAGCGCTGTTCATGGTGATGATAGTCAAGATAGAGATTAGTCGGCAGTGCCGGGGCGGGCCAAGGGCGGGAACTTAAAATAGGGGCTATTTGACAAACAGGCAGCTCTATCACGCGCGTTGTCGAAACCCTTCCTTCAGTCAACAACTTTCAACTCCTCCTTCTGTTATCGTAACCCAGCGTCTTTTGAGATAACCATCTCACTGGAACTAGAGATATGAGCAATCCCAAGTGAAATGGGGGCGAACTGAGTCTACAGCAGGCACGTTACAGAGGCGCTAAATCGAGAATGGAAGGCAGAACGCCCAGAAAAAACGGTGTGCATGCATGAGGTGGATACGCTATGTTCATCGGAATTTTCTGTGTACTTACCTCACTTGCGATCTTGAAGCTGCTCCTATTGTGTCTACCCCACCAAACAAACAGGGTCACATGCTTGCTCTGAACTTACTACACCAAACGTCCACCATGATCGGCCCTGGTTGCTTGTCTCGGGTGCTTGATTGACTGACGTTCCTGGTTAAGTAGGGCCGTACCGATTTCCCCTGAGTCATGGATAGTGCAGATCTCATGGCTGGTGACTATAAAGGCCCAAACCGGTATTTCTAAGCTTTCAATCGAACGATGGGAAAATGTCGAATATCGTAATGGCGCCATTCCCCGAACCTGAAGGAGATCCCCCTTATTGTGCTGACATATGCCGGTATGTGGTCAGATTTTGTAGAAGCATAAAAGCTAGCAACGCACGAGCAACTCCAGCCGGCACCCAGGTTCTTCTTGGCTTTGGGTTCTCTCTCCATCGCACTTTCCCCCGTAAAGCTAAACCATGCCTTCATCGGAGAACCACATCGCACTCCCACCCCACGTAGCGAATCAAGCATACATGGATGTCTCGGCTCTCGATGGTGGACGCCTCTCCTGCCCTGCGTGGACCATCATCGGAGACGTCCCTAAGACATCGAACGAGCGCTTCAACATACCATTGCTCGGATTTCACCTGCGCCACTCTGTATCTGGGAAGAGGGTCGTGTATGATCTCGGCATGCCCAGACTCGAGGACCTCCCGAAGCTGCCGGAGTTCGAAGCCTTTGCAAAAGGGTTACTTGGTAACAAGAGCGAGGGAAATCTGCTGAAACTGATCAGCTATGAGGGACATGGGTGTGTCGAGGACTCTCTCAGAAAGGGGTGGGTGCAGCCAGAGGAGGTGGATGTGGTCGTCATTAGTCACCTGCACTGGGACCAGTAAGTTTATCTCTTCTTCTTTGTGGTTATCAATGACTAGAAATGACTATTCCCAGTGTTGGAGACGCCCGCCCGTTCACCAAGGCCGAGTTTGTTCTTGGTGCCGAAGCCAAGGGTATCATGACAGGAGAGGACCCGCACACACAAAGTCCCGTTGTCGTTCCCACTTCGGCGCCTACCGAACGCACGCGCTTCATTGTAAACTGGGAGACCTCAATCGGAGGCTTGAAGGCACACGACTTCTTCGGGGACGGGAGCATGTATGTTCTTGATATTCCAGGTGCGGGCACCTCGTTTCGTTTCATCTTGCCTGCATGAATGGTGACTCAACTCGTATATTCTTTGGAACACAGGGCACCTCAAGGGCAACGTTGCAATCCTAGTTCGCACATCCTCGGACGGCTCTTGGATCCTTCTCATAGGCGACGCGGTGCACCATATGAGCATCTTGCACGGCGAGCGCGGCTTCGCACACCATGACGATGGCCACGGCAACATATTCTGCATACACGTAGACCCTGACATGGCGCGCGAGACGATCAGGAAACTCAAGGTGTTGGCAGACGCGCCAAGGGTACAGGTGCAGATTGCACATGAGGACGTTGATAAGGAGGTGCATCTCCCTGGAAAGTTTGAACCCCTTGCGTAGATCACTAAACCAAAACGTTTCAAGCTCATGAATACTTCACTATCCCCTATGTACATGTCGTTGATCACGAACCTGCCTGTCCGATATCGAGAAATCCCTATTTAGTCGTTAGTCTCTCAGCTGCGTCTCAGTATAAGTTCGAAGCAGCATGTATAACAGTGGCCAATAAAAACGACCTGTGCATCTGGTGGTAGATGCTGGAGGTAAAAGCTGTTAAGTTTACTACTCACTGCCGATTATGACTACGACATATTGGCACTTTGTGACCCTTCTTAACCTTCCCGTCTCTTCAGCGCTCATTATTCGCAGACATCCTGTTCCACGTTCACCTTCCATGTCGATGAGCATTGAGCAGTCACATGACCGAGACTTGACGGAGACTAGAAAATAAACCGTGCGATAAGCGTAGTAGTTCAAGCTTCGGGCCCCGGCTTTCATTAACGGTAGAACAAATCTTCCACATAGTATTAACGTTCAAGTAGTGGTCTACAGAACAGCTGTCAAATCTCAAGAAGACATATTAGCTTGAGAAAACATCTCCTTATTGTCGGATAAACTAGCCTCCGTGCAGCTTCGGTACAGAATAAAGCTAGAGTTCAGACGAGGTGCTAGACCCTGGTCTACCAATAACACCAAACTTGTCGTTGGGGCCTTTCATATAGCTTCGGCCTTTATGATTTGAAAATTGAGTTTCTTCTCGTTCTCTCGTGTTCCCTCCACACAATCTGCTTGCATGCCATTGGACAATGTCATCGTCCCGTGTGCCGTTGTTCCCTTGCGTTTTGAAGATACAAATTTCCGCATTCACATACCATCGTGCCGATCCTAACTTCGCTATAAATTCCGGTGGTAAAACATAATAATGGTAACAAGAAGCTGGTGGCTCGAGCCGCCTTCAGAAGCCTCTTAAGAACATACATACATACACGGTGATAAATGAAACCTTATACTAGCTTTCTCATAATAAGCTTATCCGAAGAGAACCTTGTTCGCCTCGTCCGTCAATGCAGTATTGACGGTCGAGGTAAACGGCTCGAACCCGAGCGCTTGGCGCGCCTCGCTTGTTGTGATATGTCTAGGGAGGTAGCGGTTAACGAATTTGGACTCGCCTTCGCCTCCAGGGAAGTCGCTGTCGAATTTAGAGTGAAAATCCTGACGGAATGACACGGGCCGGTGGTACGTACGGTGCGGGGTATCCGTGCGTGAAGGTCTCCCGTTGATCTCGGAGATAATGAGCGCTGCACCCAGGCGGGTCAGAAGATGTGGCAGCGAACATGAATAATTCCACTCACTTTTTGATACACAAAGGTGCAGCAGGAATGTACATCACTGACGAGTCGCCGGACCCACCGTGTACGCTCTCAACAGCATGCACCGTATCACAGTGCCCTAGACAGATAGGCGGCATCAGTTACCAGCCGTTTGGATCTGATGGTGCCCGAGACAGCGCGAGGAAGGAATACGTACAGTAGACCTGGTCGCCTGGGTCAATCCTTGGTACCGATATCATGGTGTTCTCGAGCCCGAGATGCGGGTGCGTCACCTCGTTGAGCTCTTGGCCCTTGCGTATCGGGCTGCCGGGGAAGCTCGGCGTCTCAAGGTCGACTTCCCATGCCTCGTGCGAGAGGCTCGACGCGCCGCGCAGGCTCATGAGGCTCACGCGTGGACGAAAGAAAGGGCGGAGGATGATGTAAGCAGTAGACAGCGAGAGCATGGGCAGCACGCGCAGGGTGCCTTCTCCCGCGGTTGTGGTTGAGAGGGACGTCCAACCTTGCCAGCAGCGGAGGGCGGTGCATTGGTTTCTGGTAGTTGATGTTAATGAATTGCATCGTTGATGAAATTCAAGGTAAACTTACGGCGTCTGGTATAGATCATGCTTGGCATTCAGTCTGTAGCGCACATCATACGGATCGTACCGCTTCCACGAGTCGCCGCCCCGCAGGATGTTGCCGTACACGCGGCGGTACAGTGTATCCTCCCAGCGTTCTATCGAGCCCCCATCGACATGGGGGCCGAGTGTGAATGACTTGTCGCCGGGGTTACGTATCCGCACGCGGTCAAAGTACGACACGGGCGTCGAGAAGTCGCAAGGTGCATCCTCGGGCGAAGACGAGTGCCACATTTCGAGAAGTGCACGCTGAGTATTCAGAATAGCCGGGTGCGTGCGAGCGAGCATTTGCGCCCGCGTGTTGTACAGTTCGTACACCTGAATGTTATCCTGCGGGTATCCCCGTACGGATGGGTTCGCGGCGACGTAGTCCCTGATCGACCGCTTCCACTCTAGGGCTTCCTACAATGAAGACTCGCGTCATGGATGGGCGGATACCAGAGGCCTGGAACGCACCTTGCAGGGAACAGCACCAGATACGACAACAACACCTGCTTCCTTGACCTGCTTTACCTGGTCCTGTGACAAGCCCTTCTCTACGTCCGTGTAGTCGATTCTTGGGATGGCCTATGGATATGCACGAGTCATGGATCTAGATAACAACAGTATTCGATGAAATGACGGCTCACCTCCCCTCCGAGCTTCTTTATCTCCTCGGCGCGCACCTCGAGCTCGCCGCAAACCTGCCTCCACGACTCCTCCAGCGCGGCCGTGCTCGTTCCGAAACCATCCAAGATCGCCCTCTTCAGCTCCGCGAACCGCTGGGGAAGCACCTGCGCGGCCCCCTGAGGACCGAGCGTCGTGAATACATCGGAGATATCTCCTTCCTGGTGCCTTGCCCGCCTCTGAGTGGCCGCACTCGCGAGTTCACGACGGAAAGCGGTAGCCAAAAGCGATGAGGCGGCCGTCGGGCGCCTGAGCACCTGGTGCGATACTAAGAGGTTCGTGCGAAATGCCATTGATGACCTGATTTGAGGGTCCGAGTACTACAGTAGTATCCGTGGTACGAATTGAAAATTCTAGAAAGCTGAGTATAGCTGATAGGGATTATTTGGCACGATGAATATTACGGGGCGTATTTCGGGTACACACCTGCTCGCGATGCCTCCCGGCTCTCCCGACCTACTCTGAGATGGTGAATGAGGGCAAGAAAGAAAGAGATTTTGTCCCGAGAGTGCCCGACTTTAGATGGCCGGCCTTACGCTGGAATTGAATTGCGGTGTTAAAGGCGGGATGAAGAGAGAGAGAGTGGGTCATTTGACCCACATTTTCCGGCTGGACGAGGTCGCACGCGAGTTATCTAATCAGATAAGTAAGCCTTCCTTATACCGAATATAGTTTGTTATACAACACACACTTTACCTCTGCAAGTCCTTGGGAGCGACCTCCTTGTTTCTGCCTGTAGTTAGTGGTAAAGGATTAAAGATCTGCACATACTCTGATCAATGTACAGTCGACTGTACGCGGAATTACACGGAATCAAGTCCGGGTTGTCCCGAATCCCCATATACTTACCCCGACTCATCCGGCTCCGAGGCACGCTTTCGAGGGCCCGGGAAGTATTGGTGATCATGATGTCAACTACCCAATTGCGCGAGCTGTCGCGAAAAGGGCGGCCCTGAGGATGATATTCTCAAATTTGAAGCTTGAAGCTGTTCCCTCCAGGCACTACTTCCACTGACATCGGCGGACGACGGGCGGCCATTCGGGCGACTGGTCGATAGCACTTCGAAGGATACAGAGTGGGTGTTATTCTGACAGCACTTAGGACAAGGAAGGTCCACCCGGACAGGCCCACGCCAATCCTCAGGAATTTGAACGAGACATGACCAATCGAGGTGCCAACTCAAGGTTGGAAGAAAGTAAACCCTGTCACTGACGACCAGATGGTATAGGCATTGGCGGGAACCCTTGCCTTGGAAGCGGAAGGTTCTATCATGTGTGGTAGAATAGTTGTTGTAAAACAGACTAGGTGACGCTTGTTGCCTGGAGAACAGAAGAACTTGGCGTGCTTGAAACTTTAGATTTGACGGAATAAACGTTGAAACTTACATGAGTACCTTTTTGTTATTTTGACGCGAAGGCCCAATGTCTGCCAAGATTACCAGGCGCCAGGATGAGTATTGATTCAAGGTTGAAGGGAGGCGTGGTCTTTGAGGCAGTCGGTCGACCAAGGCACGTTCTTTTCGAGGATTTCTGTGGTGTCTGAGAACTTCGAATGCCCTCTCGGCTCAGCGCGCGGCACTCGCGGAGTCTCAAGTCAGCCTCGGAAATTGCCATGCGCATACATCCACGCTCTTCCACTCACTCCCAACATCTCTCAGCACCGTCTTCTGCATGATGAAGCAGGCTTCCTCGTTTCAATTGATGTGTTCTCCGCACTCAAGTTAGAATGCCAGGGAGTACCCCGAATCTATGGTCTCTGCCGACGAGCCCTCGTTGGATTGGGAATATACGTAGTACATGACGGTAAGGAGCCAATGCCAAGCCTTGCGCAATCTCATCGTGGCGTTCCGTGGTGCTTCAAGCGCCCATGAGAGCTTTTGAACCTCCAGCGGGGACCGTTTCTGCCCGATTTCTCCTCGGTCTTCGTAGCCACCATGTTGGATGTCGACCGATTGAATAGGCCCCTGGGAACGCCTTCCACGGCGCCATAGCGGCATATCACCATTATGAGTACCTTTTGGTCAGTATGCCCTCCAACTTCCATTGTCCGTCATTCTTGTTCGGGAGGCGTTGATACGCTGATATCGGTACCAAGCGGTCGGCGGCGGTGTCCCTGTGGGTGAGTGCGACTACCCAGCATGATTTCGCGGCCACCGACCTTATCGATCAGCACGTTGCCACCTTCAGAGAGAAGCCTTCGATATCGCACAGATAGGACGTAAAGCATTGAATTGTTTCGTCCCCAAGTTGCACCGCCATTAATTTTATTATCAATATTTTGGACGGAGGACTCGTCACGCACAGGGACGCTTCAAGACTCAGTATCCAGGCCGCGGGTTATATTTGTTTCAAAATTTCCCTTAATAAAATCGCGGTGAGTCCTCGTGCTTAAGATAACTCATACGTGTACGACGTCCAAATGCTGATCGTATCAAGGAACACAAATCGTGGAAAGTACCCGTGGTCTGGGCATCAGCATTCGCGAAGCCTGCACCAGCCTCGGGGCGCGACTTTCTTCCTCACGGTCCGGTTTGGCCTGACTTCGCCTTTATCAGCATTTCAAAATGGAACAACGAAGGCGCGTACATGCTTAATAAAGAGGTATGTAGTATGTCTTGGCTCAAGAGTGCATACACTAAGAAGTCTGCTTGCGTCCTTAGTGGTCGATAAGTCCCACGAGGCGCTAGCCGAGCCTCTTCGCTGGGCGCATATGTTGTACAGCAATCGCGGCGCCCGATGTCGCCGGCGTGAATTCTTGGGCAGATAACGCCACAAGCCTGGATACTGATCCTAATCAGTTGTAAGGTACTCAAGATTGGCGTTTGAGTTTGCCGTCCTCGGTCATGGCATTGCCAGCGAGCGTGGTGCCGCTGCTCCCAAAATAGTCGCTTCTGAAAAACGTTCCTCGCGAACCACTAAATGCGCGTAAGTGTCCCTTATCCTTTGTCTTGGCTTTTAACTTCGCGATGACGCTATCGTCATTGGAATGCGGCAGCCTTAGATTCCAAAAGCATGTTTGCCGCGCGGGCGGTTCACCTCTCAGTTCTTGGCTACGACGTGCGCAATTCCTTAATCAATTCCGTCTACTTATGAATACTGTTCATGCGTCGTAAGCTTCGAATTCACAAAGCCGTCACATTCTTGGGTTACTGCGCACTGCTTCTTTTGTGGAGCCACCGACGATCTACCTATCCGATGTTCATTTGGTCCCGAAAATATGGCGCCTGTGGTTCGGTGACTTCCGCTGCTGTCCAATCCCGCGCGAGAGCCATTCCTCGAGGAGTCTGACCTCTTATGGAATTCGTAGGTCAAAATATCTCGCTGGAAAAGTGTCGAGTCGGAGATGCTTCATCTGGGATCTTCGTCGGTAGCGTGTTTTTTGGGTGACGACAACGACCTCAGAGTGTATGTTGCTGCCGAGCCCAAGAGCTTCTCGGCCTTTTGTAGATCGGCTAGTGCGGAAATGAATTAGAGGGTCGCAGGCCACTCTTCGGTGCTTGGCTTGTTATCAGCTCCTTGGCTTCGCTCTAATGGAGACCCACATGGAGTAGTGAAGTCGAAACGAAACAAGGGTGCTGTGCGCCCATCGCACGCTCTGTGCTCACATACTCACACTCGCTTTGTGGCTGACATTTCAGTTCCATATAAAACCGCTTCGCTTCTTGCGAACCAGTTTTTATCTCCAACCCCCTACATTCCTCTACCTCCCCACATTCCTTTATCCGACGCGACATCGCGATGGCAGCGATGGGTGACAGGACCTGGTCTGCAGCATCGAGCGTAACCGCTCACATCTCTCGCGTACCCTCCGCCACCGGCGAGGAGCATCAGGCCCCTTCGCCCTCTACACCACCTACGACGACCTCATCAAAACAAGAAGATGCTAAAAACAAACTCACAGATCAGACGAACCTCCTCCCACCCGCGCGCCTCATCGCCGTGCTATGCGGTGTCGCCTCCTGCGTGTTGGTGACCACGCTCGACTCGGTAGTGATCGCCACCGGTCTCCCGCTCATATCACAAGCCTTCTCGGCTGGTTCGGTCATTGCCTGGGTTCCCTCCGCCTACTTCCTCGCGTCGACGGCGTTCATGCCCCTGTATGGTCGACTGAGCGACATTTTCGGCCGCAAGGCCGCCATGGCCACCGGCATGACCATTTTTGTCCTTGGCGCACTCGGTTCGGGCTTCTCGAGGAACATCATGGAGCTCATTATCTGCCGAGCGATAGCGGGCGCGGGTGGGGGTGGCATCATTAGTATGGCGCAGATTATCATATCTGACGTTGTCACACTTCGAGAACGGTGAGTAGATCCGGATTCATGTCATGGAGGTGCAGTAGTTTCTGACGGGTGCTTGGCAGAGGCAAGTTTCAGGGTATTATCATCGCCGTGAACGCTCTAGGCTTCGCGATCGGGCCGCCTATCGGAGGTGCGCTCTCGGAAAAGGTGTCATGGAAGGTATGTAGACGCTTTTTTACGTTCGGAGTATCCAAGTCGGCTAAATGGCTGACATGCTTCCCCGACAGTGGTGCTTCTGGATCAATATCCCTTACTCGGTCATCGCGATCACTATCATCACATTTATCCTTCCTTTCAAGCCTGTTCAGGGTAACATGAAAGAGTGCGTGTTTTGGATTAAGACACGGATTATGTCACTCACGTCGACGACTCAGCAAAATCAAGCGCATCGACTACATGGGCACGTTCCTCACCTTGGCTGGCTCGGTCATGGTCCTTCTTCCGCTTACTTGGGTATGATTTTGCCGACTATGCCGTAAACGATGGTTAATGAGATGAATAGGGTGGTGTTTCGTATTCCTGGTACTCCGGCCCTGTCCTCGGCCCTCTCATCGGAGGCCTTGCTGTCATTGTCTTATTCTGCGTCTGGGAAGCGTATGGTGCCCTGTTGCCCATTATCCCAAGTAAGTTCCTGTTCCAAAGTACTCAAGCCTGATAGGAGCTAATCTATCACTTAGTGTACATTTTCAAACACACGACGGTCGTTGGAGTTTACATTGCCATGTTTGCGAAGTAAGTCCAAGGCCTTTGTACCCGATAACGCTGGTACTAATTTTTTCGTAGTGGCTTTATTTTCTATTCAGCGATGTATTATCTGCCTCAGTTCTTCCAAGTCGGGATGGGTTGGTCACCGATTCGCTCGGGTGTCTCCCTCCTGCCTCTTCTCCTTGCACAGGCATTTTCCAGTTGGTCCACGGTGAGTGCCCTCTCACTCAACCATAAGTCGAGGAACCTCTACTCACGCTTATAAATACAGGGTTTGATGGTTAGCTGGACCGGCCGCTTCAGGGTATGCTTCGTTTTACCTCCTGCACCTACGGGTTGATCGCTAACTGGTGTACCTTGACAGGCACTCATCTACACTGGTTTCACCGTCTGGACGATCGGCTCGGGCTGCCTTATGATGCTGAGCTCTACGATCAACCGGCCCGCGATGTCGTTTTACATGATTCTATCAGGTTTCGGTGCCGGCTTGGTATGTCCTTATACGTGAAACCGCACAACCGACTGCTGACAGCACGGAACTGGTCAGACAATGCAAACCACGACCGTGGCTGCCCAGGCTAGCGTGCCTCGCAAGGACATGTCCGTAGTCACGGCCATCCGGAACGTGAGTGATGTCATTGTTTCTTCCCCGAGGATGCGTTCGCTAAATATATCTGATCGTGCCCGCGTTTGGCTCCATCGCTGACGTAACATTATCCGGTTAATTCGGGGCTTCAGTTCGTACGCCTTCTCGGCGGTACACTCGGTCTCGCAATTGGCTCCACTTTCATGTAAGTGTTGTGAAGCGGTTTATTGCAACCTCGCTAACGTCGAGATCTACTATCACTGTACCCGCTCAATAATTCTCCACGCCGCGGTCTCACTATAGTAACAATGAGCTCCGTGACTCGCTCACCACCCTTGGCCTTTCGCCGTCGACTGTCTCGACCATCGTCGACACACCATCCCTGCTTAGCACGAATGCTGCAGGCCTGACTGCTGAACAAACGTCCATCGCGCTCGGGGGGTACACCAAGGGCATACGCCTCCTATTCGCGATCAACACAGCGTGGTCGGCCTTCGCGCTCATCGCGACTATCTTCCTTATCAAGCACCAGAACCTGACGCGCGGCGACGACGACCAGTATAAGGACAAGGCTGTGAAACAAGAGCAGACCGACGCCGAGGCGAACCCTGGATCCGCCTCAATTTCCCGGGCTGTCACCCTGGCGGGCAGCGAGCTCGAGAAGGAGAAGGTTGTTGAGGAGAAGACAATCGCGACCGCTGATGTTTCGGAGGTGCCCAGTGCGGTAAACGGCAGCGCTGAGGAGGTAAGGGCGGTTTCAACTGGTAAAGGGTGTGGTGCAGACGGGTGCTGATTCTTTACATCGCAACATAGGTTGTCATCAACGAGGGTTCTTACGTCTTGAACCACAATCACGATGGAGACTCCGATGTTGCGAGCACCCACGAACACCAGCAGGATGTCGTCGACAGCCTAAACGGTGCAACCGGTGCGCCCATCCCTTGATGCATAACCGCTCGCGCATGCTAACGTTGGCCTGTGCTCTTGGTGATCAGGAACGGCTCGTCGGGACTGATTTCGCAACGCTGAATGCGAAGGTTTCTGATTCATACTACTCATACCAGGAGGGACACAACTGAGCAGCGGGTTTTGTGCAAAAAGGCAAGGCCGCAAGGTGCGGCATGGGCTCGGTTGGGTTCTGCATTGCACAAGAAATTAATCCGGTGATGGTGGCTTTTGCTTCTTGGGCGACGTGCCACAGCCGCCATTCCAATAATCGCTGCCACAGTGGGGCCAGTTGACATCTTAGCACTACATTTGTATAGAAGGAGATCTATACAGATACCCATGCGCTGATTACTTATATCTTTCTTCACGATGCCGTGGCACGAGTCTGACGAGTATATAGAACACACAACTAGCATGTATCGTTGATTTTTTTTTCCTTTTCTTTTGAGGACATCTTTTCCTACTCTTATGTTTACGAATATTCCTGATTTAGAACGCTACGTAGACGACTAGACATGTATCTGGGATTTAGAGTTTGTAGCAATCGACGCTTATGTTTTCCTCCTGCACATCGATGCTGAGCGGTTTCGGAGCTTAATTGGTTCATGAGTTGCGCTGAGACGCACTGCCTATGGCTATGCATCATCTCATTTCAACGATGACATCGATGAGCACCGATTAACGTTGATATAGGAGAAAGATAATCGAGAGGCGTTTCCAAGACATTTCCGGGAGGTGTCGGGTGCGGTGTGTAGTTTGGTCGGGCGAAGAAACTCGCCCCTTCATTCAACTTAGCCTTTCCAAGTGTGACAGCGGTATCGTTTGTACTCGCCGCTCGGCGCGGGGCAGTGTCAGTAGATGCCGCGGATGGAAAGTGGAGGAAAGTGGCACTTTCTGTTTTTGATCAATGATTGAGGTGATGACGGCGCGGCTGTGCCCGTCTCAAGCAAAATGAAAGGACGACACGGGCGCTTAAGCGCTTTGGACTGTTCAAACTTCAAAGCAGGGATTACGAGATATCATCTGATCTCGTCCAAGGACACATTCGGCCGGCCATGCCGAGCGTCACGGTTGTTGTGCGCCCGTGATGATGGTGGGGTCTGGCGGGGTGCACGTTCATCAGAGTTGAACCAAGCATACTTACCTCTGTGGGGCACGAACAGATATTGAGGCGCAAGCTATTCTTGACCAGCCAGTGCTCCCTCATCATAGCTCCTAGCGATCTCTTGATGGCCGTCATCGTGATGGGCGCAAATCGTAGACACGGGCGTTCGGAATGGAGGAATACGTCGGGTTTCGAGCGCAGAAGGTGCAACGTTTCTCTCGCGACCAACTCGCGACAAGGACTCGGAGGACTTGGTCGGAGCGCCCAATGATCAGCGGGATAATTTATAACCAAGCGAGCGCCTACAAGCGCCAGGCTGAAACGAGGGCGCGACGTGATTGCTTCTTCGGGCTCCTTCAATGTTTCAGCTGGCATCGATGCTTTGATGCTCTCCGTACGTACTCCACCACGTAACCCTACGTAACCTCATCTGTGGAAACGGGCTGACCAGGGGGGGCCGTCCAATGCCGAACCTGGAACCCTCAGGAGCTGAGTGGGATCGGGCAATGGGCCCTTTTCATTCGTCTCGTAGAATACGTGTGTATCGTCCGACATGGGGTGACTAACCCCGATGGACGCAAATGGAATCATAATAATAATAATAATAATAACCTCATCTGTGTCGAACAGATCACGAGATGGCGACACTTCGAAGATTTCAACTTGAACTTGAAGAGCCACATTGTTGAGGAGATCTCATCGGCGATCGTGATCGAGGCTATGTGGAATAACTTCAACTCTCCACTCTGACGACTTCGAGTCCTGCTAGTTGTTCTGCTTCCGATACCGTGCCAAGGACTTGCACCAGCTTGTACCACAGGCAATTCCTCGACGGTTGCGACATCTCCAGCGGTCCTAGTGCTTGTCTTGGCTCTGGTTTTGATGCGACACTCGACGCCAAGGCTGGTCGTCTATGCATTCTCGACGCTGGACGCCTCGGCGCCACCGACTCGGAGGTGCGCTGCACAGACTTCGGGCAGTGTTGACTATCCAAAACACAAGCGCACGGACAAGTAGCAATCTGACTCGGAATACAAGACAACTTTGAGCCTGAGTCGCTATTTCATACCGGCAATACAACAACAAAGACACTCTACCTGCGCGAATCTCTCTAACCTCCCATCATCATCCAAAATGTGAAGAGATGGATTGCTCATCATCACAGCCTCTTGAACCAAGAGATCCATGGATACCGTGATGCTCCTCCCTGCGTCTACTCGGAATGACGTCTCCGAACCATATTTGCGACGCCCACAACTGACAACTGCACGATCTGCTTGTGTTTCAGAACTGGTTCGCACGCTAACCCCGCACCAGATGTCAACTTCCTCAGTCGGCCACTTACTTTCCACCGTGCTAACTCAGAGGATGCAATGCCAACTGTCAAGGTAGAACAGGGTGCCGACCAAAAAAAGGCAAATACATGATGTGGACAGTGCGATACCGTAATATCACCCGCGCCCGATCAGTCAATCCAACATCCTCGAATCAAGCCATGCTCCCCTGATGATAGCATTGGCCATCGCCTTCACATCGTCAGTGGGCCCCAAGGGGGCGTAGGCGTATATAAAGGAGGACTTCAGCGTCTCTGGATTCCTTGTACGTCTGGCACGTATTCCCTTTTCGCTATGTTTTCTTCTTCTTCTCTCTTCCTCCTTTCTTTCGTATTTATTTCTTCTTTCGTGCGGGACACTGGTGTCCTTGCCGTTCCTCTCTCTTTCAGACGAAGTGATGGCCCAGTCGTGTCCCTCGGGCAGGGATCCTACCAGGGTGCTTCGGTCAACGGGACCGAGTCCTTCTTGGGCATGGCCTATGCTCAAGCTCCGTGCGTGTTCTTTTCTGCACCCGATCATGCTGCGCGCAAGGGCGTCTGCTGACCATGGATATATTCTTTCCAGTGTTGGAGACCTCCGTCTCCGCAGGCCCCAGCCGGCGTCCAACTTCACTGGTGTACGCTCGGCCACGCAGTTCGGCAACGCCTGCCCCCAGCAGGTGCAACTCGCTCCTGGCGCCGAGTTCCCTCAGTCCCAGGAGTTGATCGGCGTCCAGGAGACGATCGCCCAGCTCATGCCGTCCTCCAACACCACCCAGTCCGAGGACTGCCTCTACATGAACGTTGTCCGCCCCGAGGGTACACAGGCTAACGCTTCCCTCCCCGTCGTTGTGGTGCGTACAGTTTTCATGCCCGAGCATGTTTAAAACATAGGGGCATATACTGATTCCGGATGTGTTGCAGTGGATTTATGGCGGTGCCTTCGAGACTGGCGACGCCTCCGCGTACAACGGAGTCCCTGTCGTTCAACGCTCTAACGCTCTTGGCTCCGATGTCATCTACGTCTCCTTCAACTACCGCGTCAACGCTTTCGGTTTCTTGGCTGGCAAGGAGATCAAGGAGGCTGGTGTCGCTAACCTGGGTCTCCACGACCAGCGCCTCGCGCTCCAATGGGTCCAGGATAACATCGCCGCTTTCGGTGGTGACCCGTCCCGCGTTGTTGCGTACGTCTGCTCCCGTTCATCACTTTGCAGACCTTATCTGACCATTGCATCCACACCTACAGCTGGGGCCAGAGTGCCGGCGCCATCTCAATCTGGATGCAGATGCTCGCCAACGACGGTCAGCTCAACGGCCTGTTCAGCGGTGCTGTCACCCAGTCCGGCTTTACCGAGGCGTTCCACGACATCTCGGAGCAGCAGCCCGTGTACGACCAGATCGTGTCGCTGACGAACTGCACCAACCCTCCTCAGGGCAACACTACGCTCGACTGCATTCGTGCTGTTGACTACCAGACTCTCGTGAATGCTGTCAACCAAGTTCCACCTCTCCTGTCGTACCAGTCCCTCGACACCTCGTTCCGTCCTACCATCGATGGCGACCTCTTCACCCGCACCCTCCGTGATTCGATGAACGGCGACCTTTACGCCAAGGTCCCCATCATCGGTGGCGACGTCGACGACGAGGGCACCTTGTTCTCGCTCCTCAACGCCAACGTTACCACGGACCAGGACTTCCTCAGCTACGTCCAGACCAACTACATGCCCCAGGCCAACGAGACGCAGATGGAGGTCCTCGGTGACGCCTATAGCTCTGAGCCCGATCTCGGGTCGCCGTTCAACACTGGTACCAACAACACCCTGACGCCGCAGTACAAGCGCATCTCCGCTGTCCAGGGTGACCTGTACTTCCAGATGCCCCGCCGCTTCGCGTTGACGATCGCGTCCAAGACGCAGAAGGTGTGGTCGTACCTCTACCGCGCGAACAAGTACTCCGCCCTCGGCACGTTCCACGAGTCCGACCTGCAGGAGTTCTACGAGCTCACCGAGTCGCCGTCGTTCGTCGGCACGGACATGCTCGTCAACTTCGCGTACAACCTCGACCCGAACGTGCCCGCTGGCGGCTACAAGGGCTCGCCGCAGCCGGCGAGCGGGCTCGTGAACGTGACCTGGCCGACGTACAACTCGAACGAGAACGGCACGCTGCTCACGTTCGAGCCCGAGGGTCAGCTCAACTTCACGCAGGACAACTACCGCCAGAAGGAGTTCATCCTCCTCAACGAGCTCTCCGACGCTTTCGGCTGGTAAGCGCGCCCCGCGCTAGCCGCGTTGCCGCTCGCCTCCCGACCCGCCTCGTGCTCCCATTTCGAGCTCTTTGCTGAGTTTTCGAACGGAGTCGCGTTGACGGACGGATGAACACACTGCCTGGCTGGACCGGTGGACGACGGATGTACGAGGGGCGCTGGACTCGACTCTCCCGTTTCCATTTCATGACCACAACCCCCGAAACGCTCCTGACATCACGGCACTGGTCTGCCTGCGCCACGGACACCGACTGGGCATGCTGCTAAGGGCCCGCTGCACCGTGCGGCGGACGCCCGGGGCACTGTGGCGCGCGCACCGCCGACGCTCGCATCCGTGATGCAGCGTCGACGGCCGCGTGCCACATGCTTTTGTATGTCACGACAACATAGCAGTATCTCGTTCGCTCATGACCACGATATCTACACTTCGTCTGTTCACTCACCGGTTGAGAGGGCGCGGTTTCATACTTTTTTTGGACACTCAGCTTACCTTCCAGACCGACCCCACGCCCGGGGCTTGATGCTCGCGGGCGTGGAACATACTCCCGCACGAAACTAGTTACTCTACCTTTACCTATATAGTGAATAGGAATACGGCGGCAATGTACCAGCTGTTCTAGTATGTGGCTCTTGTGTGATTGTGAGGTCTCAGCGACGTAAAGTCGCTTGCTCAGTATGAGCTCAGCTGCTTTGGATCCGCAGGGAAGCCCAGGTTTGCATCAGATGGAGGCCATATCACAACTTGCAACAGTACTAATGGTTGCCAGTAGGCACGAGATTGATGTTCGTTCATCTTGTGATACGGCATTGTACACTGATACATCAGACAAGAATATAATTACGTGGGTCGTTACACATCATTATGAGTCAGGGTTTCATCTTTGGATTATACTACACCACAGCCGTTGTTGAGTTCACTATCAATGACCGCTTCATCATACCAACGAAGATGGATATCGTCCTTCGCGCGATGCAGAATGTGAAACATCAAAGGCGTTGCTGTTCCCTTACTGTCCGAATAGAGCCGCGTTCGCGGCGTCCACGAGTGGAACCAGCTCGGGCGCGTGCACCTCGAATGGCATAAAACCAAGCGCGCGGTGGCCTTCGTCGGTCTTGATGTCGCGCGTTGTACCGCGCTCGGGGAATGTCGACTCGCCCGCCGACGCAGGGAAATCTCTGCGAATAAACACGAACTGTTACCATGGAGGGCCTCGCCGAGGTGAAAGATTGGAACGTACGGTGCAACGTGCCCATGAACGAAGTTCACGCGTTGGTCGCGGAGGTACCGTGCGCTGCAAGTCGACGTCGTAATATAAGTTTCTGCATATCCGATGAAATAAAAGGAAACGTACTTCTTCATGCACAGAGGTGCAGCCGGTATGTACATCACCGACGAGAGGTTCTTCCCGCCGTGGTACCCTTCCACGGCATGCACTCCGTCACAGTGCCCTATGTACGGGAATTTATTTCTCGGTTAGCGCCCTAGTCTCGCAAAGTGAGAGAAAGAAGCGTACAGTATACCTGATCCCCAGGACGAGTCCTCGGGATCGACACCATTGTCTTCTCGAGCCTCAGATGCGGATGGCTCTCCACGCTCAGCTCCTGCCCGGAAGCGCCAATCCGGCTCCCGGGGAACATCGCGCTGTCCAGGTCCAGTTCCCAGTCGTCGGGATGCAAAGACCCCGAGGACGGGTCGCGCGGGCGGAAGAAGGGGCGGAGGATGACGTACGCCGTTGCGAGGCGGAGCATGGGCAGCAGCTGCAGGGTGCCCTCACCCGCGGCGTTGTGCGAGATGGAGGTCCAGCCTTGCCAGGAGCGGTGGGCGGTGCACTGGTTTCTGAGGGAGTCGTTAGCTTTCTTGTCGAGAAATCCGAGTGCAGGTGATGAGGAAATCAGAGACTCACGGGACACCGTACAGATCCTGCTTCGCTCCCAGTCTCCACCTGGCATCGTACGGATCATATTCCTTCCAGCTATCTCCTCCGCTGAGGATCTTGCCCCATACTTTACGATACACAGGGTCCTCCCACCGCTCGACACAGCCGCCGTCGATGTGCGGGCCGAGCACAAACGAACGGTCGCCTGGCTTGCGGAGACGCAGACGATCATAGTATGAAACCGGGGTGTCATAATCCACGAGGTCTTCCCCATCTGCTGAGGCACGAGGGAGCGAGGAGCCCCAGAATTTGAGGAGGGCCTTCTGCGTGTTGAGTACGGCGGGGTGCGTGCGTGCACGGGTCTGCGCTTGCGTGTTGTATAGCTCGTAGGCTTGCGGGTCGTGGCTAGGATACCCTGGATGGAGCGAACGAAACTTGTTAGAAGGATTGACACATGAGACTAGCCGCTGATGAAACACCTTGTATCCCAGGGTGCGCTTTGACAAGATCCTTGAGAGACGTCTCCCATCCAACGGCTTCCTATCCGTGCATGACCTCGTCAGCTCATGTTTACCTTTCCGTCCATCGGCTGATCATGCTTACCTCCTCGGACACAGCACCTTGCACAACCACACAGCCCGCGTCCCGTATGATCACTTTTTGCTCCTCCGATATGCCCTTCTCGATGTCCTTGTAATGGACATGGGGAATAGCATCCCCGCCTTGCTGTGCTATCTTGGCGGTGTGCACCTCAAGAGCAGCAAGAACGCCGCGCCAAGATTGCTCGAGCTGCTCAGGTGACGTGCCGAGCTCAGCAAGGATAGTACGCTTGAGCGGGAGGAGGTGGTCGGAGAGAGGAGCGAGCTTCGCCGATGGACCAACGACGCGGCGGTCATCGAACGGCTTGTCTGGCTTCGAGGTACGTCTCGTGGCATCGGAGGGAGGTGCAAGCGCGCTCGTAGCTGTTGGAGGCATACTTCGCTAGGGTTTGAGCTTGGATACTTCGAGTTTCCGAGTAAGCTAAAAAGTGGGGGGAAGAATGAAAACCAGCCAGGCTTCATTCGCTTCGCTTTATATAAGAGATAGATGGGTCCATTGCGCCTTTATGAGAGCGAGAATCTTCTCCCGAGAAGTTAGAGGTCACTGGGCCACTACAGACTCCATGTTGGCCAGGTGTACCTTCATCGCTGCAGTGTTGATGGCAAGAGGGAGGTGTTAGACGCGTTTGCCCCTATTTGCGGGGAAAGATACTTTGTATCCGCTTCCGAAATTATTCCGACATTTACCCGTGTTCTCTCTTTCCCTCTCCCGGCCATCGTCTGCTAGGTTGGAGAGGACCTTGCCCTGCCTCCTCTCTCGTTGCAATCGTGTCTTTGGCTTCATAGGTTTACTCATTATACTGGAGACAACGTGGGATCCACCTACCAGGCTGAAGCAAGTGCGACGGAAACCATCCTTTCAGCGTTTTCATGGCTCCAGCTAAGGCCGTCAGCCTTCATGAATTGTCATCTTCGTCAAGAGTTTGAATGAGGCTTCTTCTCTATGCTTCCTCGTCTGTGCTGAAGGCTGAGGGTCGAGCTGAGGTTGATGGTGAGTTCCTACTGCGATCTTGTCATTACCCCGCGTTACACGCTCGCCCAGACAAGATTGACGAAACCTATCATTGGGCCCTGGTCTACTTGGATTTGCATAGGGGGTGAGCAATGCCAACATGCGCCTGATGGCTAGTGTATCCCGTGAAGGTGGCGACCATCGTCCAAGAGGCTCTGGTGTACCTCCAGGACGTCATCGACTACGAGGAAGGTACGGCTCTCCTCAGAGCAGTCGCCATTACCGAGCCCCCACGCCCCCTTCCCACAATGCTATCGCTCATAAACGTGTCAAAGACTCGAGAATCCATGCGCCATGAAGACAATCGGTTGTCTTGTTCTCACGTACGTGTTCACTACCTCAGAGCGGTCAACGATTAAGGTAGACTTCGCTGGTGAACAGACATCCTACCTGGGCAAGTTTTCATACAATCAAGACGTTACGGGTGTACTACCGCGGGGGCTCGGTGAATGTGTGAGCTCGTCATAAGAATTTCTCTCGTCCTATGTACACCCTCTGTTCACGTCGTGCGATGGTCGCCTTGTTTTGTCTTTTCAAATTGTCAGCAATTAAACTGTTTTTGAGCACAGAGCGCACACATCGTCGCTGCGCAGACTGCTGTGCTTTCACACAGGGCTCAAAGAAGCTAAAGCGCTTGTCTCCAACCTGCGGCGCCCATAGGCTTCGTCGGTAAGTTGTATGACATTGTTCCATAAGCTTTGGCGACAGGCACGGGCTTCTTATCCACCAGTCTATATTTGTCTCCCGTAGGCTCCATGGGCTTCCCCGTTCTATAAATCTATGGACGCTCACTCCATCGCTCTCTTCTTATCTTGCACTCTCAACTTGCTCGTCATGAGCTCAGAGTCGACATCGGATATTCGGTCGCGACCCACATCCGTGAAGGATGGAAAACACGGAGTTTCTATTTCCACCAAAGAGGTCGATACGGGCGCACAGCTCGCAGCAGGCTTTACAGGCGAACTTGATCCTGAGGAAGCCCTGCGCATCCGGTACGTTCTCTACCGAGTTGTGATCACTGGTACTGATCAGCACTCCAGGAAGAAGATTGACTGGCACATCCTCCCGCTGATGTTCAGTGAGTAACGCCATGCGCACACCTGCTATGCTGATGTTCGGGACACCACTCGTTCTTTAGTGCTTTACTGGTGTGCAGGCCTTCCTCTATCTGTGTCAGCGACGCTTATCACCTCATAGGGTTCAGTTCATGGATAAGACGACGCTCGGAAGCGCAGCTATATTGGGGATAGAGTACGTCCACTATCTGAGCCCGGGTCTCTCTATCGCCTATCTTATCTCGCTCTTTAGGCAAGATACGCACTTGTCCACTTCGGAGTAAGTTTGATCACGAGTGGTATCATTGTTAGCAAGTGAACGACGCTAACTTGCTTAAGGTACAATTGGTAGGCGACCCTGCGGCGCTCAGCTTGGCGCACCGAAGCAAACTCGGCTAATGCGGAAATCAGGCTTGGAACTGCATTTTATCTCAGCTACCTCGTCTTCGAGTACCCGCAAAACTTGGCGCTACAGCGGTTTCCCGTAGGGAAATGGATGAGGTATGTTGTTCAGATACAGTACCGTCGGCTCCGAGGGCTACACCTAAATCCGATCATTAGCCTGAACATCTTCGTATGGAGCATCGCGCTCGCGTGCCATGCCGCGTGCACGAATTTCGCGGGGTTGCTCGTCGTGCGCCTGCTTTTGGGCGTCTGCGAGGGATCCATTACGGCTGGGTTCATGATCGTGAGCTCGATGTTCTACACGCGTAACGAGCAGACACTGCGCGTTGGCTATTGGTGTGAGTAGCGTTCAACATCTTTATCTGTCGAAGCGTAGTAATATACTTATTCCGTTTGTAGTCTTGATGAATGGAACTGGTACGTTTGCTAGAAAGATCAATTAGATGGCATACTGAACGCTCGACGAAGCCCAGATTATTTCGGGGTTTATAAGTTTTGGATCGTTACATATCCAGACAAGTGGCTTTCAGCCCTGGCAGTGGTAAGCGTTACTGTGATTGTCGACGCGACTTAAAGTACGACTTTCATTGACGCCCTCCGACAGGCTTATGATCATCACCGGAGCGATAACCTTTGCCCTGGCAATATGCTATTGGTACGTCTAGGTTGACGTACTGCTCCCCATCGCACCCAACATTGACCAGGGCTCAGGTTCTTCTTTCCGGATTCTCCGACAAACGCTTGGTTCCTTACCATGGATGAGCGCGTAAAAGCGGTGCAGAGGATCAAGGTGAGCGATACCAATGCAATTCCATGCGGTGTTAGTTGATTCCGTCTCCAGGAAAACCAAACAGGCGTAGAAAACAAGCACTTTAAGAAGGAGCAGTACGTTTTACGACCTGTAGTCTTGCAGTCAACTCGGTATTAAAACCTACCCCAGGCTCATCGAAGCTCTCCTCGACCCCAAAACATGGATATTTGCGCTCTTCTCTGCGCTTGACAACGTCCCCAACTCTCTCACAAACCAGCAGCAGCTCATCATGGCTTCCTTCGGCTTTTCAGACCTGCAGACGACGCTTCTCTCCTGCGTGTCGGGTATTGTCGAGATCGTCACAATATGGACGGGCGTCACGCTCGCCGCGCGCTGGCCAAATGCGCGCGCGTACGTTGGGGCTGCGTACTTCGTGCCGACGCTGATCGCAATTATGCTATTGAATTTATTGCCATGGAGCGATAAGGTTGGGCTGTTATTCTGTCAATGGTTGACGGGTGCGTGCATTGGACGTTTGTTCGGTTCTCAGGTCTTGAAGAGTGTTGATACAGGGATAAGCATCACCGGCTTCGTGCTCGCGCTAGCGTGGATCAACAACGTCACCGCGGGACACACAAAGAAGGTCGCCACGAATGCGATTCTTCTATCTGCGTACTGCGTTGGCAACGCTGCCGGTCCATTTATGTGGCTGGAGAAGTACAAGCCGCGGTGTGTCCCGAACACTTGTCGTCCTTGATAATAACCACTCACCTCCCTTGCTTGCACACGTCAGAAATCACGTCCCGTGGATTGTGATTGCTGTATGCTACATCGCGTGTCCGCTCTTGTTGCTTCTCCTTCGGTACATTCTCGCACGCGAAAACAGCCGGAGAGATGCAGAGCCTGAAGACGACGCTTACGAAGAAGTGTATATCGAGCGCTTGTCAGAGGACGGAAAGCTCGTCCAGGTCCGGGTCGACAAGGTACGTTCTGCTTTGAGCCCATGACGAACCATAGCTTGTAGGCTGATTGAGGACTAGGAGTTCCTGGATTTAACAGATAGGCAGAATCGTGATTATCGATATGTACTATAGGCCACAATACCGCATTTTTGGATTTGAAACTTCTCGATCTAGTGGCCTACGCAAGGGGCACAAACTTTCCGGGGAGAAATACATCCTTATCAATGTCTTCGTGTGCGAGTAGCAGTTGGACCCTCGGCATGTCCTCCAACGCCTTGAGCTTCCGCATCGTATCGCGCGTTAGCTCAGGATCCACGTGGGCGCACATTATGCCGCCATGACCATCATCGTGGGACGCGAAGTCTCGCTCGCCATTAAGAATGCTTCTATGGTGTACGGTGTCACCTACTAGAAGGATCCAAGCGCCATCCGGAGATGTGCGTGCTAGGACTGCGACATGCCCGGGCAGATGGCCTGAAATCAGCAAGGTTTCACCAGTAAGTCATCTTCAAGTAAGAAGCGAGTGAGGACAGAAATGCCGAACGCACCGGGCGTATCAAGAACATACATGCTCCCGTCCCCGAAGAAATCGTGTACTCTCAAGCCGCCGATGGAGGTTTCCCATTCGGTGATGAAGTGCATGCGTTCTGCGGGCGCAGAAATGGGAACGACAATGGGTTTCCGTGTCTGCAGATCCTCTCCAGCTATAGTACCCTTAGCCTCAGCGCCAAGGATGAAATCGGCCTTCGTGAACGGACGTGCGTCTCCGATACTAGAATCTTCAATACTGGATATTAATGCAAATTTCAGGGAACGGACTCACTGATCCCAATGTAAATGACTAATAATAACGACATCCACTTCTTCCGGCAGCACCCCTCCCTTAATAAGTGAATCCTCAACACATCCATCACCCGGGAATGTATGGTGCCGAAGTAGGCAGGGCTCATCTTCGTCGCTGGAAAGCGCCTTGTTGAAAGCCTCGAAACCTGGCAACGTCGAGAGGTCCTCGCGTCTGGGGATGCCGAGATCATACACGACCCTCCTTCCGGACGCAGAGTGACGCAGGAGGAAAGAGATCGATGGCATATCGATGCGCTCGCTTGAGCCTTTGGGGATGCCCCCAAGGATTAGCCAAGCAGGTAAAGCGAGTCGTCCGCCATCGAGAGCCGAGACGTCCATGTATGATTGGTTTTGCGCGCATGGCGGAAGTGATACAGGCGATCCAGAAGACATGTTTTGGCTTTGCGAGAACTCGACAAGGGGGAGACAAACACTGGCTGAAGGAGGCAAGCGCTTGCAAGAAGCTGGAAGTGGCAAGAATATAGAGGATGTGACTGAACGTCAACAAAGATATCCACAACTTATGGGCGTATGCCTGCTTAGATAAGGCCCCGAAGACCTTCCGCCAGCACTGTATTTTCGGGCACCATTTTCTCAAGCTATGGCAGCAGTTTGACCCTTGGCGTGTCTGCCAATACGCCTTGAGCTCCTACACTGTATCACGCGCCAGATCAGGATCCACGTGTGCCACCATGACCATCGTCGTGGGATGCGAAGTCTCGTTCACCGCGATAGATGGTCCTGTAGTGCATGGTGTCGTCTATGAGAAGGATTCAAGACCCTCCGAGGGCGTGCGAGCGAGGACTGTGACTGAACCGGAAGGTGACCTGCAGAGTCAATAAATTGACCCGGCTATTTTGGCAGCGACATATTTTGGCTCCGTCGGACTAGGATTACTGTCATACCGGTACCTCGGACTTGGCCGACGGACTTTCGTAGTTTCCTTTCGCGTACCAAAATGCCTACAAGACGAGTACCCCAGCCTGGCTGAGGGCATAAGAAGTGTGACTGGTGCTGGTGGACTGACGAAGAAAACATGCCTCGAATTAAAGGACAGCCAGAAGTTTATTAACAGGTTCAATAGGCGATAAAACAGCTTTGTGAACTCAAATTATGTCGGCCTAGTAACCTACGTAACGGGAGCGAATTTTCCAGGGAGGTAAAATCCCTCATCAACGTCAACGTGCGTGATCTGCAGTTGGACTCGTGGCATATCCGCCAACATCACAAAAAGCGCACTCGGATTATAAGCTCAGTATAAGAGCTAGAAGCACTCAGAACTAATGTACGTCTCGCTTGAAATTTAGTAGCTTCGTAGTACATATTTGTAACCTCCATTTTGAGAATTTTACTCATATCTTGTAAGTTGGGCTAGGTTCTGTAGGCGGGCCATAAACTTAGTGATCAATTGCAAGCTATGAGTATTGTATACCAAGCTATGAAGCCTACAAGTATCAACACATCTTATTGCTGTCATGAACTGATGTCGACCAAATAAGGACTTAGAGAACTTGCATGTCACGCCGCACATTGACCAATAACAAGATAATACATTTTTTGTGTTAGAATACATGGTGATCCGACTACACATGCAATGATACGATACAGGCAGGCAGACTACATGAAGAGAGCAATGAGAATAAAAACTGATGGAC